ATAGCAGAAACAGTTGTGCACCTAAACACTTCCTTGTGACACTTTGTACACACGCTGCACTGTTTCTATTTCAAATGTAAATATGTTAAACGTATCGTAAGCCCACCATCTGCTAGAGAAAACCTCCCATTATTCGAAATTCTACATCCCTTATTTTATTCCTTTGTTATTAACTTTTTATGTCATTATTACACTCTCTTTACATAGTGGAGATGTCGAGGAAAATCCGTGACCAAATGGCAATCTGAATGTAAGAAGCTTACGCCATAAACTTGTTTCGGCAGAATTCTCTGAAAATTTCGATTTGATCTCGTTAACTGAGACATGACTTGGCAAAAGCATATCATCGGGCACCATTTCTATCCCTAATTTGAATGCACCAATTCGCAAAGACAGGACTGCAGGACGGTGGGGGAGTAGCAGTGTATTCTCGGAACAACATTTTAACAAAACGCAGGTCTGATTTTGAAACCGACAATACAGAGGGTATTTGGGTAGAAATTAATATTCACAATACACATTTTCTAATTGGAACCTTTTCCATTAAATAATTCCATTTTCAATTACTTTTTATTGGCAGCAGAAGACGACATAAATAATATCTTTAACATTGATCTCTTTACAAAATCCAATACTTTTATTCATTCGGCAAATGGTCTTTTCGATTTCAAACAACAAGGATCCAACCAGATATGGTAATACTGGTAACAATACATTGATTGATCTAATATTAACGAATTGTTCCGGTTATATTTTTGATTCAGGTTGCTTAGATGATTTCTGTAGTGATCACTGCCCTGTATACTGTCGGTTAAATTTTCATCGTCTGAAATCAATTAGCTTCACACGTATGGCGTAACGCTGGGAGTATCTTATTGGACTCCACTATTGATAAATTTTTATTGACATTACATGTGCCGCCTTCACAGGCTTGTTAATAAATTTGGCAAGAACACATATTTCAAACAAAACTGCAAACCTTAGATCAAAAGACAAATTTGGATGAAAATCACTATTCGGAAAATGAGAAAAAAGAAAAACAAAATTCACTGCATGGAAAGCAGTTAAATCAAACTTGGACCTCGACTGGCAAAAATTTAGAAATATTAGGAATTATTATATTAGCTCGACTAGAAAATGCAAAAAAAGAATATTACGAAAAATTAGACCAGAAATTAAATGATAATTGAAATTTTGACAAAAGGGATTGGTGGCATATATAGTCAACTCGTTTGTTGGGAAGGGTAAAAAAACTGAAAAGAGGGAAATTCCGTCTCTTATGAATAATGGAGTTCCATATTTTAATCCAAATGACAAAGCAAATTGTTTAAACGAATACTTTATTAACCGATCACAGCTTGACTACACAAATGCACAACTTCCTGAACTCGAACAAAATCCCTTTTCACTTTGTCGTCTAAAATTAATACCTAACGAGGTTGAAGACATGATTTTCATTGTTGATACTTCAAAAGCTACAGGCCCAGATAACATCAGTGGAAAATTCCTAAAATCCATCTGCTTAGAAATTAGCAAACCTTTATGTAACATCACTTCACTTGAGCTAAAATCTGTTCCTAATATTTGGAAATCAGCAAATATAACGACAATTCATAAAAAAAAAAGGGCGGCTCATCACTGTGCGGAAATTACAGATCAGTTTTTTTTTATTGAGCATCATAATCAAAACTTTTGGAAAATGTATGTACAAACATGTATTTGACTTGTTTAAGGATCACAATATTATTACTAATTTGCAAAGCGTTTTTTTTTTCAAGGAGACTCAACTATTTACCAACTAAAAGATCTTACGCACTTCTTCTGTCAAGTCATCGACCAAGGTCAATATACGAGAACGGTGTTCTGTGACATCAGTAACAGACAACAGAAGGTTATTGTCAACGGAGCCTCCTCTAAGCCATTAACGGCCCCTGCTGGTGTTCCACAGGGCTCCGTCTCTGTCCATTACTTTTCATTATATACATCAACGATATAGTAAACAGCTTGAAATCAAACATTAGATTATTCGTTGATAACAATAGTTTATATATAAAAATAACTGACCAACCGAATGTGTAGAAGTCTTAAATGGTGATCTAGAGAGAATAAATCTTTGTGTGAAGACTTCACTTGTATCTTTTAATCCGCTGAAAACTGAAACACTAGCACTAGCAAATAAAAAGGAACCCATTTCAACCGACACTGAATCTAGACAATGTTGCATTTAAAGAAGTTTCTGAGCACAATTACCTGGGGCCGACCTTTCAAACAAACTGGGATACTCATATAAATAAAAATTTTGGCCAAAACACATAAAACGGTAAATTGTTTTTGCTCATTAAAATATAGGTTTAGTCGTAGATCTCTCCAAACCATGTATACCTTATATATTCTTCCTCATTTCGACCACTGTGACGTTATTTGGGATGGGAGTACCACCGAACTAACACATAAACTAGAACTTGTACAATTAGTACAATTAGATGCACCCAGGACTATATGCAGTGCTGTGAAAGGTACAAATCACCAACTGTTATATATGGAAACCCCTTTATCACAGTGCAGGAGGCGACATAAATTAATTTTATTCTACAAATTCATAAACCATACCATATCACTTGTTTCAACCGATATCACCTTATATAAATTCTTATCGCCTACAAAACCAAAGCAATATCCCAACATATTTCTTCAGAACTTCTTTATTTTCTTCTTCTTCTTTTATACCATCCTCTTTTAAATCTAAACTCGGCTACTTTGATCAGGAAAAATCAAATTCACTATTCTCGCTTTCAACTCTCTTGCAGTGATTTAAACGGACATCGTTTATACATACATGTATACTAAGCAGCAAAAGAAACGCAAAGAAACGTCAGGTTGGTATGTTACTCTGAATAGATAAAGTTATCTGATTCAGCATGCCAATAGCTCTGGGCCCTATTTCTCGAAATCTTAATTAAAAATAAAATCTTAATTTTAGTAGATACTTCAGTTTTGATTGGCTAAGCACTAAAATCAATCTAATATTATCCAATCAAAATACTAAAATATGGATTTTATCTTAGTTAAAATTTTGTGAAACAGGCCCCTGTTTCTGTTTTCTTGTGTAAGGCGTGGCATTTTTCCGAAGTGATGAATGTTGAAATTTTGATCTGTATCTAAAGGGCCAGAGTGCACGGAATGCACGTGCAAAACGTGTGACACGGGACTGCTTAAAATCGGGAAAAAAGATAAGTGTTGCTTTTGCACGAACAAAGTTCATTACAGAGAACTGATATTGGGTTCAAACCCAGAACTCCACACAAGATCCACCTATGTGCCGTAAGAGGAAACCCCAAGAAAACGTTTACCAGAAATATTTCACGAATTAGGCATTACGTTTTTAATGGCTTTGAGTATATGTGTACGTTTGCCATGTCTGTGTTACCAAACTGTTGTTCATAGTGTGAATCGCGAATTACCTGCGTTCCATGCACATCATGGGTCATATTAAGATTGTCTCTACCCATCTATAGACTACAAGTAGGCCTACATCTACAGTGAGTCCCCACAGACCACAGAATTTGTTCAAAAATATTCTTTTTAACAAATTTATCCAACAACTGAAATAACTGCAGTCCGTGGATGATATTGATCTCGAGGCAGTCATCAATATTTTCGCAATTCAGAAAGTTTGAAAGAAAGTATTATGTAAAATATCTTGCATGTCCATTGTTTCATAATTAGTGGTGCGGTATTTTACGTGTCATTTTTGTTTCCAAGGAGTGGGTTATTAACCATTGCAACACCACTCTCCAATTAGAGCCCACTACAGAATTACGACATCACTATGTGCATGACCCTGCCAGGTGACTTAGATGGTCGGGGACCCGTTTACCAAAGCTTCTTCTTACCACACTTTCCATCAAGGTTGTTTATAGCGTTTTACAAATAGCTTCAAATGTTATATATTATATACATTATTTGGACATTTAGTATTTAGTCACATAATCAACTTTCTAGGCCATCAGGTGGTTTAGATATTAAATGGATTAAATCACCTTCGCCATTTAAAAATGTAACGATGAAATGGACAATCGAGACTTTATTATCACAGCAACGATATTTGACAACCGAGACTATCCTGTAAAAATTTCAAATAAGGACTACTCAGAAAAAAGTAATTTGACTGAAATTTTTAGTACGGTATTCATTTAGTATGCATGGTTACTTTGTTAGATGATGTATACATCAATCAATGGTGGTATTGTATATTTTGTAATTGTTTTGTGTTGGAGCGACTCTTTGTGTGAGTTACAACTCGATTGAAAGGTGGTGTTTATTTACGGCAACAACAGTAGAAGGATACAAAAGCCACATTTTTTTTTCTTTTAGTTCAAGTTAGTGTATATTCTGTGGTGAGTTTTTTTTTATCGTGGGGGGAGTGGGGGATCAAACCCAACGACCGTCCTGAGCGGCACCAGATTCTATGTAGCCCTACCCCCACCCACTCCACCCAAACCACTGATTGCGGGCCTAGACTATTAGTCGGCCCCTATTATTGTTCTTGCGGAAAAATGGGGGTATAAATCGTCCAAAAACAATCAATTTATTTTATTGTTTATTTAGAGTGGATAATTTTGTTTGTACGTTGGGATGGGAATGGGTCTGTCCGCTGTTCTGTCTGGTGTCTGGTCCCGGTCTTTAATTCTGCAAAGTGGATTTTCGTTATAATCCCTAACAGAGAGTCTTCTCCCTTGGGTTACATTATCGCACCAGCAAGCTCAGATGATCCAGATTGACAGAATGTTTTTCTTGCAATATTGAAATTATTTAATAGGAGAAAATATAAACGTAAACAAACTTCCGCATACATAATCTGTACCTCTTAACGTAGGCAAACTTTATATTAGACAGTTTTTATGTTTTGCTGTTTAGGCAAAAATAGGCTAGCGTTGTCTTGTTTTTATCAACAAATTAACATTTATTTTCATTCAATCACGTGACCGATTTCAGAACGCTGCACGATGGCGGCGGCAAAATTGCTGTAATTTCGACACGATTGTTTTAATAATTTGTGATAATATAGCAATATTCAAAGGCTTCAGAAATGCTAACAGAGGGACTTACAGGCAGATTCTAATGACGATACCCTGAAAGGTTGTATTTGCGAATATGAAAAGTATGGAAACTGTCCTCATGCTCATGCTTTACTTTTGACTGGTCTTCAAAAATTTATCACAACGCTCAACACTAGAAGTTATATCTCTAGAAAGATAGCTACTAATTATAACCAATGATGCAAATGGGTACTAAGAGGCACCAAATATGCTCAGTTTTTGTAGTAGCCTATTCAAGATTAAAATAGAAAGATTTTTTTATGGTCAATATGGATGGGAAACTGCCTCCCAATCCCAAGATAACCGTGCTCAGTTTGTAGGCTTATAACTCCTAGCCTTAAACTGAATATCCAGGCTCTGTTGTTGTACAACCAGAGGCTGAAATCAGTAATGGCAGTTAAGTTTTGAAATCGGGCAATGTGGACGCATTGGTGAAAACAGGTCAACCATTCAAATACTGATCAGAATAGGCCTACTTGTTAATTAAATCCACTGTTGGGCCATGTAAGGACACTAGGCTACTGAGTCTGAGGTGGGTAAAAAATTCATAACCCAAAAAACCCAAGGGATATTAAATGTCAAAACATTTATTTTTCGTGTGTCCAAATTGGCTGTCTTCCATGTAGTTACTTGTTACCGGTAGTTAAGTTCGGTAGCCTACTATTAGTACATAACTCTTATTACTGACTTCAATCTCTAGGAGTGGAGACCAATGGGCATATGAAAGTGATGGGCCACCCCTTGTATCAGTCATGTGACTGGCAAAATCAAATTCTATAGGCCTTCATTTTTATGTAGGCCTAACCTTGACCTAGCCTAGAACAGGGCCGTATGTAGGATTTTAAATGGAGGTGGAGCAGATTGGTTGGGGGCGCCAATATAATGCCCGAGTTATTGAGCGCAGAGCGGCATCTGGCGAAGCAGGGAGCGGTGTGTGTGGGGGTCTGACAGACCTAGATAACACATCTCATCTCTCAACCCTCCCTGTTTCGAGATGAGAGCTGTTCCTATTAACTTCAACGTAGCACCTCCTGGAGTGATTCACTCCCGCTAGTTTTAAACACAATTGACAATATTTTGCATCAAAACAACGATAGATTATTGTTATTTATAATATTTCTGCCACACCCAACTGCAATTAAGCTTATAATCCTACATGAAACGGGTACAAATCGTCGTATTTAAAATCGAGGCGTTAAGCCGTTACTAAGGCCGCCATCTTTTTAAACGGCATACGTTTAACGCTGTCATCATGATGAAGGCAGGGCTAAATAGAAGGCTTTTATAACATCCAATCAAAAAGGCAATCGAAAGTGGAGAACATGTCAACACACAAAATGACATCCACATATTATATCCACGAATCATTACAGAAAATAAAATCAAATTACGGCGATAATGTTGAATTAAAACCCGAACAAGAAATTATTTTAGACCTGATAATAAATGGCAAGAAGGATGTTTTTACTTTTTTAGCAACAGGATTTGGCAAATCATTGAATTATATATTAATTCATTTGATTTCAAATAGGGGCGTGTAGTGTCGGCGCATATCTAAAGCACTCTAAACTATGAATGGATTTAGATGGCGGCGTATGTCAGACAAAAACAACGCTTCATTAATTCAAACGCGAATATTTGGAGTTAGGCGATAGTTGTGCCACAACATTGGCCTATGTAAGTTTAATTAGTCATAATAGCATAAATAAACTTATCTTATTTTAAAGATGTTACATGCATTAATAAAGAAATTGAGTTTGCCACTTGGAACTAAAGGTATCCAATCGTAGCTAAAAACAATCAGTATATCTCAACGTTTTTTGGTACGTTCTCGTAGCTAGACAGACCCTCCCCCCACAATTTTGAAAATTAGACTGCCACAAACGCGTTTTCCACGCACTTGGAGCCACAATCAAGGTCGCTAGCAAGTGATCCTGTGTGTCAATTTCGGCGGCGCCATTTCTCATTTTGATGATAAGAAACTTCTTGTCCTCCCTCAGAAAATTTTGAAAAATAACGCTGCTGGAAACACGTTTTTCGGCCACTCTGGTGATATCTAAGAGTCGATTTTGTATTTTATATGGTCGATTTTCTTTCAGGGGCGGCAGATTTAGGAGAGGCAGTTGCTCCTAGTGCCCCCGTGCCTGTGGTGGCGCCCCATAGCCTCCACATAGTGATATAAGAGTGTTTGGATCAGGTACCCATTGGCGACTTGGCGTGTGGGCGCCCTTAAAATCGACTGATTGATCAGTGCCTGAAGAGCATCACTGTGTGATCATAATCACGTGTATTATTTTATAATTGAAAGGTCAAATTTTTTGAGGGGCGCCATTTCTCGGGGCGCCTTATTTTTCTGGGGGTGCAATGTACCCCCTGCACCCCTGCTAGATACGGCCCCGGCCTAGAATACATTGCTAATTTGCCAGGAGTGCTGTCGCACTCGTCCTTCCATCCATCGACGGTTTGTTTGTGGACACTCTATAGGTCACATTATTTATCTGATTTTGACGAAACCTAAAATATTGGCATGTATCGGACCATAAGTTCATAGATTATGGCCCCTGATTGTATGAAAAATCACATTTTTAGCTTGTGGACACTGTAGTGGTCACAATTTTCATCTGTTTTAATGAAACTTGAAATGCATGTTTATAGCCCAAAGGTCTTGGTGCCTTTAGATATTTACGCATATCTTGTTTTTAGTTTGTAGTCCTTGTAGAGTTCACAATTATTATCCAATTTAAAATATATATTGGAATGTTACTAAATATATCACCGTTAGTGTTACACATCAATGTATTGTAAATGTATGTAATACCAAGGTTGTGGACACTCTAGAAGTTAAAATTTTTATCCAACTTTGATAAAACTTGAAATGTATGATTATAATCCAAAGATCTTGGTTCCTTAAAATATTTGAGCATTTTACGATTTTAGCTTGTGGACACTCTTATTTTAAAACATTTTAATGTATCACCATTACATCCTAATATAAAGTTCAAATTTTGATGAAACTTAAAATATCTCTTTATATCCCAAATATCTCAGTCCCTTTTGATTTTCACGCATTTCAGACCATAACTTCTGGATTATGTCCACATTCATAATGTGGATGTTTATTGCCGTCACCCCTTATGTGTGTGTGTGTGTGTCGCCTACAGGCCGCAATTCTTAACTGATCGTCTTGAAACTTTACATACTTATTCCTTATACCCTAAGGATGTCCCCTATTGTTTTTGGTGCTTGGCCGACCCCCAGGGGCAGAGCCACACCCATTTTTTGTATTTGTTTGTCGTCTACAGGACACATTTCCTAATGGATACACTTGAAACTTTTCATATTTATTCCTTATACAGTCTTTCACCCTAAGGATCATCAATATTGTTTTTGGTGCATGCCCAAGCCCCATAGACAACCATGCCAATTTTCTCTTTGTGTTTCACCTACAGGCAACAATTCTTATTGGATCGTCTTGAAAACTTTACGTATTTATTCCTTGTACCGCAAGGATGATCCCTATTGTTTTTGGTGCATGCCCGACCCCCAGGGGCAGAGCCATGCCCATGTATTGTATTTGTTGTCTCAGATCCACATGAAACTTTCCATACTTATTCCTTATACCCTTAGGAACATCACTATTGTTTTTGGTGCATGCCCATTGCCCAACCCTCAGAGCTACGCCCATTTTCTCTTTGTATGTCTTGTGTGTCGCCTACAGGCAACAAAACTTTTCATACTTACTCCTTGTACCCTAAGGATTACCTTTTTTATATTTGGTGCATGGCCAACCGCCTGGGGCAGCCACGTCCAATTTTTTTGTGTGTCTGTGTGTTGCCTAGTCAGTAATTCTTAACAGATCCTTATACCCTTTATGATGATTCGTATTTGGTGAATGCCCGACCCCCAGGAGCAGAGGCACACCCACTTTTCTCTGTGTGTGTGCTGCCTACAGGAAACAACTCTGAATGGATTATCTTGGAACTTGGTATACTTATTCCTTATAAAAGTTATAGCCTAAAGATGCCAACTATTGATTTTGGCTCATAAGCTGACCCCCAGTGGCAGAGCCACACCCAATTTTGGTGTTGTTTGTATACAAGCTGCAGTTCTGAATGGATCAGCTTCGAATTTGACATAAGTATCCATTTAGCCTATTGGTGGCAACTTTTGATATTGGTGCATGTCCCGACCTCCAGGGGCAGAGCCACGCCCAATTTTAGTTTTTAGCGTCTCAAGGCTACAAATCCGAATGGATAATCTTGGAACTTTGTATACTTATTTCTTATACCTTAAGGACGGTAACTATTGATTTTGTGCTCCCCAAACCCCCTCTTTGGGCGATGGCACAAACTCTTTTTTGTCTGTACTTAATGACATACAGATTGCAATTATTAACAGTTTTGGATACAATTTGGCATGGTCCATCGTAGGGTACCTATTTATATTGGTCCATGTCCAAAACCCAGGGGCAGAGCTTGAATTCTAAATGGATCATCTTGGAACTTGACATATTTATTCCTTATACCGAAAGGATAGCAACTATTTATTTTGGTGCATGTACGGACACATAACCCTTGTAAGATTTTGGGGCATTACTGATAATCTATTAGTGTTCCTTTAGAGGTCAAAACAGTGTGTGATGCATGTTCTGTACTTGATAACGAATAGTAAATTTTTCCTACACGTTATTTTTATAGAATATAATTCTAATTTTATCCAGACACGGTATAATACAGCTTGGGACACCTATCTCCAATTCCACATGAAGACCGATGGATTTAAGTTGTTTGAAAATGTATCATGTATATTGAGTTAGTTGCTCCGCCCTAAGGTAGAGGAATTTAATAGGCCAGTAGCTGACACCGAATAATGTTATCAGAAGGAACATTTTGCTCCAGTATCGGGAATTTAAAAGAACTTTGCTTTGACTAATAGAAATATATTCGGAATAAAAATATTGTTGTTCTAGGTTCTAACCTTGCAGTATTTTTATTTGGTGGATTATTTTACTGAGGAGGCTTACTTTTTAAACCTTATTTGGGCACATGTCTTTAATTAGCCAATCGTTGAAATGTAAACAGACGATAACACATGGTTTATTATTTACTAAACATGCAGACGATGACACTTAATATAGGTCCACATTTCCGTCGCCCCTGTTCCCCTGTGTGTGTCCAACCTCGTGGGTTTTCTCCGGGTCCTCCGATTTCCTTCCACTGCTAAAGACCCCTTACTCGCAAGCGAATTATTGAAATAAAAATTAAACCATATGTTAGTCCCGAAATGACCTAGTTTGTGTCAAGTTGACTGGATGTTAAACAGCATCTCTCTCTCCTCTGTGTGTGGGTGTGTGTGTGTCTGTGGTTCGCCTACAGACCACAATTCTTAACTGATCATCTTGAAACTTTACATACTTATTCCTTATACCCTAAGGTTGATCCCTATTGTTTTTGGTGCATGCCGGACCCCCAGGGGCAGAGCCACCGCCCATTTCTTTTACTTGTTTGTTTGTCGTCTACGGGCCGCATTTCTTAATGTATCATCTTGAAACTAATACTAATTCCTTATGCCCTAAGAAACATCCCTATTGTTTATGGTGCATGCCCAACCCCCAGGGGGCAGAGCCATGTCCATTTTCCTTTTGTGTGTGGCCTACAGGCCGCAATTCTTAATCGATTGTCTTGAAAACTTTTCATACTTATTCCTTATGTCCTAAGAATGACCTCTATTATTTTTGGTGCATGCTCGACCACCTGGAACAGAGACACGACCAATTATTGTGTATGTCTTGTGTTTCGCCCACAGGTGGCAATTCTTAATAGATCCTTTTCAAACTCGGCATGCATATATATTCCTTATAGCCTAAGGATGTCAACTATTGATTTTGGTGTATGTCCCCTCCCCCAGGGGCAGAGCCACGCCCAAATTTTGTGTTTTATCGTATACAGGCCGCATTTCTGAATGGATCATCTTGGAACTTGGCATATGTATTCCTTATAGCCTAAGGGTGGCAACTATTGATTATGGTGCATGTCCCGACCCCCAGGGGAGGGGCAGAGCAATGCCCAATTTATGTGTTTAGTGCCTGAAGGCCACAATTCTGAATGGATTATCTTGGAACTTGGTAAACTTATTCCTTATACCCTAAGGACGGCAACTATTGATTTTGGTGCATGATTTCTCCCCCCCCCCTACCACCACCTTTGGGCAGTGCAACACCCATTTTTTTTTAATATTTTGTCTGTAAATGATATATAGACTGCAATTATTAACAGATTTGGATCCAATTCGGAATGATACATCATAGGGTTGTACCTATTTATATTGGTCCATGTCCAAACCCCAGGGGCAGAGCTATGCCCGATTTTTGTGATTTTTGTCTGAATGGAACTTATTTATTTATTCCTTATACCATAAGGATAGCAACTATTTATTTTGATACATATCCTGACCCCCAGGGGTGTGGTGTCGTACCACACCCACTTTTTTGTCTGTAAATACTCTACATTTTGCTATAATTAAACGTTTTTGTTCAAATTCAGCATATCTGTCATTTCAATAAACAGGGTGGCACCTATTTTATATTGTTCCAAATCCAACCCCCAGGGGCAGAGCCACACCCAAAACACTCCATTTTGTTTGATTGTGAGGAGATGTAAAGAGCGAAATATAAAATTGGATTTTATCAAAACTGCAGGTATAATACTATAGGGCCTATATACTGTAGAGGTTACCCAAGTTATGTAAATGTGTTCTGGTTAATGTATTGAAGTCGTTAGCTAGTACTAGTGACAACGAGAACTAGGTTAACAAGGATAAGTCTGGTAGTTTAAAATCAGGGAATGTCATTATATAGAGCAGGAGCCCAGGGGGTTAACCTAGCTGAAAAGTGTACTAATTTTCACCTATATGGTATCAATGTATGTATATCTGGTATCATCAGAATGTAAGTCTGCCGGGTTTCTGGTGGTGGGTGTGGTATTCCACGCCCAAAATGCGATGCCCCCCAACTAGTCTAGATTAGCTCAAAAGTGTACCACATGAAAATCGCACAGCAATGTAACGTACATCTTCAGGTATTACAAAAACACTCTGACAGACATTTCTAGTGGTGGGGTACCCCTGACAGAGCTATGTAATTGCCAGACATTTGTAGTGATGGAGTATCCCTGACAAGAGTTATCTAATTTCCAGACCAAAGCTAGGCTAGATTAGCTCAAATCTGTACCACCTAAAACAGCTTTGGAGTTGTTCAGTACCACCACAGGAATTATGAATGACCACTGCCAGACAGTTTGTGTGGTTGGTTGCCCCTAACAGACACGCCCAAAATAACACGACCCCCAACTAGGATAGATTAGTCGGCACTGTTCCTGTGGTCCAAAAATTAAAAATTATGCCAGGATGCGTAGAATACTAATACCTAGCACATATGAAAGAAGCGATAAACTGCGGTTGTAGGAACAATTTTATTTTTCAAAAACGCATATTTAGCCCCATAAAATGTGTTTTGCCCAAAAATCAATTCCTTGCAATCGCTCCCGGTCCCGGTCTAGCTCCCGGTCTAATAGTCTGATAATCCAAATATGGTAATCCCATGCATTAGAAACGTGGTTAGTCGCCCTCCTAGGTGCCCATATAAGTACACTGTGTTGAAATCCAGGATAGCGTCTGTGCAGTTGACCAATCCGATAAAGGAGGTACCTGGTTAGTTTCCCGGGGCTCAATGCGTGACTCATGCGCGTGACCTCTTTATAGGGGGCGTGCACGGTTTAAGTTTCATAGAGCAGTCCGAAAGGGGAAGATCATACCCACAGCTTCCTCGGCTTAGTGGCAGGGAAACAAACATTGTTCGGACATCATTTAGACACCACTTGGATTAGACCACCCCGTTAAGTCGTGGGAGAACCATATGATGTTGAGGGTACCGTTAGTAAACTTGTCCTACGAAAAGGTGGGGTAAAGAGAATGATGTTAATGGTAATGTAGTAAACACAAGCTAGGGAAAGAGAACTTATATTTAGCTTATATTTAATGTCATAGCTGTGTGTGTAGTTTCCTGTATTATGGATGTTATAAAGATATAAAAACATAGTTAACGTGAACAGTGTTTTAGATTTAACTGATCATTTGAAATAATTAATCACAATGTGAAGTCAAAGAAAACTCCTAGACAATAGTATCAATGGCCGTTGTCTGGAAGTTCCTGATTACACATCTGTCGGGCCGTAGTGTCACATAGGTTATTTCTCTAAGAACTTTTATTTTTGGAATGAGACTGCTATCATTAACACATTCTTTCACTAAAATGTTAGTATGGAGCAAAGGTGGCAAGATAAGGGCTTTTCATACAAAATTAAGCAGTTTTATTCTCTAAAATATAATCGAGATTGGCCCTTTAAAGCTGCAATTTCATATTTTTAAGTTATATTTTTAAAATTTATTAAAATAAAGCCTTAAAATAGATGGTATCTATAAACAGTCCTACCTTGTTAAAGAATAATCCTATTAATCCTATAATTCACTATTCCCAGTTGAGAAACTGGCAAAAATATCATTTTCAACTTTAAATACAAACGTTTGAAGATAGCTATTCCATGGGGGGAATAGGAAAACAAGGGAGGTAATTGTGTTATTATTTCCGGGGTCAAAGGATTTTTAATAGGGAGAATGATACCTATAATCGTATAATAGTGAGTTGACAACCTGTTGCCCAAAAGACATAGAAATAATTATGTTTTGACTTTCTTAGAAAATATGAAATTATCGCTTTAAGCTTCCAAAGAATACAGCAAAATGCACTTTAACAGATGCAATTAAAGACACTCAATATTACAGCAAGTGTCACAGATGATTATTGGATGACAATGAAATAATTTATGTACAACAATTGTATATAGATAATAAATATGTATTTGTTTTCATATCAAATCAATATCTTCCAAAAAACATCAGTAAGTGTCACAGATGATCATTGATTTTTAATATTACAGGCCAAGTTGTGTTATTTATTCCATGTTGAAACATTTTTTCTTTCATTATTTATTACAGAGCCAATATTTATTTATATAAATCAGTATTGTACAATCAATTGATAATATGCCCGTACACACAGTTAATTCAAAAATGTCCAAGAAAGGGAAGATGTTGGAACAACCGGTCAAAATGTCTAAAAAGGAAGGTACATCTGAAAAGAAAAAAGGAAAGGTAGAGATTTTGTTTAACTGTTAAAGTGGCAATATTGTTATTAATTTATCATAACCAACCAATTCCAATCTTTGAATGGAATTAAAACATACTATATTATGGTCATCTACAAACTGATTGAGGTTTAGAAACCTCCAATTTGTGGGTGAACATGACAGGCCGATTTCTGCATAATTGAAAACACAATTATCTATATATATATATTTGTGACTGTCGTTTGTCTGTCTGTCTGTCTGTCTGTTCGGGGTTGGCGGCTAAACTAGGTCTGCCCCGAGTCTGAAATTTGGGGTATAGGGGTAGCTCGGACCGGGGAGTAACACAGGCCAGGTGGCGTTAGTCTACCACTTCCGGTTTCGGAGTTATGACCCCCGAGCGAAGTCGGTCTGTTCGGGGTTGGCGGCTACACTAGGTCTGCCCCGAGTCTGAAATTTGGGGTAAAGGGGTAGCTCGGACCGGGGAGTAGCATAGGCCAGGTGACGTTAGTCTACCATTTCCGGTTTCGGAGTTATGACCCCCGAGCGAAGTCTGTCTGTTCGGGGTTGGCGGCTACATCTGCCCCGAGTCTGAAATTTAGGGTATAGGGGTTACATAAACCAGGTGGCGTTAGTCTACCACTTCCAGTTTCGGAGTTATGACCCCCGAGTGAAGCCGGGTATCCTGCTAGTATCACATAATATGAAGTTGCTTTATTATTCAGTATGTATATATCTACATTGTAGGAAGCAAATAGAAAACGGCATACTGATAATAGTACCAATAAAAATGAGTCTGTTTCCAAAGTTGGTAAACAAAATAGAAATGGAAACCAAAGAACTGATGAAAACCTTGGAGCAGTTAAAAACATTGAATGTCATGGAAGGTAATAAAATAAAACTTTCTGAATTGATATTCAGTCCGTCTGTCAGTGAGAATAGTGAAACTTTGTGTATAGTTTCATTACATCAAACTTGAGTATAGTTTCAGGACATCATTACCTTGACTAAGTTTAATGATGAGCAATTTGATTGCTCAAGACTTTGGAGCTCGACAACTTTGAATCTAGTTGAGAGAGAATGCTGAAACTTGGCGTATATCATTACATCAATACTTTGATTTAAAATTGTGTGTCATCTAATAACCTTTCTTAATTTGGCCGGGGACATCACCATCACTGTTGGTTTGTTATACGCCGACATTTTCATGTGGACGTATTATGCCATCGCTCCTGTCCGTCCGTCCGTCCGTCCACAATTTGTTTCTATACACTCTACAGGTCACAATTTTTATCCGATTTTGATGTAACTTGAAATATAGGTCTGTCTCCCAAAGATCTTGGTTCCTTTCGATATTGGCATGTATCGGACCATAACTTCATGGATTATGGCCCCTGAATGCCCTGATTGTTCGAAAAATTACATTTATAGCTTGTGGACACTCTAGAGGTCACAATTTTCATCTGATTTTGAGAAACTTGAATTGAAATGCATGTTTATAATCCAAAGATCTCGGTTCCTTTCAATATTTGCGCATATTGGATCATAAGCTTCCTGAATAATGGCCCCTGATTAGACGAAAAATCAAGTTTTTGGCTTTTGATCTCTTTTAGAGGTCACAATTATTATCAGATTTAATAAAACGTTCGAATATATTACCATTACACCCTTATGATGGTTGAGTTTGAATTTAGTGGACCCTCTAGAAGTCACAATTTGATGAAACTTAAAATGTATCTTTATATCGCAAATATTTCACTCCCTTTCGATGTTCATGCATTTCATACCATAGCTTCCTGGATTATAACACCTGATTGTACGAAATATCGCTTTTTAATACGCCCACATTGAAATGTCGTCGTATATTGTTGTTGCCCCAGTCCGTCTGGCGGTCCGGCGTCCACAATTGCTTGTGGGCACTCTTATGGCTGAAGTTAATATCCGATTGACTTTAAATTGATACACAGTGTTTAAGGTCATGAGACGAAGAAGCCTATTGATTTTCAGCGATTTCCGATAATTACTGTCAGAGTTATGGCCCTTGATCACTTTGAAAAATCTTGTGGACGCTCTAGAGGCTAAAATTAATATCCGATTGACTTTAAATTTATACACAGTGTTTAAGGTCATGAGACGAAGAAGCCTATTGATTTTCAACGATTTGGGATAACTACTGCCAAAGTTATAGCTCTTGATCACTTTGAAAAATCTTGTGACGCTTTAGAGGCTAAAGTTATCATCAGATTGAAACACAGAGTTTAAAGGACAATATTGGTGCTAGTCATTATCACATATGTGATAGAGCTGGTTAAACACATTCCAAATATAATTTTAACACAGAGATCATTGCTACGATAGCTGAGTAATACACGTTTCCTGAATCGGAATTGACGAACGTCAATGGAAAAAACGAGTCATCTCTATATATAACTGACTGATGTGACGAGTTATAACAGATACACGGCCGAATTTCTACTCACTTATAATTCCTTTGAAGACCAAAAGTTGTTATATTGGACTGTAAGAGGATACCTGACAATTCAATAAAGTAATTGAATGTCATTAGATAAGAGAACACGAGAAAAATAGAAATAGTCTGTACATTCCCTTGTTTAGGCTGACCTTAAAAATATCTTTGTTTCGCCTAACGCGACCGACTAACTAAAACCACCCCCGACTTAAATTATTTTATTGCACTTTTCCGCGATCTTTTTATTTTATTTTGTGTGTCAACCTGAAATATATCACAAGAGTTATTTCCCTTTACTATGGCTATGGTTTGATTCATTATTGAAACTGGTTGATCAAGACGAAAGCGTCATAGGTGTCGCTTCTCAACAAAATGGTTGCAGCGAAAGCACGTCCATTCCCACGAAATGATTCTGCCTCTATGTCTGTGGGGCGTCGTTTTAAACATGACGAAGATATTTTCAATATCCGTTTTCGAGAAAAATGAAGGTACAACCCGCACGATCGTTAAAAACGTGTTGAAGGGGTTTCACACTTAGAGTTCGTGGCAAATCGTGTGCGAGTCTCGGAGTCGTGCATCACAAAAAATCCCGATGTCATACTCATTGATTTGTTTGACAATAAAAAAAGACGAATCTTTCCCCCCCAGAAAATTATCAACCTGTCAAATTAGCTCTTTAAAAAAAAATCTGAAAAAAAACCCCGACCTACCGACCCTTCTCCTCGATTGTGGGTCGGGTTTGGCGAAACAAAGATATTTTGAAGGTCAGCCTTATATTCATTCTATACCTTATAAAAACATGGTAATGCACAGACTTTTTCTGTTTTTCTTTCGTGTTTACTTTTCTAGTGGCAGTCAATTCTTTTTATGAATTATCAGATGTCCTCTCACATTCTCACACAACAACTTTTGGTCTTCGAAGGAATTATTAGTGAGCAGAAATTCGCCCATATATCCGTTATCACTCGTCACATCAGTCAGTTATATAGAGATATGACTTGTGTTTTCCTTTGGCGTTCGTCACTTCCGATTCAGGAAACATGTATTACTCAGCTGTCGTAGCAATGATCTCTGTGTTAAAATTATATTTGAATGTGTTTAACCAGCTCTATCACATATGTGATAATGACTGGCACCAATATTGTCCTTTAAGGTCTTGAGATGAACAAGTATATTGATTTTCAATGAGTCTTTATGACTTGAACAGCTAAATCCATGATGTTAAAAGTTTCGTATACTAAACGTTAGCATATGGCAGAACTTTATAAAAACCAAACAAATTCTAATGGTTTTCTGATAATTATTTAATGAGTTGTTACTCTTAATCAGATTTTAATGTATTATAAATGTTTCATTACCGAAAAAAGTAAAAATATGCGACAACTCTTGTTGACTGCCTGGACTATCTAGCTGCTGTGGGCGTATGTTTTCTTATTATCTATCCATCTCTTGCAAAATGAGGGCGTATCTTGCCTGGCAACTGCTGGTTATTATACGCCCATATGGAAATGTGGAGGGCCTGACAAGGACAGCTCTAGTCATTCAGATGGGACGAAAAACCAAGGTTCCGTGTAGGCCATAGTGCCGCTGTCTGGGCAAAATTTTCACTCATAGCACACTGTATGGCGTATGCCTGTCTTCATTAGCCCATTTAGCCCCAGTTGAAGCAGAAGAGTAGGACGTTAAATCCCATTTCCGTCGTCCACAATTTCTTGTGAACACTACAGACTACATTTATCATCTGATTGTTTTGATATTGATATATATGTCGTTTGCATCAGTGGGATGAAGAAGCCTAGATAATTTCAATAATTTCCGTTAATTTCTTCTGGAGTTTCACTTTGTTCAACTTTGTAAACGCTCTGTATATGCATCATTCAAATTTGTGAAAAAAACCCAAAACATATTGAATTTCAGCAATTCCGTTAATTACGTCTTGAGTAATGGCACTTGTTTTTTTATTGAATGTTGTGAATGCTCTAACAACAAAAGTTATTCTGATCTGTATGAAATTTATATGCATCAATTAGATTAGTGAAACGAAGAAGTCTAGTGAATTTCAGCAATTTCCTTCAATTCATATAGAGTTATGGGCCTTGTTTCTTTTTGTTGAACATATGAACACCTGAATGACAATAGTTATCCACTGATCTGTATGAAACTTATATGCATCATTTGAATTAGTAAAACAAAGAATCATATTGAATTTCCATTAATTTCTTCTGGAATTATGGCCCTTGTTTCACTTTGTTGCACCTTGTGAATGCTCTAATGACGAAAGTTATTATCTCATCTGTATGAAATTTATATGCATCATTTAGATTAGTGAAACCACAAAGCCTATTGAATTTCCCTTGTTATGGCCCTTGTTTCACTTTGTTGAACCTTGTGAACGCTATAAAGCCAAAAGTTATCATCTGTATGAAATTTATATGCATCATTTAGATTAGTGAAATCACAAAGCCTATTGAATTTCAGCAATTTACAATAATTACTTCTAGAGTTATGACCCTTGTTTCACTTTGTTCAACTTTGTTAATGCTCGATTGATGAAAGTTATCATCCGATATGTATGAAATTTATATGTGACCTGTGATGGTAAAATGAGTTGGAATGTGCAATAAAATGAGATACAGACAAAACAAGTGTAAATATTGATTTTGATCGAAATTAGGATTTTCACAAAAAGAGTCTATAAATATACTATCCATCGACCCAAGGGGGGTTGGATGGCTGAAAGGTTAGCGTGCACACGCTGTATCATAAAGTCTGTCATTGAGACAACTGGCGTGGTTTTGAATCCCCGGGTGTACGTGGCAAGGAGTAGGGTCGTCTGTCCAACCTCGTGGGTTTTCTCCGGGTCCTCCGGTTTCCTCCCACTGCTAAAGACCCCTACGCGCAAGCGAATTATTGAAATAAAATTAAACCATATGTTAGTCCCAAAAATGACCTAGTTTGTGTCGAGTGGACGTAAAACCACATTTCTCTCTCTCTATCGACCCAAAAGATCAAAATAGCACCGAGTACCGAATTCATAAATCAGTCTTTTCTCTTAAAATTCTCAGCGAAATTAGTTATTTTTCTCTGCTTAATCCCCTGACCGTTGGCACTAAGGTGCTAATTAATTGACGAGATTAACTGCAGTTATTCTCACCAAAGTTATGATATACAAAACATAGATTACTAATGTATGGACTATTCTCATTTGTTCTAAATTATAACACTATCATAGGAAATGTCAATATGCCGCATATGTTGTTGATGTTTTGTTACAAAAAGAGTTCATTGCATGAGATAAATATTCTAGTTGGCGAGAAAAAATAGATAAACTTTTTTTTATATAAAACAAATCTCAAATCAAAATTTTACTACAATTTTCATCTTCAGCACCCCTGAAAACCTTAAGAATGAAATATTCAACAACAAAATAGCAAATAAATGGTATGGTTGCCATGTAATTTTGTTTTGGAACATACCACATCTTTAACATGAAGAATCCTAGACAGTGAATTTCCAATAATTACACCTAGAGTTATCGGCATATATATTGCTCTTGTTTAACTTTGTTGAACCTTGTGACATTCGATTGATAAGTTATTATCTGACCTGTATGATATTTATATGCATCATTTAAATTAGTGAAATAAAGAATCCTATTGAATTTCAGCAATTTAAATTAATTACTTGTAGAGTTATGGCCCTTGTTTCACTTTGTTGAACCTTGTGAACGTTCGAATGATTTAGTTGCTGTGGGTGTATTTTCGTTGCCTGGCAACTGATCTTTTTAAAATGATATGATACAGCATTGTTTTGTTTCCCATCTTACATGCGACGAGGACTCAGGTTCCTCCAACTGCTAAAGAGCCCTACATTATGAAATTATGAAAATTCTAGTCAAGAGGACAGTGCTACTGACCTGGAACAGAATAAAAAGTTAATGTCAAAGCTTTTGTTTTTACACATACTCCTTAGAAATCAACTGGAAGCAAAGAAAAGTCCTTCTAAAATTGAGATAGAACAACAGTTACAATATATTAAAGAGAAAGAGAGGGAATTAGAAGAACAACTAAGACAACAAGAAGAAGAGGAAAGAAAAAATGATCGAGGAAAGAAAAAAGTTCGAAACAAGAGTGGAGGAGGAGGTGTAAGTATTTAATTTTAAGAAAGATGGAATATCATTTAATTCATTAATTTGTTTGCCTGCCCTGAGACGAAGGGGCCTATTGATTTTCATTGATTTTCGATAATTACTGCCCGAGTTATGTATACTAAACGTTAGTATAGGACAGAACTAGACGCGAAATGGGTTGATACTCGCAAACAAATTTTAATGTGTTGTAACTATTTTCATTTGTGACAAGAAAAAAAATATGCGACGACCCTTGTTGGCTGCCCGGACGACTTAGCTTCTGTGGGCTTATGTTTTGTTAGCTGATGTTGAAGAATCAAACTTATTTTGTATTTAAAAATCCAAAGGTATGCTTTCAAATATTGATTTCATAACAAATCTAATGAATGACACATGACACAATTATATGGAATGCAAGTTACTTGAAAAGTTTATTTCAGCAACGTTTCGACGAGGGTTCTCCCGTCTTTATCAAGCTTAATAAAGACGGGAGAACTCTTCTCGAAACGTCACTGAAATAATCTTTTCAAGTAACTTGTATTCCATACAATTGTGCATGTGTTTTTCTTATTGTCCCCCGCCTTTCGAAGAAAGCAGGGGACTATTAAAATGGGTTCGTCCGTCTGTCTGTCTGTCTGTCTGTCTGTCCGTCTGTCTGTCCTTCTGTCTGTCCGTCTGTCTGTCCGTCACACTTTTTGGGACACAATAACTCTCTTCCTAATTGAGCTAGAATGTTCAAACTTGGTGTATGTGTTTATTAGGTCAATGCCTTGATGGAGTTCAAAGATGAGCATTTTCCGCTTAGGGTAAGCAGAGATAAGCAATTTGATTGGTTGATGCTTTGGGACACGATAACTCTCTTCCTAATTGGGCTAGAATGTTCAAACTTGGTGTATGTGTTGATTAGGTCAATGCCTTGATGGAGTTCGAAGATGAGCATTTTCCGCTTAGGGTAAGCAGAGATAAGCAATTTGATTGGTTGATGCTTTGGGACACGATAACTTTTAATTGAGCTAGAATGTTCAAACTTGGTGTATGTGTTTATTAGGTCAATGCCTTGATGGAGTTCGAAGATGAGCATTTTCCGCTTAGGGTAAGCAGAGATAAGCAATTTGATTGGTTGATACTTTGGGGCACGATAACTCTCTTCCTAATTGAGCTAGAATGTTCAAACTTGGTGTATGTGTTGATTAGGTCAATGCCTTGATGGAGTTCGAAGATGAGCATTTTCAGCTTAGGGTAAGCAGAGATAAGCAATTTGATTGGTTGATGCTTTGGGACACGATAACTTTAGTTCTAATTAAGTGAGATTGATGAAACTTGGTGTATAGTTTCATTACAGTAATACCTTGACTAAGTTTGATAATGAGCATTTTCTGCTCAGGGTAAGCAGAGCGATACGCAATTTGATTTGTCGAGACTTTGGAAAACAATAACCCTCCTACTTTGATTGTCCCCCGCCTTTCGAAGAAAGCAGGGAACTATTAAAATGGGTTCGTCCGTCTGTCTGTTTGTCTGTCTGTCCGTTCCGCTTATGGTAAGCAGAGATAAACAATTTGATTGGTTGATCTTCGAATTGAGTAAATGTTCATGCTTATTGTCCCCCGCCTTTCGAAGAAAGCAGGGAACTATTAAAATGGGTTCGTCCGTCTGTCTGTTTGTCTGTCCGTTCCGCTTAGGGTAAGCAGAGATAAACAATTTGATTGGTTGATGCTTTGGGACACTATAACTTTAGTTCTAATTAAGTGAGAGTGATGAAACTTGGTGTATAGTTTCATTACAGTAATACCTTGACTAAGATCGATAATGAGCATTTTCTGCTCAGATTAAGCAGAGCGATAAGCAATTTGATTTGCTGAGACTTTGGAACACAATAACTCTCTAATTATTTTCCTATTTCGGCGGGGGACATCAGCCTCACTGTTGGCTTGTCCAGTTACTAAATGCCACTTAAACAATTTAACCTTATGAAGTATTAGTGAAGCTTTTTTTAAATAAAATCAATATGGTTTCAACTGGTCTATACGTGACCCCAAAGTACAACACAAGATGGAGAAATTAAACATCAACAATGAATGAATGGAATTTGTACTGACTGTTAACTAAAAAGCTGTAATTTAATATATACTATTCAAAAAAAGTAGGGGATATTTGATTTTGGGGGCATAATACTAAAATATGCAAATGACTACGAAAAAAGTCACTATAGAACCTAACAGAAGAAACATTTCCAGTTACATGTGACGCCCAAACGCACCAATAGCTACCGCATGGAATGCAGGTGATGCTTGGGATCATCATGGGGGTCCAACCCAAGATTTGCACGACTCTGACTTTGAATGTTACAGTCATTGTGGCATTGAATTCCAGGGTGGAAACATCAGTTTAATTGTTTTAGTGACCAGAAAACAAACTTTGATATGCGTCGGCTTACCCAAAATGAAAGGTTAAGTGCCCTTGGCATGCTACAGATCGGCACAACACAGGCGGTTGTGGCGCGGACGATGAATGTTTCTCAGTCTGTCATAAGCAGGCTATGGTCCAGATACCGTGATACACAATCTGTACAGGGCAGACCACGCTCAGGTCGACCAAGGGCGACAACTCAAGCCCAGGATCGATTTATCCGTACCTTGGCCTTGAGAAATCGTGTCATCACAGCAAATCAGATCAGCGCTCGTCTTCAAACAGACACTGGTGTGAGAGTGAGTGGCCAGACGATTCGGTATCGACTGCATAGGGGTCACCTTCGCGCCCGACGTCCTCGCGTGATCCCTTGTTTAAGAGATCATCACATTCAGGCAAGACGTCGTTGGTGTAGGGATCGTCAACACTGGGATAATCGACGCTGGAGCAATGTGATGTTTTCAGATGAGTCAAGGTTCACTGTTGATTTTTTGGACAGACGTAGGAGGGTGTGGCGTCGTCGAAACGAGCGCTTCCAGGACGTTAACGTCATCAGACATGATCGATTTGGGGGTGGTTCTGTTATGGTGTGGGGAGGCATCACTGTTGCTGGAAGAACGGCTTTACATGTTGTTGCAGGGCGTGTTACAGGCCAGTACTACCGGGACAACATCTTGGCAGTCCATGTTGTGCCGTTCGCACGACGTCATGGCCGCCGTTTCATCTTCCAGGATGACAACGCAAGATGTCACAGGGCCAGGATCGTTACAGGTTACCTCCAACAACAGAACATCACCACATTACCTTGGCCAGCACTGAGTCCCGACCTCTCCCCCATCGAGCATGTCTGGGACATGCTTGGACAGAGGTTACGTCAACGTCAACAACGTCCTGCCAATGTCCAAGAACTTGCTGCTGCGTTGCAACAGGAATGGGACAATCTGGACCAAAATGACCTTAGACGTCTCATTAGGAGTATGCCACGTCGGATCAATGCTTGTTTGGCAAACAGAGGAGGATTTACCCGTTACTGACTTGGTTGTGATGCTGTGGTAACTTTGCTGTTTGACCCCGGGTATCATTTTACCCTTATAATGGTCAGTCTGTGCCTTACTTAGTCTAACGATCATTTGGAATAAATCGATGAATGTGAACTTCATTTCATTTTGTCATTTGTTTCTTCGTCAGTTTCATTAGGTGACTTTAATAACACTTAAAAATCAAATATCCCCTACTTTTTTTGAATAGTATATTATCAAGTCTTATTTTGGTGCATCAAATATTTTGAGAGAAAATTTTTATGGGTTAACCGGTTTCGGTTGGGTTTTTAACGACCAGTTAACCGGTTCAATAATTTTTGAACTGTTACATCCTTACTGGCAATCTATCTTTATTCAATTTTTATACGCCCACATTTTCATGTGGACGTATATTGTCGTCGCCCCTGTCCGTCTGGACGTCCACAATTTGTTTGTGGACTCTCTACAGGTCACAATTCTTGTCCGATTTTGACGAAACTTGAAATAAAGGTTTATCCCAAAAAGATCTCGGCTGCTTTCGATATTGGCATGTATCGGATCAAAACTTCATGGATTATGGCCCCTGTTTGTACGAAAAATCACTTTTTTAGCTTGTGGACCCTATAGAGGTCACAATTTTTATCCGATTTTGTTGAAACTTGACATGTAAGTTTATAACCCAAAGATCTCAGTTCCTTTCGATATTCGTGCATATCGGACCGTACCTTCCTGAATTATGGCCCCTGATTGTACGAAAAATCGCATTTTTAGCCTGTGGACCCTATAGAGGTCATAATTTTGATCTGATTTAAAAAACCGTATTATTATATCACCTAAGAAAGGTTGAGTTCGAATTTCGTGAAAATCGGACCAAAATTGCCGGACAAAATGGCCGCCGTTTGTACGCGAATAGTGTAAAAATATGGTAAATCATGGTTGTGGACCCTGTATGGGTCACAATTTTAATTCGATTTTGATGAAACTTGAAATGCATGTTAATAACCTACAGATCACAGTTCCTTTCGATATTGTCGCATATCGGACCGTAACTTCCTGAATTATGGCCCCTGATTATACGGAAAATTGCGTTTTTAGCTTGTGGACCTTATAAAGGTCATAATTTTTATCTGATTTAAAAAACCGTATTATTATATCACTGTTACATCCTAAGGAAGTTTGAGTTCGAATTTGGGGAAAATCGGACCAAAATTGCCAGACAAAATGGCTGCCGTTTGTACACGAATAGTGTAAAAATAGGGTAAATCAAGGTTGTGGACCCTGTATGGGTCACAATTTTAGTTTGATTTTGATGAAACTTGAAAAGCATGTTTATAACCTAAAGATCTTGGTTACTTTCGTTATTCTCGCATATCGGATCGTAACTTCCTGAATTATGGCCCGATTGTTCGCAAAATCGCCTTTTTTAGCTTGTGGTCCCTCTGGAGGTCACAATTATTATCCAATTTAAAAAAACGTTTCATTATATCACCGTTACACCGTAATGAAAGTCAAGTTCGAATTTCGTGAAAATCGGACCAAAATTGCTGGACAAAATGGCCGCCGCCCGTACACGAATAGTGTAAAAATAGGGTAAATCAAGGTTGTGGACCCTGTATGGGTCACAATTTTAGTTCGATTTTGATGAAACTTGAAAAGCATGTTTATAACCCAAAGATCTTGGTTCCTTTCGATATTTGCGCATATCGAATTGTAACTTCATGAATTATGGCCCTTGATTGTAGGAAAAATCACTTTCTTTTTAGCTTGTTCTCTATCCATCTCTCAAAAATGTAGGCGTATCCTGCCTGGCAGCCGCTGGTTATTATTCTGTTACTCTTAAACTTCTAATGGAATTGTGTCAGAGTCGTCTGATGCTCCAGGAAAAGTCTTTGTGATTTAAAGATACATTCCCGCATACAAACTGGGTGATTTGTTAATATATTTGGACTAAAAATATATTCAAACTAATAAATTTATCATAATTTTGCTTCAAATCCTTCATAAAATATTGCAATTGTCAGGGAATACCCTTACTATAAAAAATCATTCAAAACAGGGCGTGTTTGTGCCACGTGACTAACCTCTCTAGGTACATAGCGGGTGGGAAGTCGGAGGAGAATTCATAACATACACAAGACAATGTTGTTTTTAATTGCTGACTATTTATTACAAATATTGAAGCCTAATTAAATTCTCGGATTATCCACTGCCCGCGTCTTTTCCTGTGATTTTTATCTCAGAAAGTGTTGTACGTCTAACTCTTTATAAAGTTTATCAACATGTACATCAAGCGCTCAATCTCCTCATGCAACCTTTGACGTCACAAGTGCAGACACTCCTAATCGTCGGGTTGTCGATTAGGAAAACCCTTACATTTTTGTCTTGTATGTTTTTCAGTGAATGCAGTATTTTTCTAGTAAGATTGGATATTTCTAATTTCCATATATACCAAAATTGCCATACTTGTATTGGAAATAACCACCTGAGAAATACTGTTCTGGGAACCTATCTTTAAAGGATAGAGCTATTTCAAATAGCATGTGCAATTAAAGTTTCTATTTAAGATACGCTTCTGCATTGGAAATGGGCACCTTGATTACTGAATTGAAAAATGCACAAAATGATAAGGGCCAAAATTTCATTTTCGTTTTAACACCATTTTGAAATAAAACTGAGAAAGTTTATATTTTCGGCTTATCAAGTCGATATGAAAAAATATTTTAAGTTTTATTCCTCTTTAGGGGGAACTGTGTTTTTTTATTGGTACAGGAAGTGATATGTAGTAAAGTTTTAATGATCAGTAGTAAAACCTGTCATGGCAGTTTCACTTTTCTAGTTTATGTATTTTTTTTTTTTTTTTTTAAATCTGTCACTTATTTCCATTATACAAGAATGTAAAAACATTTATTGAAATAATAATAATACAATAATTGCTTGTCAACAGCACTGAACTTGTGCCGTTGTCAAAGAAAATGATCTGTAAGAAATTTTATAATTCAGATGTGAAATCCAATTAAAATTATAGCTAAACAAAGTCATTTTTTACATCAGTCAGAACAGAAAATTAAAGATTAAAATTCAGAGTAAAAGATAACAAATTATAGCCTATATGGAAAGTGTGAAAAGGAATAAATGTCTCAATTTATAGGGGCCGGTTGTGATAACCTTTGAGATTGAGAGATTTTAAAATTACAAGCATTGAGAGGTATGAAACATGGTTTGGTGTGGCATAAACTTTTGAGTTATTTTTGTTTATTAATTCATATCAAAATACAACACCTTTTAATAGAGCTTTATTTGCTTTTAGAAAAAGAAAGGGAAAGACACAACGAAACAGCAAATGAAAGGGGAAATGGAAGAAATTCAAGCGTCATCTGGATCAGCCATACAGAGTAATGTTAACAATAATGCAACAGCTGATCAGTATAAAGATATGAAAAACCCATTAAAGGCTGAAATTTTGCCAATTTTAAAGAAAAATATCAGTAAGAATGTCAAAGAAAAATGTTCAGACAGTTCAGAGGTAGGTTTAATTTTTGTACCCTGCCATTTGTAGAAAGCAGGGGACTATCAAAATGGGTTTGTTTGTCTGTCAGACCGTCAGTCCGTCTGTCCGTCCATCCGTCCGTCACACTTTTTGGGACACAATATAACTCTCCTTCTAATTGAGCTAGAATGTTCAAACTTGGTGTTTATTAGGTCAATGCCTTGATGGAGTTTGAAGATGAGCATTTTCAGCTTAGGGTAAGCAGAGATAAGCAATTTGATTGGTTGATGATTTGGGGAAACGATAGCTTTAGTTCTAATTAAGTGAGACTCTGAGAGTGATGGAATTTGATGTATAGTTTTATTACATCAATACCTTGACTAAGTTCAATAATAAGCATTTTCTGCTCAGGGTAAGCAGAGCGATAAGCAATTTGATTGGTCGAGACTTTGGAACACAATAACTCTCATTCTAATTGAGCTAGAATGTTCACACTTGGCTTAGGTGTTTATTAGGTGAATGCCTTGATGGAGTTCAAAGATGAGAATTTTCTGCTTAGGGTAAGCAGAGATAAGCGATTTAATTGGTTGATGCTTTTGGACACGATAACTTTAGTTATAATTTAGTGAGAGTGAGGACACTTGGTGTATAGTTTTATCACATCAATACCTTGACTTAAGTTCAATAATGAGCACTTTCTGCTCAGGGTAAGCCGAGCAATAAGCAATTCGATTGGCAACAAAGTAACTCTCGTCCTAATTGAGGTACAGGGATGTGCCCATGCCGGTCGGCACTATTTTTTGCCGCGCAGGACAAAGAAAAAATCGAAGAAAGACGCCCAGTTGGCAGGCCTCGAAATGTTTAAAAAAAAAAGCTTTTCTTTATACCTGTAGCTTCAGTAAATAACCTGTCACTCTCAATTATCAAACTCAAAGACTAATCACATCACACATATCCATACATGAAGGTACACACACACGTTTGTTTAGGTCTTTGATGTACATTGCTCCATATAAATATAATAATATGAAAACTTTTCATTTCTTCGACATCGGAATGTCTAAAAGTTCTTGAAAGTCGGCTAATCTGCTTTAGCTCAGCAACTTGAAGATTCGTACAATTTTATCATCCGTATCCACGTGAATTCCACAAAGTATCATGGTACCACACCACATAGAATTCCCTTCCCACATATCCGGACTATATTTACGCTACAAATTATATTTTTCCGACTTGATTATTTGATTTTTCAAATTGTCTTACTCTTATAAATTATTCGTAGCCTTTTTTTTTATGGAAATTGCTTAAAACTTTCCAAATGATTAAATACACCAAGCAACGAATCGTGTGCATTTCCATTCCAACCACTACTATATACTGTGGTGTCGTTACGGTAGAATTATATCAGGTGACTTGGGGGTGCGTTTTAATTTATTTAGATATAATACTCCATAATGCTATAAACTTGTGTCAAGCAGATGAAAACAAGTGTAGATGGTGTGAAATTCATTGTTATAAAATTGTCTACTTCCAAAATGTGTGAGTAACTGTAGCCTACGACAGAGCGAAATGTAAACAGTGCAGATGGCGGCTTTTCTCGTTATTTACGTGCTTAATTCTAGCGCTTATAAACGAATAATTAAATGTACATGACGTGAACGTGAGTATTGTGGTCTTAAGTCAATTTACTGAACATCCAGTAAAATTTAGTCCACCTGTCGCAAGGGGGGTTGGATGGCTGAATGGTTAGCACGTGCGCGCTGTACCATAAAGTCTGTCATTGAGTCAACTGGCGTGGTTTCGAATCCCCAGTTGTACGTGGCAAGGAGTAGGGTCGCCTGTCCAACCTCGTGGGTTTTCTCCGGGTCCTCCGGTTTCCTCCCACTGCTAAAGACCCCTACGCGCAAGCGAATTATTGAAATAAAATTAAACCATATGTTAGTCCCGAAATGACCTAGTTTGTGTCGAGTGGACGTTAAACCCCATTTCTCTCTCTCTCTCCACCTGTCGCAAGCGACTGGTAGTTTTAATTGCTACCAGTCAGACGAAAAAAATCGCCTGTAGGCGACAAGTAGACAGGCGAACATTTCGAGCCATTGTTGTATTTAAACCCCTTCGTCCTTCTCTGTACACAAACTGGGCGCTCAAAATTTACCATGGCAAATGGCAAAGCCATGGTAAAAGCCGCAGTAGACACTATCATCCCAAATTAGTTTAAAGAATGAAGTATTGGTATTTTGTTTATTTATATTTAGAAGTTGTGTAGGTCTATTCATTTTACAATTCTACGGTCTTTAAATTTGTATATTTGCCGTAAATAGGTCACCCAGACCAATTTACGGCACTCTTATTTTAAAGGTTTGGATGTCGTAAATGGTGTCGTACTTTCAGTATTACGATCAATTTTTAATGTACTCATTCTACCGTTAATTCTACCGAATAAGTACGAGAGGCTTTTGACTTTGAAACAGTTCTTTCTTTTTTAGTAAATTAATTTGCAGTATATTGTAAACTATAGTAATAATAACTATAATGCTATATGTAATACCACTTACATTAGTTTTGTTTAGCATATGTACAATAAATAAATTTTGAAAACTTTATTTTTATGTACCGGTACAAAAAAATGCTGTGCTGCCGTAGCAGTTCAATTCTGCTACAGCATTTTTCATTTCCTTGTGCTGTAGTGAAAATTAGAAAATTGCTAATTTCGACGACTGCAAAAAAACATTGTTCTCTGTTGTTGTTTATTAAGTGTTTAACATCCAAGGCAATGCAATAACATCATGGACAGTGTAATATACACCAAGAAGGGATGAATTTTCATAAAAGGTACATATATATCAAAGGTTTGAATAAAATTTGTAGGTCGGATAGTGTGGCATTGATGACCTTGTTGACCATTTGTTCTGGGTATCCGTTGTGGTGGGTGAATACTTCTTTTAAGTGTTGAATTTCTACGGGGAGGGATTCAGGGTCACAAATATTCTTGGCTCTTTTGGTTAAAGTGGTGGTAATGCCTGCTTTTGTGCTGATAGGGTGATTAGATTTGTAGTGGATATACTGATCTGTATGTGTTGGTTTTCGGTACACTGAGGTGGTGATATTGGCGTTCTCTCTTCTTACCAGTACATTAAGAAATGGGAGGCTGCTGTTGGTTTCATTTTCAATTGTAAACTTCATTCTTGAATGTTGGTTGTCAGGAGGATGACCTAAGCAATTTGGTTGGTCAATGCTTTAGGACAAGATAACTTTGATTCTGTCTGCTAGAGAGTGATGAAACTTTACTTAGTGTATAGTTGATAATCAGTTTGATTGCTTGATACTTTTGAAAAAAATAAATGTGCGTTAAATTAAAATGTGTCATCTATTTATTTTGGGATTTCGGCGGGGACATCAGCCTCACTGTTGCCTTGTTAAAATGTACAAAGGACAAACTGAAAACTATTAACATTTGTATAGGTATTAATACTATTATTAGTATTTAAAGCAGATTACTTTTTTCCTATTGCCTGAAAGATGTAAATGTTATGTGTATTATAAAGATAAAATGTTCTGGTTTAACCTTGGTATAACCTCACTTCTAAATTAGGCAGAAGAGGTATCTTAGATTTGCACAAGTCCCATCGGCCGACAACCATTTTTTGTCACATCTGCAGAGATACTTCATGTTAAAAGTAAGAACCCTATCTCGAAAAATTAAAGTTATCATCTGATTACTGGAATATGTTTTGTTTATGTTAGCTCTAAAAATAACTTGAAGTCAATAAGATTTTAATTATTTGATGGGTGGTTGTCCTTGATTTTTTTTTTTTGTGTATTCTAAATGTTCCCATTACTTTTTTTGTGTATTCTAAATGTTCCCATTACTTAACAAAAGAATTTTTAAAAAAATGACAACCATTATAGACTGCTTGAATGCCTTAGCTACTGTATGCACATTTTTTCCGTTCCAATGCAATGTATCTTTAAAAACATGGTCGGATTTTTATACGCCCATATTTTCATGTGTTCGTATTATGTCGTCACCCCTGTCCATCTGGACGTCCACAATTTGTTTGTGGACACTATACAAAACTTGAAATATAGGTTGATCTCGGTTCCTTTCGATATTGGCATGTATCGGACCATAACTTCATGGATTATGGCCCATGAGTGTACGAAATTTTGATGAAACTCAAATGCATGTTTATAACCAAAAGATCTTGGTTCCTTTCAATATTTGCGCATGTTGTATCGTAACTTCCTGATATGGCCCCTGATTAAACGAAAAATCACGTTTATAGTTTGTGGTCCCTATAGAAGTCACTGAATATATCATCGTTACATGATGATGGTTGAGTTCGAATTTCGTGAAAATTGGACCAAAACTGCCAGACAAAATGGCCACCCTTGTACGCAAATAGTGTAAAAATATGGTATATCATGTTTGTGGACCCTCCCACAAGGCCGTATAAAAAATTATAATGCATTTTTCTCCCAACACATACATTGTTAAGGACTTACGTAATTTCTATACTGTTTTTATTTAATATGACAGTTGGTTGGATTTGAAGAACAGTACTTCATATCAATTGCCCTTTTTGAAGATCATAATAATCTCGATGACATCGTGCATGACTGTAGTAGCGGTAAACGGCTTTGTCCTAATAAATTCTTATGACACTTGGACAATATGTTATTGACTAAGAATGGACCGCTTCACGCCATTGATAAGATTCCCACGTATCAATCAACTTTTATTGTTCTACTACCAGACACTCATCATTAATTATCAACACAACACTCGGTATAATCTGTTGACGACTATGTATACAACTCTATAACATCAATAACGAAATTTTCCGGCGTGGTCCCCCCCTTGTCAGTGATGCAGTATGGAGGGCCTGACAAGGACAGCTGTCTAGTCATTTGGATGAGACGAAAAACCAAGGTCCAGTGTACACATTGGTGTCAGGGCTGCCGACAACCGGTATCACAGCGCAATTTGCAATACATATTTTGTCCGTTGCTAATCAAAAATTAAAATCTAACGTTTTTGATTCGCAGTAACTGCGAATCATTAATATGCCTGTCATTTTGGATATTGACACAAAGATTTATCCACATTTCTCAACACTTCCAACGTGTATAAAATATCAAATAAATTTTATAAACAAAACTGAATTCTCTGTGTGACATTTTCTTCTCGAACTACCCAGACTCAATTCATTATACTATATTATACAGGGACATAACTCTATGAATTGGGACTATTAAACCGGAAATAGGGAATCAAGTAGTACCACTCATGTTGCGAGACATGTCAATTTCAAGTAATTATATCAGTATTCAATTTGAAAAAAATAAATTCAATGTATCCCCCATGTATTGTAAATAAAATATAAAAAATAAATATGTGTAAACGTATTGTAAAATGAGAAATCAAAGTAAGAATTCCTGTAAAATATTATTGTTTATATCCCGTGCGTCTAGTTAATCGAGATTATTCGATAAATACTGTGTGCGTCCGATTGAACAAAAATAGTAACACACGATAAAAAGCAGACGAAATTGGTTTCTAACGAATGAGCGGGACTTCGGAAGCCACTGCCAAGAATTGGCTTCAGACATAAGGCCTAACCAAAAGTCTACATTCAGAAATGTTCACAGCTACCTGGAGCAGTGCTAAAATTCTAAAAAATCTCAAGAATGAAATCTAATCATTTGTTATAAATTAAAATTAAAATAATCTTGTTATTAAGGTGTTTTATGTTGAAACTGAAAAACTGCTTATCAATTTTTAAATTTGCTAATCAAATTTGGCAAAATTGTACTTTTTGATTAGCAGTGCTGCTAATCATCTGTGAAAAATTACCGACAGTCCTGATCGGTGTGCACGTAAAAGATCCCTTGACATTTGGAATTTGATATAAGAGTAGGCCATATTGCCGCTGTCCGGGCAAAATTTCCCTCATAGCACACTGTATGGCGTATGCCCGTCTTCATTAGCCCAGTTCAGAGCAAAACAGTAGGACGTTAAACCCCATTTCATTTCCAATCAAGAGATTATGTGGTTTCTATACGTGTATAGTTACATAGTGGAGGTCGATCGTAGCCATGGTTTCTGCTGAGATGGCTGTTGATTATTATTAGAGGTATTAATGACTGATCTTTTTCCTTTGGCAGCTGATTTAGCTTTCTTCTGTAGACTGTTGAGTAAATAAAGGAGAAAAGTTAGAATATTTTAACTCCATCATCTGTAAACTGTACAGTGCAATAAAGGAGAACAGTAAGGATCATTTAACTACTTTATCATTGCTTGATAAAGATACCTGTAAGAGTACTGAAACGTAGCATGTAATAAATTAAGAAGTAGTAACTCAAGTTGTGTTATTATGAATACTTTTAACTGTATAAAAATAATTCAGTAATAACAGTTTTCTGAATAAGTCTGTGGAAAGTCACCAGTTTTAGATTGTTTAGGTATATGGATAGTTGAATCAATTTCTGATTTGATCAATATTCCTTTATTTTCGAAGCTAAAGTTTTTTAAGTAATCACAAGTATCTCCATATCCACTAGTCTATCTTTATACGTAAGAATTACAGCTATTTACTTTATTACAGAATCTACTACTCACCCAACCTGCTGTAATTCAGTCATTTCCTCCTGGTTTCTTTTTCTTTCCATTTCTTGTTGCTTTCTTAAAAACTCTTGTTTTTTCTTTACTGCATCTCCTGAAGATATCTAAATTAGAATGATAAACAATAGGTTCAGGGCTCATCCCACTTCTACTCGTTGCCACTGGCAACCTTTGATAAAACTGTCCTGTTCATTTGCAATACATGCATAAAAGTATCCGTGTATCAGAAATGTACAGTAAGAGTACTATTCAATTCTGATACAAGGATACTTTTATACCGTTTTAGATACCTATCAAGCAATAAGTAGCGGACGTTTAGTCCGACCCAGATCGCAATTGATAACGATTGCTCTATACAATGTACATGAAACAACTTGTCAAAATCATAGTAACAAAACAAAATGGGGGGGAACTACTACATGGCAGTTCAAAAACATATACTATGACATTAAATTAACATAACAACATATTACAAAAATCAATTATTATACATATCAATTGGCATCTATTTCATAATTTGGTTTGATTTATATTAATATGCAAAATATATAAATTTGAATATTGAATAATTATTTTAATTAATTGTGATGATAGAAGGTGCAGTTCTCTTGCTGGACACTTCACAGGCATTGAAAATAAGCAGGATGAAAAAAACGCCTAGAAAGTCATAAACTTTATTACAAATAAATTTCAACGGAAGAACCATCCGCCGATGCATACTTTCACCAGGAATGACCCACGTTTCGCATTTCCTTTACACTACATTTAATAATATCGCAGTCCTCTACGCCATAGACAAGTTGTTTTGACGATGTGGTCTAAACAAACACGTGATTGTTTTACGCTCAGAGTATCATAGCAAGACGCACATGTAAATACTACTCAGGTCGTCTCTCCACTGCGAAATCATTCTACCATGAAATGTAACGGGAGGCTCAGAAAGGGATAAATAATGAAAGAGCAGAAAGTATTTGTCACTTTTCGGTTGAAACAACTCGATAATAAATACCATTTTTCACATTTTGCTTCACAATACTCGATAGAAATGTGATGTAAGTAACTTATTAGCACCTTTCCTCGGTGTATCGGTGAATTATATATTCCAAAGATCTCAGTCCCTTTCAATATTTGCACATTTCAGACCATAACTTTCTGGATTATGGCCCCTGATTGTTTTTAGCTTGTTTTCTATCAGGGTTGTAAACATCCACTAGCCCGCCGCCCGGGGCTACCAAAAATAATTTACGGGCTAGTGATCTATTTAGCCGTACTAGTCCTGGACTAGTGCCCTTTCACTGTTTTGCGAATTAAACTAGTGACGATATAGATAAATAAACTGTAAAATATCCAACATTTATTTCTCAGATTCCAAGGAAAACTCAGTCATAACAATAGATTTTCTGTAGTAAAACTCTTAAGAGTAGTTTGTAGTGTTAGCATAGATGACTTTGCAGCTGGTGGGCATATTAGATAGCCTATCTAGCCCCCCAGGTAGTGTATGTTAAAGCATTCTTTTTGTTAGAAGATATTATATCAGAGTTGAGAAAGTTGTCATAAACTCTTTTTTGGTATAATTTTAGGATGAAGTATGGAGCAAACATAATAAAGATTTACTTCTGCAACAACATTTAGAAGAATTTCGTCATTTGATGGACGTTCAGCCTAAGCGCCATACTGAAGCTCAAATCAAAATGGAGAGACAGAAAAGTCAGGAAGCTAATATGGAACGGCAAAATAGAGAATTACAAAGGATAAGATTAGCTAGTGCTGGGAGTGTAAGTAGTAGTTATTAGCACACTTTCCGAGGTGTATCGGTGAATATCAGGACAGTTTTGATCGGGGGGCCCAGCCAAGGCGGCTCCCGACCAAAACTGTCCTGATATTCACCGATACACCGAGGAAAGGTGCTAATAAGTTACTTACATCACATTTCTATCGAGTATTGTGAAGCAAAATGTGAAAAATGGTATTTATTATCGAGTTGTTTCAACCGAAAAGTGACAAATACTTTCTGCTCTTTCATTATTTATCCCTTTCTGAGCCTCACGTTACATTTCATGGTAGAATGATTTCGCAGTGGAGAGACGACCTGAGTAGTATTTACATGTGCGTCTTGCTATGATACTCTGAGCGTAAAACAATCACGTGTTTGTTTAGACCACATCGTCAAAACAACTTGTCTATGGCGTAGAGGACTGCGATATTATTAAATGTAGTGTAAAGGAAATGCGAAACGTGGGTCATTCCTGGTGAAAGTATGCATCGGCGGATGGTTCTTCCGTTGAAATTTATTTGTAATAAAGTTTATGACTTTCTAGGCGTTTTTTTCATCCTGCTTATTTTCAATGCCTGTGAAGTGTCCAGCAAGAGAACTGCGCCTTCTATCATCACAATTAATTAAAATAATTATTCAATATTCAAATTTATATATTTTGCATATTAATATAAATCAAACCAAATTATGAAATAGATGCCAATTGATATGTATAATAATTGATTTTTGTAATATGTTATGTTAATTTAATGTCATAGTATATGTTTTTGAACTGCCATGTAGTTCCCCCCATTTTGTTTTGTTACTATGATTTTGACTAGTTGTTTCATGTACATTGTATAGAGCAATCGTTATCAATTGCGATCTGGGTCGGACTAAACGTCCGCTACTTATTGCTTGATAGGTATCTAAAACGGTATAAAAGTATCCGTGTATCAGAATTGAATAGTACTCTTACTGTACATTTCTGATACACAGATACTTTTATGCATGTATTGCAAATAAACAGGACAGTTTTATCAAAGGTTGCCAGTGGCAATGAGTAGAAGTGGGATGTAAGTACTGAGTAGATTAATTTAACCGTAATGACAATTTTTCAGATAATACTGCATATTTACCCAAAGTCATCAGTTATTCAGAGCCCTGAACCTATTGTTTATCATTCTAATTTAGATATCTTCAGGAGATGCAGTAAAGAAAAAACAAGAGTTTTTAAGAAAGCAACAAGAAATGGAAAGAAAAAGAAACCAGGAGGAAATGACTGAATTACAGCAGGTTGGGTGAGTAGTAGATTCTGTAATAATGTAAATAGCTGTAATTCTTACGTATAAAGATAGACTAGTGGATATGGAGATACTTGTGATTACTTAAAAAACGTTAGCTTCGAAAATAAAGGAATATTGATCAAATCAGAAATTGATTCAACTACCCATATACCTAAACAATCTAAAACTGGTGACTTTCCACAGACTTATTCAGAAAACTGTTATTACTGAATTATTTTTATACAGTTAAAAGTATTCATAATAACACAACTTGAGTTACTACTTCTTAATTTATTACATGCTACGTTTCAGTACTCTTACAGGTATCTTTATCAAGCAATGATAAAGTAGTTAAATGATCCTTACTGTTCTCCTTTATTGCACTGTACAGTTTACAGATGATGGAGTTAAAATATTCTAACTTTTCTCCTTTATTATACTCAACAGTCTACAGAAGAAAGCTAAATCAGCTGCCAAAGGAAAAAGATCAGTCATTAATACCTCTAATAATAATCAACAGCCATCTCAGCAGAAAACGAATAAGAAAACATGGGGACGTAAGTTAATACTTGCATGCCTTTAAAGATACATTCCATCAAGATATATTAGACATCTACTGAAATCTGAAAATTTATTTTCAGTCTTTTTTTTTCTAAACCCCTCAATAGATTACAACCAAAATTCATAGATTTTTTGCCTTGGTAGGGCTTATTCAGATTTGTTCAAATAGGTGTTGCTCGGCCCAATAGGGCTAGTCAGAAACACTTTGATGAGGCGAATTGATCTAGTTGTGACATCTTTTCTTTAACTGTTTGATGGATTTCATGAAATTTGGTAGGTATATGTTGATACGTCGTTGCATGTCTGCAAAGCTACATGGCTCCAAATGAAGGAATTTACATAAAAAAGTATTTCTGGGATTGTGCTTATTTAAATTTGTTCAAATGAAGTAGCTTTTGTACATGGTGTTTGGGAAAAATTTTGTCTCTTTGATTCAATTAAGGACTCATAGTGATATTTTCTAGGAATAAAAAAAGTAAAATTATTGTAAGTAAGCTAACAATGACAAAAATAAATCCTTAAAGGTCAACACCAAGTTTGGCAGACGGCTGTGCATCGTTAACACTTAACCATTTTGTGTTCAGGACAGTATATATCTATAAGTTTGTAGCCAGTCATAGGCAGTATTTGTTATGAAATTACAATGCAAATTCTTTCAGCTCTACCAACTAATTTCCGCTTAGAATCTTCAGATGTAGTATGGCCAGAAGTAAAACCAACCAGTAGTCATGGTAATATTTGGTCTGAACGAGAGCGAAAACAACAACAGTTAGCATGTCTTATGCCTAAAACATCTAATGAAGAAGAAGAAATGATCAGAAAAGCTCTAGAACTGAGTGAGAAAACTGCTGAAGAAGAAAAAGAATTTCGTGAGTAAGTATATTTGTAAACTTTTACCATGCCCAGTACATCATTCTAGAAATTGAAATCAACTGTAGTTTCATTTGACATTGATTCGGTTTCTGTAGCTATGCCATTGTGGTCTTGGTTGCTGTTCACTGCTTTTTACTAGAGATGGAGCAACATGTGGCAACCTCTTGGTGAGATTTACCATGAAAATCTTAAGATACACAAACTGGAAGTAGCATACAAGTATACATGCAACTATCCGGACTACATTTCAACGCATCTCTGTTATCCTTCCATCGGAAAATCGTGAAAAAGTCAACAAAATTGCTGTGCAAAAGGGGAAAAAAAGGAAAGGGAGATAAATTCCTTTTCAGTGTAGGATTTAATTGTGTCCGTATGTAGATTGTCTCGATGATTAAAATGCATCTCAGTGTCAGTTGCCCTAAATAGAAGTTCAAATCGTTAGGCAAAAGGCAAAGTTTTTATCTTGTGTCAGTTTGTTTAATAACTTTGATTTAATTTTTGGCTTGCTGTGTCAACAGTGAAACACGAAATCGATACCATTTTGACATTGCTTTATTTATAGACACTTACATTATTAAAAAAGAAAGATTGTTATCCCATAAAACAAATCAACATATAAATTACAACGAATCAAAGTCGTCTAGTCATTTTAAAATATCGTTGAATGATAATTATATCTCTTGAGTTTATGGGGTCTTTTCATTATTTTTTCAGAGCAAATTATAAATACTATCAAAATGATGATGATAGACTTGCTAAGTTATTAGTAAATAGATTTACTATGGAAAGTCAACAATTAGCTGAATTTATTGATTCATCTGGTAAACCTGTTAATAAAAAGAAAACTTCACATACAGACAGGTAATATACATGTTGTTGAATGCCTGGCAAATTGTATTGACATTTTTATGCTTCAATCTGGAATTGTTCTATCCTGTATTATGGCTAATAGTGGTGAACTCCAAGGAATATCATAGTTGGTATTGAAAGGAAAAAAACTATTGTAGCCTTTCTAAATCAAATTGCCAAAATGTGCAAAAATAGCTTTTTCTCATTTTGAGCCGTTTGGAAATGATCAACTAAATAGTTTATAGGGTTTACGTAGCTTTTGTTAGAGCACTCAAAGCCAATGCATGTGCTTTATGGACCGAAGCTCCTATAATTAACTACATCGCGATATTTTATAAAATGGCAATAATTTCAGCTTATCGCCTTTTGTAAATCAACATGCATAAAAAGTATTCACTTGGCCCTTTGTAGACAGTATTATTCAAAAATAAAGCATTAAAGGACAATATTGGTGTCAGTCATTATCACATATGTGATAGAACCGGTTCAACACGTTCCAAATACAATTTTAACACAAAGATCATTGCTACGATAAATGCTTTGTGAAGCTTTCAAGAAAGGGAAGTGACGAATACAAAAGGAAAACACAAGTTATACTTCTATATAACTAACTGAAGTGACGAGTTATAACAGATTCACAGGCGATTTTTCTGCTCACTAATAATTCCTTTGAAGACCAAAAGATGTTATATGAGACTGTGGGAGGATATCTGACAATTCAAAATAATAACTGATTGTCACTAAATAAGAGAAAACAAGAAAGAATTTGGATATCGTACTAATATGTTTTTATACGCCCATATTTTCATGTGGACATATGCTGTCGCCCCTTTCCGTCCGTTCACAATTTGTTTGTGACACTCTACAGGTCACAATTTTTATCCAGTTTTTACGAAACTTGAAATATAGGTCTATCTCCTAAAGATCTTGCTTCCTTTTGATATTGGCATGTATCGGATCATAACTTCATGGATTATGGCCACTGATTGTTCGAAAATTCACGTTTTAAGCTTGTGGACACTCTAGAGGTCACAATTTTCGTCTGATTTTGATGAAACTTGAAATGCATGTTTATAACCCAAAGATCTTGGTTCCTTTCGATATTCAGGCATATCAGATTATGACCCCTGATTTTAAGAAAAATCAAGTTTTTAGCTTGTGTTCCCTTTAGGTCACAATTGTTATACGATTTAATAAAAAAAACATTCGAATATATCACCGTTACACCATAATGAAGGTTGTGTTCGAATTTTGTGAAAATCAGACCAAAAGTTCCAGACAAAATGGCCACCTCTCGTACGCAAATAGTGTAAAACTATGGTGTATCAAGTTTGTGGGCACTCCAGAGCAGAGGTCATAATTTTGATCCGATTGTGATGAAACTTGAAACAAATGTTTATAACCCAAAGATCTTGGTTCCTGTCAGTATTCGCACATATTGGATCGTAACTTCCTGAATTATGGCCCCTGATTGTTCGAAAAATCGCATTTTGAGCTTGTGGACCTGATAGAAGTCACAATTTGTATTCAATTTTAAAAAAAAGATGAAATTTATCACCGTTACACATCAATGAAGGTTGAGTTTGAATTTCGTAAAAATCTGACTCAAAGTAGGACAAAATGGCCGCTCCCAATTTTTATTGCATTTTGATGAAACTTAAAATATATCTTTATATCCCAGATATCTCAGTCCCTTTTGATATTTTGTGCATTTCAGACCATAACTTCCTGGATTTATGGCCCCTGATTGTACGAAAATCGCTTTCTTTTTAGCTTGTTCTCTATCCATCTCTTGCAAAATGTGGACATATCTTGCCTGCCAACCGCTGGTTTTAATTCAAGTGTTGGAATTATTGTGGGTTTTTTTTCTTTCAGACGTCAGCAGACAGCATTACTAAGTCCACCAATTGAACCAGTGACTCAATGGCAGGATTGGGAAAAGCTGGAATCTCCTGTGAAGAGCTGCAACCCCAAAGAAAAACTACCATGTAACAAACAACATGATTCTAAAGTTAAATCCCCTCCACATGCGGTGACCAAAGAAAAAAGTAAACTTTTGAGTGAATCTGAGGAACATTGGAGTGAAGAGGAGATAAATATTGATGAGGAATGTCCGCTTAATTGTTCTAATCTCTTAGAAACTCACCAAGAGATGATGGACACTGAAAACAGATCTCATACCCCAGGACTGGATGCAAGAGGTGATACAAATGTGAAGCAGTTCGATAAAAAGGGTTTTGCCATTGATCAAGAATACTATGATCCTCATGGAGGTGCCCGTCCTAAGTATAGTCCTGCCAACAGTATATGGAGTCCACCCAAAATTGAAGAACGTAATAGTGCTATCAGAGATAATAACATATGTAAGGAAGAGCCAACTATTAAAACCTTCACTGATACATCACAGATAACCATTAAAGAATTTGAATCAGTGAATAGAAATAACTCTAATAATTGTGAGACGTCTTGCAATAATTCTGCAGTTTTTCATGTTCCTGCTAAAATAAAGGTTGAAACCCATCCTTTAAATTTTAGTTCCGGTGAAGAGGAAGATTGGAATGACGACATTAATTATGTGGGACCAGAGTGCGATCCTGATGAAAAGGCAACACATCTTACATATGCTTGCACTAAAACAGGAATATTTACAAATCCTCAAGTAGTTTCCAAATTAGAAACAGATAAACCCACAATCAGAGACTTAAAAGAAGAAATTCCTGCAAAAACGGAACAACTGAACAATAATATAGAAACACAGTCCAAATATATCAACAATGATATCCACAATATTGATTCTACGGAAATTGGGATCGATGTTCCAATGAGTAATTGCGATAATGTTCAAAAAAGTTATTGGGAAGTGAACTATGCTTCGTCAGAAATACATCCCCTGAAGACTAGTAGAGATATTCCTCTAATGGTTTTTGAGGACAGAAACCGAGTCTCCGAAACACAACTGCAAAAAAATATCAGTGGCCCCAAAACTGACTTGGATGAAAGAAATAATATTCCCTTGGAAGAAACAAAATGTGCCAATTCATTTCATTCTCCAGCAAATATTAGAAATCCTGGAGGTATGAGTAAGGGAATTAGATTCATGTCTGCTAGAAAAAAATTCGCAGATGCAAAATCGCAGTTTCTCTCTTCAAAAATTCAGTCCAATTCACTTGCCGAAAGTCGTGTTACCAAAAAACAGAATAGTTTTCCAGCGTATCCTAAAAGTTTGTCGAGTGATTCCGATAGCACAACAAGCAAGTCAGATACAGACATCCGAATACCAACTACAGCATGTGCTATTTCCCAAAGTAGAATATCAGCCATGCAGAAAGTTTGTAAAAACATACAGCATCCGAAACGAACAGAAGAGCAAGCAGCTCAGTCAAATTCTGGAGAAGAAATTAAGCTTCCATCAACATGTGCTTCAACTATCTCGTATCCCAATAATATAATCACTTCTTTGATATCAGATGCAGTAAAGGAAACTGTTTTACCTACTAAAGATAAACCGTTAGAAAAACCTGCTGTTAAACTACCACTTGGTTTACCACCACATTTAGTCAATGCCTATCTCTTGTTCCTGCAACAACAAGAAGCATCTAAAAACAACATCACAGAAACAATACCATCGAAACAACCCAGTGATGAACCTACGCATTCAAATCCCCAGTTAAATCCAATTACCCTCACACAAACCAGTTCTAGTCAACTTCATACACAACAAAATATGAATCAAAATTTATACACAAATCAAAATGTTTGTTCTGGAATCAAGGTATCAACAATGCCATCTGATTGTTCTAAACAAACTGTAATGAAAACAACAGATACCACTTCAATCAACACTCATCTTTCATCTGTTCAAAAAATCAACACTGGTGCTCCATTAAATGGATATATATCGAGCAACAATGTGAATATTCCAAATGAAAACGTTATCCGTGATCCAAATAGTATTACCTGCAGTCAAAATACAGGTTTATTAAACCCAGCAACGTTACCAACAGTGCCAAATCCCATCATTCCTTCATTAACAACAGGAAATTCTTTACTTGGTATGCCAAACATAGTGAACTCTGTCGGAAATATCCCAGCTATGAACTCTTTTGGAAATCTCCCAGTGTACAATTTCAACATGCTTTCCCAACAATTACCGATGTATTATCCGAGTTTTAATCCATTTATAAAAACTGTACCGGATCCCATGTACAGAATGTGTAATCCACCTGTATTTATGCATTCTGTTCAACAACAACAGCAACAACAGGGTCAACAGCAAATAAAAAATCAAGATATAATATTGCCTTCAACATCCGTTGATCAAGAATCTGGTTTGGATTCAAGTTCTATAGCACCAAAGGTAAGTAAAAAGGATACTTTTTTTTTATACACCCACATTTTCATGTTGATGTATTATGCCATCCCCCATGTTCGTCTGTCCATAATATGTTTGGGGACACTTTACAGGTCACAATTTTTATCCAATTTTGACGAAATTGAAAATAGGTCTATCTCCCAAAGATCTCAGTTCTTTTCGATACTGGCATGTATCAGACCATAACTTCACACATTTTTGACAAATCACATTTTTAGATTGTTTACACTTGAGAGGTCACACTTTTCATCTGATTTTGATTAAACTTGAAATGCATGTTTATAACCCAAAGATCTTGATTCTTTTCGATAGTTGCGTATATTAGATCTGACTTCCTGAATTATGACCCCTGATTTTACGAAAAATCACGTTTTTAGCTTGTGATCCTTCTAGGGGCCAAAAACGTTTGAATATATCACTATTAGTATTACACCGTAATGTCGGTTGAGTTCGAATTTGGTAAAATATGGTATATCAAGGTTGTGGACCCTCTAGAGATCACAGTTTTAATGAAACTTGAAATACATGTATATAAGCCAAAGATCTTGGTTCCTTTCGATATTCGCGCATATCGGATCGTAACTTCCTGAATTATGATCCCCGATTGTCCGAAAAATCACTTCTAATTTTTGAGCTTGTTCTCTGTCCATCTCTTGCAAAATGTAGGCGTAACATGCATGGCAACCGCTTGTTTACACATGTAGGTCAATACATTAGCATTGTATGGGATGGGGCAAATTCTAAATCATTACTTTCAACATAGTCAAAATTTTTGTGCCAAGAACTGGGCCCCAACCACTACTCATCTTGTTGTTCTTGAGGGGGAGGGGGATGCTCTTCGAAAAAAGTCCAAGGCTCCGCCAATTCATGGACGATCAACATGAAACTTGGCATGCTTGTTCTTGGACATTCGCATCGATTGACTTGACTTCAATTTTTTATATGACGTCTCAATTCAATGAGGGCTGCAATGACATCATACTCCAATCTTTGTCAATAGTACCTTTCAAAATTGCTTCAGTCGCCAATATTTGATGTAGAAAAGGTACAAATACAAATCTACATATCAATATAATTTAAGGTGACACAATTCTAAACTTTCATTGCACAACTGAAATTATGACTGTTTGTCTAAATTTTGAGATTGATCTAGTTAAAGTTGGTGGAACTTTTTAACCAGTTAACTTGTGCATTAACAGACATAGAATTTGATATCCTTATCTTTTATGCTAGCCCACCATAACAAATACAGACAGATTAAAGAAAAAATTGGAACGTTTGCATAAAGTGAAGTCACTAATGGAGGAAGTTCGTAAAGACAGTGAAATAAAGGTAGGTGGGACGTTCTAAATTCTAAAGTAGAATAAAGAACTTTCACTTGAAAGGAATGTACAGTGTGTTATAACCTCAATGGTGTTTCAAAGCATTTCAGTTTAACTGTATTAGACTTATTCCAATATTTTGTTCCGTTTTATTTTTTGATTGGAAGTTGACACTAGTTTGATGTCTTGAGTGTCATTCTAATTCACAGGTATTTTTATTACAAAGTTGTTTTAACTTCCAAAGCAATGTGCTCTTTCAGTGTATGAACAAGTACCATTAGCATTTGGACAAGATTAATTTCATGGAACTTTTAAAAAGCAAGTTTCATTAATAATAGTTTATTGCAGTTATACAGGATTCATCATTTTAATTCTCAAGGCCTTATTTACCTGTTTTTCATTCTTTTTGCAGCCTACAGTAAAAGAAGTTCAGGCTGAGTAAATAGAAGTGGCATATGGTACAAGTTTATATTTTCAAGATGAAAACTATGTATTGTGTTCTTCATAGAAGGATGTTATAAACTTGGTTAAAGAATTAACCATATAATTAAATCCTAGAATATTTTTCACCGACACCATATTCAGGGAATGATATGTGTTTTGGGTGTGATTTCTTAATTTTGTTTGCTTTTAGCTTTTGTGATACTGACTGACCCATAATTCAAATATACCATATTTAGTTGGGTACATAAGTTGTGATATTTTATATTTATGCCAAAATTATTGAGAATATATTCATTGAAGTTCAATATAATAGAACTATTCGGTTGTGTTTTCTTTAAGTGTTTTCTTTAATGTTTTCATTTTGTGCATTTGCAAGAAACTCTTGTATTGTTACATTTACTATTTTCTTTCTATTGTCCTACCATGACTTGAGAATCTGTATTAGTATCTAAATAATTTTGTTAATATGTAATGTGACCCAAAAAGGATAATACTTAGGCCAAATTTCTTTTTTTAAAAAATATCATCAAGGTGCATGCATTTAGTACAATCAAAATATATTTGATACTCAAGATCCAAAGACAGTGAGTTAGTGATCTCAAATATGTTTCAACCAAACAGTGCAAGGTAGGTTGTGGGAATACTAAGGGCATTTTAACCCAACCGTTTCTACACTTATTATTCATGTTCTGTCATTGTCTTTATTATACATTTGATTTTTAAATCACTTTGCATGTGTTAGTACTAATCAACAACAAACGTTTTTTTGTCAGTAGCATCCCAAGTTTTGCAACAAGGAAAGATATGATATTAGAGTATGCGTATCTATAACATATTCCTTGTCAATCACTTTTTGCAATACTTTGGGCGATCTTGACAAAAGATTACTCTTGTCAGTTCTTGTTCTCTGATGTTCTTCGATTTAGTCAGTATTTAGTTAAAAAATGTTAGATGTATATTAGTGCTTTAAGTTGCAAAGTCAATTAAAATGTTTATGTAAATACTCTGGACATAATTACTGGATAATTTATCCAAACTACAAGTAAAACTATGTATAGATGTATAATGTGGACACAGGTTGTAAGTGATTGTCTCTGCTTTTTTAGGCTTTAAAAATAAAATCACCTGTCAAGGGCTATTTATACTGAGCATTGCGAATTCCCACCTGAATCATTGTTCCTACTGAAAGCAGTGATACATGAAGAAATTCACACATGAAAAGTATGTATGCCTTTTGACCTTGTATTCTTGATTGATAAAAAATCCTTGGCGCAAACTTTTCCCAAAAATCTCTGTGGTTTTCCGTTCAGTTAAAAATATGTGAGCATTTTATAAATGGTTCCATTCAAATAGTGGTTAATCACTTGTAATTGAATGCGATTGCCATGGTTGCGTTCACACTCAGTATAGATGGTCCTTAAGGGTTGCCTTAAAAATTAGTGTTCTTTACACTGTGAAACTAAAAATGGAACCCTGTCTTTTGCCAAATTAATTTCTAGTCCTGTGCCAACTGCCAATATATTATACTATATAAACTAGGATATATATATATTTTGTGATATATTTGTTTTAATCTTCTCAGTTCCTTTTTTAATGTTTATTTTTTTATTATTTTCATGATCTGGTATGATCTAATGTTAATAAAAATATATTTCAGCCATTATAATATTGGTATTGAAATCTTGTTTGAAAATAAATGGAAAAACTTATATTTTGTGTTTATTTGCAAAAAAACATTTGTTGATTATATGTCCGTTTTATTATTGAACACATACATAATACATGCATTTTAAATCCAATTATATAGATTTCTCATGGCTCTATGAATTCATCAGCATCATCAAGACTATACTGGATAATTTAGACTTTTGTATGACAAAGACAAAAAAAACAAGCCAACAGTGAGGCTGATGTCCCCCGCCGAAATACCGAAATAAAAAGATGACACATATTAATTAATCGCACATTTATTTTTTTCAAAAGTATCAAGCATTTAAACCATACATTAAGTTTCATCATTCTCTACCAGACAGAATCAAGATTATCTTGTCCCAAACCATCGACAAATGAAATCAATTAGCTCTGCTTAGCTAGCGTCAGCTCGAAATGTTTATCATTGAACTCAGTCAAGACATTCACCTAATGAACATCTACATCAAGTTTAAACATTCTCCTAATGAACATCTACATCAAGTTTAAACATTCACCTACGCCAAGTTTAAACATTCTACCTCATTTAGGAGAGTTATTGTGTTCCAAAGTCTCAACCAATCAAATTGCTTATCACTCTGCTTACCCTGAGCAGAAAATGCTCATAATCGAACTTAGTCAAGTTTCATCACTCTCACTTAATTAGAACTAAAGTTATCGTGCCCCAAAGCATCAACCAATCAAATTGCTTCCCCTAAGCAGAAAATGCTCATCTTCGAATTCCATCAAGACACTGACCTAATAAACACCTGCACCAAGTTTGACCATTCTAGGTAAATTAGAAAGAGTTATTGTGTCCCAAAAAGTGTGACAGACAGACAGACGGACGAACCCATTTTAATAGTCCCCTGCTTTCTTCGAAAGGCGGGGGACAAAAATGTACATTTGATGTTGAAAGCAAAGTCATATATCCAGTACACCAGCTTAGCCAAAAATTTGCTTTTGTGAATAATGGGAATAGTCATTTTACTTTAACAGTGTCAATTAGTTTTCTTTTAATTCATGAAAAATGTATCCTCTCTCACTCTCAGTAAGACATCGACTGCGGGTTCCTGATAATTACTCACTGTCAGAGGTAATGCTGGTTTTTGAGACTACCACATGGTTCAGTTTTACTTCAATACTTCGCTTGCATGTAGGTGTCTTAGCGGTGGGAGGAAACCGGAGGACCCAGAGAGAACCCACGAGATTGGACAGCAACTCTACTCCTTGTCACTTACAACCAGGGAATTGAAACCACGCCAATTGACTCAATGACAGACATTACGATACAGTGCGCACGTGCTAACCATTCGGCCATCCAACTACCAGGAATCCCCTTTAACATGTCGTTAACTTGCCGTTATATTTAAGGAAGGTGTTGGGCTCCGTTATTGGTTTAACGATGGCATTAGTAGGCTGTCAGTCGAAGTATACCCCTAGCAAAAAGTGCTACAGATTACCAGTGTAGTTTTCTTTAGAACATTCTAGAGAGTTGGTGGTGGGGTGCTATCCCATTTTCTATAGGATGAAATTCTATAGTATTCTGCAGAGTTTTGTGCGCTGTAGGAGATAACGGCCCCAAATATACTACAGTTTCTGTTGTGCAAAACCTATAATTTTTCCTGCAGATTTATGCTAAAATTTCTCTAGTATTCTTTAGATTATTATATACCCACATTTTCATGTGGACTTAAATTGTCCCCTGTCCATCCATCCACAATTAGTTTGTGGACACTCTACAGGTCACAATTCTTATCTGATTTTGACGAAACTTAAAATATAGTTTATCTCCAAAAGATCTTGGTTCCTTTCGATATTGGCATGTATCAGATCGAAGCTTCGTGGATTATGGCCCCCTGATTTTATGGAAAATTACATTTTTAGCTTGCGGAAACTCTACAAGGTCCCGATTTTCATCTGATATTGATGAAACTTGAAATGCATGTTTATAAACCAAAGATCTTAGTTCTTTTCAATATTTGCGCATATCGGATCGTAACTTCCTGAATTATGGCCCCTGATTGTACGAAAAACCGCGATGTTAGCTTGTGGTCCCTCTAGAGGACAAAATGGCCGCCCCTTGTATGCAAATAGTGTAAAAATATGGTATATCAAGGCTGTGGACACTCTGGAGGTCACAATTGTGATCCGATTTTGATGAAACTTGAAATACAGGTTTATAACATCAAAGATCTTGGTTCCTTTCGATATTTGCGCACATTGGATCGTAACTTCCTGAATTATGGCCCATGATAAATAAATGGAAATGGGGTTTTAAAGTCCTACTTTTCTGCACTGACTTTCATCATACAGTGTAAATGAAATGGGGGTTTAACATCTTACTGTCATACAGTGTGCAATGAGGAAAATTTGCCCGGACAGCAGCACTACAGCCTGAGCTCACTGATGTCACCTATGCCATTGTCTATTGAAATTATCCCAAAATATTGTTGGGATTTATCGCGGTTCAAACTTTTAAATAGAAATGTCGTTGGAAATGGTCAATTTAATTTAACCATTGATGAAAACTAAGCTATGATTGGTCAAAAATACTACAATATCTCTAATCACTGTGCAAACAATTTGTCTGCAAATTGATAATAGTTATTTTGCAGTTTTAATTAAAGAGATTAATTATCTTTTATTTATTACAAATACTGTTTATTCATTTACTAAGTTTATAGATTGATTACAAAATATAACTACAATACATGAACAGTATACTGAAATAAGTATATTAACAAGCATATTAAACAAAAATATAACAAATTTGGATATATTGATAAAATAAAGTATGATGTATCACATGAAAATATAATCAATATTATAAGGGTTTGAGAGACCTACTAATACAAAAACCACCACCAGCAAATTCATCCATGCTAGCTCTTAATTAATTGTCTGAAAACCAAAGTGAGCAAGTTTTAGAAAATTCCATTATGAAATCACAGTCACAAGTATAAAACAGGGAGATAACTCTTCAATTTACAATTCTTCCTCTGCCTCAACAATCCCACATAAATGTTTGTCATGGTGTAAATGTAAATCCTAGTCCAAACATGAACAGGGAAATAACTCTGAAATTTACAATATTGATAGTTTTTTTCGGCCCAATGAACAATCAAGCACTATATCGTGTATATAGTTCACAAGCTTTAACAGTAAAAATGTGGAAGTTACAATCCAACAATTTTGAAATTTGGTAGGGTTCAATCTGAGAAATCTGTCCTGTACAGCTAACAAGATTTCATGAATACGAATGGTTTCGTTCATTCATTCTTAAGGCTTAACTTAACGTCCACTTCCACCTTGGGTGACATCGCAGACAAATATGCATCCATGGGATATAACATGGATTTTTCAACATCCAATATTAACATTATGAGATCCTGTGATATTGCATCTTGACAGCTGGATTAAACCAAGGAGAATATAAAAAAAAAGCACCAAATTACATTCGGTGGGTTCATCTCAGAGTGTATTTTGATAGGACTGTTTCATCTCTATATTACTGTAACATAAATAAATGTTTATTTAACCATGGACCTTACTTATAAAACCATGATTTAACGTATTGTTAAATAAACTCTTAAACACTTAATTAAGATGGATTAATAACAAAAATATTTAATTAAAGAGGCATTATATTATGCATGGGCTTTTTTCTGGCTTCAAATTATCATTTAAGATATTTATTCACATGACAAGCCCAGAATCAACTCTCTATACCATTGGATGACTTAGATAGTGAGTGGATTCACCATATCTTTGTTAAATGATAATATGAATGCCACTCAAGGAGACTGCTGATCGAAAGAAATGAAAATGGTTTATGAGACGAAATCACCTGATATAATTTGTTACATTAATATTCTAATAGACAAACTTTGTTGTATATAAAATACTTTGATTTCGGGTTAAAGCTGAAAATCTAATGACTACTTTGATTTAATTGCCATATCTATTTGGTACATGTTATCAATATATGAGTGAATGCAATGTCTATTAAAGCATTTAATCTAATAAATATAATTCATATTTTCTCACTAAACGCTCTGCCAAATAATTATCATACTTGAAATGCAACCCTGTGCAAACAAGTAAAGATCTGCTAACACAAATGTAATGGAATTTTAAGGGTTTATCACAATTTCTTTACTATTTCATACAAAAAAATAATCATACAAACACTTTCTATGGGTTTTTGCGTTTCCAAACTGTTGCATGTGCTACTGTCCATTGGTTCTTATGTGCTGTTTCTCTGATAAAGAAGGGCATGTTTTCATCTACCACCAGGTCAAAACATGGACCCAGTGCTTTCATCAATGTCATAAATCCGGTAACTGCTTGTCCATCCTTGTCATAATATCCACCCATCATGTTTTTCTAGAAACAAAAGCAATGGGTCATATAAAGTGAAAACTATACAAGACTATTTGTATCATTTAGAGTACATAACGGTATCTATACTACAAGCACATATAATTTAGTATGTATACATGTGGTTGTAGTCAAGGTGTATTATGTTGATGTGTATATGTTAGTTAGTCTGTGTTTCATAGTGATGTGTATTAGTCTATGTGTATTATAGTGATGTGTATTAGTCTAGGTGTATTATAGTGATGTGTATACTATGTGTATGTTAGTATGTATGTGTATTAGCTTATGTGTATTATAGTGATCTATATATAGTGATGTGTAAATTATATATGTTAAATATGCATTATGCAAGAGCTAAATCTGCCATCACGTCTTTCTTTAAGCCTGGCACACACTACGCGGCAACTTATCGCCGCAACATAAGTGGCGTGAGCACACTACACGACGACACTAGGCAAGTTTTTGATTTTTCATCGTCGGCGACCGAAATCGCCAATGTCATCACGTAGTATGCGCCAGGCTTTAGGCCTGAAATCTTATCTAAATTATTAATTAGACATTAATTAACTTATCCAAACCATAATCAACTCTCGACGTCATGGCTAGCCTATGATATTTACTGGATTAGAATCATATCTGCTGCACAACGCTCATTGATAATTAAATCAAAAAATGCATAATCGAGACTATGTTTCTTTATCTTACCGACTTTAGTAATGATGAGAACTGCCAGCTCTTTATCTAATCTCCCATAATGTATCTTTAATGTATGTTTATTATAGTAATGCATATACTAACACTCAAGACATGCAGAGTAGCTTATTAGTAGCAAGGAATGATTACCTTTTCTGTGTATTCTGAAAGCCATGTATAGGGACTTGTGATGACAAGAATACCACCAGGTGCCACAATATCAGCTAGCCGCCACAAAAAATCAAATGGGTGATGTAGACGGCAGATTAGATTGGCTGCTAAAACTACTCCAAATTGTCCTAAATCTGCTGGTAGACAACATGCATCTCCTTGTATAAAACTGGCTCTGCTCCGGTTCTGAAAAAAGAAAGTAGGGCTGATTCCGAAATGTTTTAGATATTGTTTTTGTTGAACTACAACAAACGGATAGAGAAATGGGGTATCACGTCTACTCAACACAAACTTGGTCATTTTGTGACTAACATACGGTATAATTTTATTTCAATAATCTGCTTGCATATATGTCGGGGTCTTTAGCAGTGGGAGGAAACTGGAGGATCTTATGCATTGTCATATACAAGTAAGGGATTGAACCAATTGACCCAATGACAGCAAATGATCTAAAACATTTGAGTAATACCATTCGGCCACTCCCCAACCCTGCATCAACAAGCTATTCAGTCGAATAGGTAAGAATCTATAAAATATGACACTGGACAGTTAAATCTCCTATTTCAATGACCCATCACTTTAATTATGATGGCTCAATGAAAAATAAGGATATATTAATATTGAAAATGTTGAAATTTCAAATCGTAGAGTTACCTCCCTGTGCATGGGATCACAGTTACTTTTTGTATGTGAATGTGATCTAGGACAGAGTTCTTCATGTAAATACTTTAGGCTTCATGGAGATTGCCTAGTTATCTGATTAGGTACTGCATTGAAACTGTTATAAATAATGCTGACTTTGATGCTGGTGAGCATAATGAAGGGAGGTTGACCATTTTTATCTCAAGAATTGGTTCTTATATTGTTATTAGTGTCTTGTATTACAGGGTTATGTTATTACTTACAATACTTTTATCAACACGAGCTGTTAAATCGGTGGTTAACTCCCCTTCATCAACAATACTATAGTTAATCAACCCTTCGCTTTTCAGTTCATTACATGCATCAACAAATGATTGACTGTAATCTAAACCTATGACCTCATCAAATATTCTTGCTAGTTCAAATGTAGATCTTCCAACAGCACAACCAATATCTAAACCTCTTGCAGGAACACCTGCCTGAAAATTAGAAACAGTAAATGATCTTATTTAGGATGGATGTTCCAAATGGTATCCATACTCCTAAAAGCTACAGCCTACTCTTATATTGAATTCCAACTGTCTAAGGGTTCTTTTACATGCATGCCATTGTGTGCCCAGGAACTTGGCTTTCGTCCCATCCGAACTATACGTTGTCCCTTGCAGGCCCTCTGTCCTGCACCACTGACTACAGTATTATAAGACCAGTGTACTATTGTCCACCTCTGACAGTATACCCTTGTATTTCAAACTACAGTAAACAAGGGTTGGGGTTTGCTATACCTCTTAAAATAAAATTGGTTTAGAGAATCTGAAGTCTGAGTACATCTTTTGCCTAAAAATCAATGCTAAGCCCATGAGATATGAGTTGATTTAGAGCCTGTTGGTAAAAACAAAATTTTCAATTTGTTATGTCCAACTATACATTTACATCAGAGGTTTTCAAAAATATATAATTGTATGCAAAATTGGAAATAAAATGAAATGGGGTTTAACGTCCTACTGTTCTGCTCCTAACCTGGGCTAATGAAGACGGGCATACGCCATACAGTGTGCTATGAGGGAAATTTTGTCCGGGCAGCGGCGCTACGGCCTACTCTTATATCGAATTCCAACTGCCAAGGGATCTTTTACGTGCACGCCAATGTGTACACAGGACCTCAGTTTTTTGTCCCATCCGAACGACTAGACAGCTGCCCTTGTCAGGCCCTCCATCCTGCATCACTGACAAGGGAAAATGCAAAATTGGAGACAAACATAGCTTTCCTTCACTGAGATATAGTGTTTTTCAAGGAGCTCTGAGGGAGGTCTGCAAACTATTGATCCAACACAAGGATTAGGTATATTTTAGACTATTTACATAAAATTACATTCATTTTCTTCTTTAGATAGGCATTTAGTAATTGAACATATTAACACAAGGTACAATTTTACGGATACACAAACTGCGTTTAATACTAAAGACGAGCGTATCCTTGTCGAAACATGGCCTAGTATTAAAGTCAGTAGTACAATTACCGAGATTAATACTAAAGACGAGCGTATCCTTGTCGAAACATGGCTTAGTATTAACCTCAGTAATTGTGTATTCATAAAATTGTACCTTGTATTAATTCATTTTCTTGTTGAAAGTTATTGTTTGCCCAATGACGGGTGCCAGTTAACTCGTCCACACGAAAAGTCTAGTTAAGTCGTTCACAAATATCAAAACTCATTGATCAAGTCGTCCACAAGGCATTAGATTGACTCGTCCACGCAACATAGATTAATTTCAGGGGTAGATCCAGTAAGATGCCTTTGTGAAAATAGGCCAAGTGGTGAATTTAGCCGATCCTAACAATTAGCACATTTACCGGTAATCTTGCTAACCCTGTAATACTCAACCGATTCTCAAACTATTCTCTATATAAGCAGAGGAATATGATTAAAGTGTGTACTTGTCCAGTATTAGTTGTGGACGACATAACCAATACCTTGTGGATGAATTAACCAGAGATTATTTGTGGCCGAATTTGCTTGTGGTCTGGATTCCCAATGACAACCACCTTATCAATTACCTGGGGTTTATAATGTTTCAGACACAGTTCTGCACATCTTTTAGGGAAGTCTAGGGCTGATTTTGGGCCGAAGTCATATTTTAAAACTTCGCTTGGCAGGCCATAATGAAAAATCAGATATTCACTCAGCAATTTCGTCGACTCATAGACATTTTGTTTTTTTCGTTGACTTCTTTCAGAATACAGACGATATGTAGTGTACGCCGCTATCCCAACTGAAACTGCTAATGTCGGTATAGCAACAACCCTGTGGTCAAAACCAAATAAAGTTGCCATGACTGTTTGCCAACTTTTTAAAAGGTGATTTGGAGAATTTCGTTGCAGCAACCTAGACTCAACGACAAAATGTCAACACTACATCAGCGATAGACACGTGGTGTATTTGGCATATTGCCAATAGACCAGACGATTAAAGGGAAATAACTTCTCATAGTTGGAACTTTGAGAAATTCGAATTTCGATAATACATTTAGGTCTATATGAAACAATTTAAAGTTAAATTTTTACCAAAGCGGAATAAATTTTTTCCAAAAAAGAGGAAAGTACAAAACACGTGAAACTTTGATTTTGATATTTCTTTCTAAATGTAAAAAAATAATAATCAAATTTCCAACAGGTTATTATTCTCTCGTTACAGGAGGAATATCTTATATAGTGCATTGTCCGAACGGCAAATATTATTATTGTGTTCTGTTTATTTTCAGTATCATTGGGAACATCGACTTTATAAATATAAAACGTTGTATATCACATTGTATATGATAGGGATTTAAGTCTGTATTTATTGGTTTGTACATTATGCCGAGATGGATATCTTTCAGTATAACATTATAAAACGGTGTATAGCGCAATGTTTTACATATGTATTTACTGGTGTATCAGATGGAAATTTCACAGTAGAATATCGCTTACTGATCTATCGAATTCCTATGGATCATATTCCCTATGGATAGTATAGATTATAGACTAAGGTGGGGGGGGGGGCTGTGAAGGAGTAAGGTATTGGAAGTTAAATTTTAAATATTAACGTCGGGACGTTTCACACTGTGTTACAAACATATAATTACGACAGAACGAATATTTGATGAGCATCAACGATGTTGAACTTGAAATATTTGATACTGGTACTAGGTGCTGCCGATCTAGACTCCTGTAAGGTTTGAGTATTGTACATGCAAAATTGAAAATTAATAATGCTATAAGATAAAGATAAAACGAGATAGTCTAAATTTCACTAAGTTAGGTCATAAAAATCCGATAAATTGGTGTGGAGAAGAAAAAGCCCAATAGAAGTTGGTACTTCTTCCATACATCAAAACATCAACAACTTTATCTTAATAGTTCAATTCCATCAAATAACGGTAGACCAAAACCATACTGTTAAGTCCCGGCTAACCAGTTTTTATGTGGATTCATTTGCTCACCTCTCTGTCACTTTGTTAACTGGGCGATAACGTCTAGTCAACGTTGATTTTGTACGTGGCACGTGACCTGGAATTCATCGTACTGTATACTGGTATGGTATATGAGTGTATATACATGCAACAGCTTGTGTGTATTGAATTCTATAATAACGGCATATCAACACACTGCACATTCGACGTGATAAGTTTATGATATAGATTTTAAACTGGCCGCTTTCTATAAAAATGATTGTTTTCCATCTTTAGCCGAAATGAGAAGAAAAAGAAAGATTACTTGTGTGGTTTTAATTTTAGTTTGGTTACTTGGCACCACGTATATTTTCTGGGATGGCATGGTGGAAAACTTCGGAAGCAGCAATGTAAGTGCCACATCTTTTCTTATTTCTTATTATCATAGTTGACTCAGAGATAATTTCTGTTCTGATTGGTGAAAATGTCATTCCTTTCATGTAAATAACTAAAACTTGAACTGAAATTATTTGGAGTGAATTCCAGAAATAACTTTGGATTAATTTATGGTGTTTATAAAAAGTTTTGTATAAAAGGCGACATCTATTACAGTATCTATATTGTTATCAATAAGTCCTTTACACCATTGAATCAATACCTATATCTAGAAAGCAATAAATCAATTTCTTCATAATAAAAGCATGAATTAAACGAATAGGTTCTATTAAGCAGATCAGAATAAGAAGGGGCTATTGGGATTCAAATGTATTAAAAAGTGCCTATGCCAGGCTTACTTCTCAGAAACTCAATGAAAAAAGACAAAAATATTAAATATGTGCAAGCACTGGATAGCTAGGGGAATATGAGGGGAGTTCCAGATATTATGAACATTAGTTTTGATCTGTCAATATCGTGCAGATTTGGCAACTTGCATATGACAATTACAACAGAGTACAAAATCTTTTCGACAACTCGATTTATGTCTCATATCTGTGAGTAAAAGAAAATTCTTTTGGATTTGTGAAATATTTTTTAACCTATCTAATTTATTTTTTCGAAAAGCTAGATTTGTCATAATTTTCAGGTTTTTTTATACGGTTTATTGAAGTTTTTTTTATTAAGATATGATATGAACATTTATATTATTATTTTGTAAGCTAAATAGGCTGTTGTCAGCAATAGATTTAATTTGACAATCTACCTTGGAGATCCTGTAACAATATATATTATATTGAATATTGGTTTGTCAGTATAAATTGATATGTTTATTGTAATACAATTTCAATATGTCAATATATTCAGATACCTTAATCAATGATTAATCAATAACTAATTTTAATCAGTTTAATTGCCAAAATATCCTTAATTTTTCTAAATAATACAACTCCAACTGTAGAAGACAGAGAACAATGACCTGTTGCTGGTTAATATACCTTTTAGAACAATTATTACACCAGTAACTTACTTGCAGTATTAAATAACCATCCAGTTGTTACTTTACATGCCTTTTGTTTATTTCTCAATATTTATTTTACTAAAAAATGAATCTTATACTATTTTTATATTGCAGTATATTGAGCTAAGTAGCAATATTGAAATGTATTGAAATACAGGTTTTGACTGCAATACTCAATGCTACTTACTGCCTTTTATGATAGTGAATAACAGCCTATACTTGTACTGTAGTTAAAATATATTTTTATGTAGTTATGCTTTATGCTTCAATGGTTAAATCCCTTTTTATAACACAAATATCCTTTCAAAAAATGATTAGTTTCCAAATGCACCTAATTACCTAACTCTACAAAGATACAGATTTATTATAAAAGTTTTTACTGTGTTGTTCAGTTTTATTGAATAAAGAAACAAATCTTTCCATTCACACACTACACTAGATCATTATCTGTTATAATGAACATGTCATTTTTTTTATTCTCCTTTTATGCTTCTGAACAATGAAATTGCTGTTGATAGAGATCCAGTTTGTGAAGCCAAGAAATGTTCTTATTGTGTAGTCAGTTTCCACAAACAAACATCTCTTCTAGATCTGACTCTCGGATCAAATTTCTGCACAGCAAATAAACCAGAAATGAATGGCTCGGATTATAGTACTATTTTAGGGTATTTTGCACTATACCAGAGACATAAATTGTTAATTTGGATACGAACAAAATTGATTTCGAGGTGTTAGAAACATCTTTAATAATTACCTGTGTAGTGTTTCTTTACAAAAATGCAAACAGCTTGATTTATTGCTAAAAATATAGAAAGGTTTAAACAGGTATATAAGTCGAGTACCAGTATATTGTCAAGAAATAAAAGAGCTCTATAGCCTACTTCAGATATTTTCTACTTAAGATGCTCAGATAACACAGATAACATTGTGGTGAATATTTTGGACCAAATTTTGATAAAATATGAGCAGCTGCTATTTGTTGTACTTCTAAAATGAAAACTGTCTGCTCAATTTGTGTTTATATGGATATTCTTGAACTCCAAGCAGTATAATGAATCAGTTACCTAGCTTAAAGATATATTATGTATGATTTAGATAAAGAGCTGCGATTCTCACTATAATAGTTTAAAAATGGATAATGAAAACGAATATACAATATACATGTACATGTACTGTATTGGAAATTTCAAATTACTTTATTCTGAGCAAAGTTATGACTTTACAAAGAATAGCCTACATGTAGTCCTGATTTTCATTGCTACATTTTGTTACAATGGGAGAGAGAGAGAGAGAAATGGGGTTTAACGTCCACTCGACACAAACTAGGTCATTTCGGGACTAACATATGGTTTTTAATTTTATTTCAATAATTCGCTTGCACGTAGGGGTCTTTAGCAGTGGGAGAAAACCGGAGGACCTGGAGAAAACCCACGAGGTTGGACAGGCGACCCTACTCCTTGTCACATACAACCGGGGATTCGAAACCACGCCAGTCGACTCAATGACAGACTTTATGATACAGCGCACGCACGCTAACCATTCAGCCATCCAACCCCCCCTTGTTACAATAGTCTAAAGAGTTGGTTATGGACTTGTCATGTGAATATAATTAATAATTTATATAACATTTAGGGCAGATTTTGCCTCTTACATAATGCATCTTTAATGATGAGCCCGAAATTGATTTTTTCAGAACAATAAAGAAACCTACCATGTTTTTGTATGTCTATTTTTAGAAACAGTATTTTGTATATCATAGTTAGTTAAACTTATGATATAAGTATCAAGATGATGATTATATTTACATCATATACATGTTATTTTTAACACAATGTTAATAATAAACCCCACAGTGCACAGTTATTTTTATATGAATAACAGATTGCACTTATCAATCTTTCAGATCAAACTTCCATTGAACTAAATGACACCATGGCAAACATCTTTCCTTTTTACAAAAACAAAGGTCAAAGATATCGATTTCTGTAAATTATAGTCCTCAATTAAAGTGATGGAAATCCTTTGGTTTGGTTCAAAAAGAAAATTATCAACTTTATTTGAATTTACATGTTGATTTGCTTTGTGGGATGACAATTGGTTTTTGTTGAAATTTTAATGTCTATTGATAAAGCCAGTGTTCATATCAGAATTCACAATTTAAAGTGCACATAAGATGGGTGAGAAAACGTTTCGGTACGTATAGCCAATGGTTACCATATCCACTTTACGGCAAGTTCACACCAAATGCATATTCAGAATGTTTATTCCTTAATTACCTATATACAGCCTGTGTGTGTATTCATTAACACCTGACTGATTCCTTTATCCACTAATTAAATAAAACAATTGACGACAGAATAATTTGTTTTGTAATTTATTTTAATTTAAGATCCAATTTAGAATTTGTTTTACTATGTCCCGCCCTCTCTTCTCCCGACAGCGATTTTAAAACTGTGTTTTAAAGTGACTTTTAGATAGAGTCCCTCTACCATCGTGTGCAGTCCAAACTATTCGAGATACATTTCCGTCAGAAGAGTATTGTGGTTCTAATTTCTTTGTGTAAAAAAGTACAGGATTAAAAAGATGTGGTCATGCAAAATGTACCGTACAAGTCAAACATGACTGAAACACGATTTGTAAATGACGATCCAACTGTATCTCGTTTTCCTGTTAGAAACTTAGCCCCTTTAATTTAATCGTATAGAGCATGACATGTCATTTCTTAAAATAACACATCAAATCAACCCAATATTTTATTTTGACCTAAATCAAACAGTTTTCGCTCCTTTCGATAGAACTCATCATTTGAAAGCAATATTATTATGTGTCACCTTTCTTGCAATCTGATATTCAAACAAGTTATGATATTTTGAAGACAATGACAGCATAATGAATCTGCATCATTCAAATGTGTAAGGGGAGTCAGCGGTTGACAAAAGAAAGTATCTGAGGAAAAGAATTAATAAATCACTTATGGGTTAAAAATACAAAAATATTACATGTTGGGATCTATTTTATTGTGTCTTATGATTTTGTACCTGGATATTTTGAGTAACAATATACAATATTTTGAATAACAATATACAATATTTTGAATAACAATATAATTGATGATAGGACTACAAAATAGAGTACAAAATATGGAAAAACAGAATTGTTTCAAGTAAAAAAAGTATATTCCAAACATGATGATAGGACTACCAAATAGAGTCAAAAATTTTGAAAAAAAACCCAGAATTATTTCATGCAAAAAAGTATATTTCAGAAATTGCTTGAGATACAAAGTTGCACTCCAGTAATATGTAACATGTTGTGTAAATATATCAATAACTAACATTAATTAAGAAACCAAATAATATACTATTGATTATATACATAGAGGATATTTGTCGTTTTAGAGTGAATAACATATTTTATTTCATCGAGAAGCATGAGTGAAAATATAAACGTTTTATTGCTTAAAGATGAAATAAAATATGTTATTCACGACAAAACGACAAATGTTTTATTTATTTTATGTTTTTACAATCATTTTAGGTAAAAACAACATGGACTACTTGCTAGCCAGTGGAATAACACTTTTATTTCACTGATAAAACGCGGTATTCCACTACTGATCATAAAATAAATATATATATCTCATTGATCCAGTATGGTATTCATACTCATATATTTTCATGAAGGACAGGAACAAGGCACCAAAGAAATTTTTATGAAAAAAAAGTCTCTAAAACTTTAAAAAAGGAAAAAGAACCAGATGTGAAGACTTTAGTTAATTTCTTTTTTTCAAAGGAATCATTCTAGGCAAATTGAAACACATAAAAAGAGTAACCACAATGGTTGGACCTTGCAGTATATCGGCTTTGTTTGTATGTCTGCTACTTCAGTCAAAAATAATTAAAGCCACATGGCAGGAATATGAAGTCAAAACTATAAACATTGAGACAAACCTACTGCTGTTCTGTTATTATTATATCTACTGTGGAATAAGAAATATATCTGTCATGAAATTCATTTAAACTGAAGGGGGTCGTAATAAATATGTATTGAAATTAATGCATCGCTGTGTGCTGCTATTATATGTACACTTTCACCCGAACTTGTTAAATTTAGATGTGAATAACTTAGCATCTATTAGCCATTACAACTATGCTCGTGTGATAGTCTTCTAAACATTATCGTAAATTAGAATTGTTTAAGCTTAGTGATGAGGATTAACCACTTTACTGTTTGATAGTGACGCAACTGATACGTTTGTAAGGAAATAACTGTTTCTGTAGATTTTGGAACTGGATAACTTAAAGTAGCTAAGTCTTTAACTCAATATCATCCACAATCTTTGACATTTTAAAACACAAATTATTTGTCAATTTAAATCAACATTGATGTTGTGATCTAACTGGGAAAAGATAGGCTTCTGATGTCCAATATTTAAGACAAATTAAACATTTTACCATTGGCACACGAATCGTGTACCATAATGCGTTTCAGTGCCATTTGTAACAAGGGACTCGAAGAATGAGGCTAGACATATTTCACAAGTCATGTCAAATGGTGACGCCATATTCTTATCTGAAGAGCATTCGCAATAAATGCTACCAGTGTAGACTGGAATAACCGGTCGCTAGAGATTGCCATTCGATTGCCATTGGGACTTCTGGAATATTTCGCCAAACGTAACTGATTTGAAATTAGACTAATAATGTAAACGATTGAATGTAAATCAGTTTATATACATTCATATTACATTATTATATGTGTTGCGATCCATTTGTGTCAATTTCTAGGTCCCAAATATTAACAATTTAACTTCTTTGATGTTTCTTGGATTTATATCCCTTTGATTGTTTTGGGGAGGGGGGGGGGCAATGATCTAACATGTGCGCTTTAGGTTGAAGGTCAAGTGACATGGTTTTTATTGTGACAAGAAGGAGTACGGTCACCTGTCCAACCTTGTGGGGTTTTTTCAGGTCCTCTGGTTAATTCTACAGGGTAAAAACCCCTACATGCAAGCATATTTTAGAAACAAAATTAAACCATTATGTTAGCCCTAAAATTGCCTAGTTTATGTTAAGTGAGAGTTAAAACACCATTTCTCTATCTCTCCATGTAAGTGTGTGTGGAATAATGGATGTTAAATAGAATTATTTCCCAATCACTACAAAATATGTAAATGTATTAGAAACCAGACCAGTTGTTCCAGCCCCACCACTCCCCCCCCCCCCACCACCAGCCCTTAGTTAGGCAGACTTTGTCTTTATGCTACTACAATAAAGCAAAATTATCATTGTTGAAGTTACATGTACATGCTTTATATCTTGATCTTTTGTCTACAATTGCTGCTAATACTAAAATACCTGGTAGGATCTTAAATATTATCTTTAGCATATAGTATTAATAAATATCACTGGTACCCATTCTTAAAAAATATTCTATTTATTTATAAAAGTTGACTTTGAGCCAAATATTTTTATGTTATAGTGGTTGCTTATGGTGTCATGTTTGAGACTAATTCAGAAGACATTTACAGAAACCAAAACAAACAAAATACTCTTTCTAAGTCCTTGCCAAATAGAATTGTTTGAAGTTTTTTTTCAAGACACATATTTCCTCATTTTAACATAAAATAGCATGATCTTTCAATTCATGGAGAAAATGTAACAAATAATTGTATTTGTCAGCAATTTTCTTTGGTGCAGATCAAAAGTTTCATAGGGTCATTAATTTTATTTTTGCAGACCATAAGTACATTTATACAACATTACAATTCCAATATTGATTAAATGTTAGAATTTCAATAGTTTAGCTGAAATGAAACATTGAATCAATGTGATTTTGATAGCTGTCCTCGGTTGAGAATTTGACATTTGATCCACATACCCAGTCCCAACCTTCAACCTCTTACTTAGCCGCCACTTGTCAGTGATTGCACCTGTTCCAGGCTTTCCGGTATTATAAGCTTGCAGTTTTGTCAAATTGCAGGCATGGGAACTCTGTTATAGAGACAAACCAGTCCAGTTTACACTGGTCAATCAGTGATACTAACTGTCTACATGCGAGCTTGATTAAATACAACTTACTGCTGAAATGTGTGTGAAATAGTTTTATTTAACTTCCGCTTCCACTAAGGTGATATCGCTGAAATCTTCTTCTTTCTTAGAGTTTTACTTCCACTTCCACCATGCATGATATTGTGGACAAATATCACTGAAATGTCAAAATATGTTTTTATACCTTTTTGAAAATACTTACAATCTGATTAACATATGAGGAATAACATTACACTTAATAGATCTTACAAATAATGGAAATGAGATATATGTGACATGTAATATACCAAAATTTACAAATAGTGATTTTCCATATTATGGTTGATAAATTGAAATGAATAATACAACATGATAATTATTAGGAATGATTATATATGTATACAATTATTTATCATTGCTATGGAATAATGAAAATAAAATAAATCAGGTTCACCACATGTGACATTGAATCAACATGGCTTTCTCAAGAGTGTTAGTTAAGCCAATACCTTTTTTAGCCCTACATTGAATAAATCTTGCACTGTCAACATTGAGAATAATTGTTACACTAACAAAGTAACAACATTGATTCAATGTGTATAAATCAACTTCAGTTAAAATGTTGGGTTTTAGGTCGAAATAAACCTGCAAATGATCAATGTTCTGAGTTTCAACCCAAATAAATAAATGAAACGACACGTTTGACTGATGTCGATTCATGGTTAAATTATTATAGATTAATTTTAATTTTTACGACAACATTAAATCAACATGACAACATTTGATCAATGTTTTTGGTTCAATCATACACGGAACCCAAGATGAAAAGTTGAAATGATAACATAAATATGACATTGTTTTACTATAGAAGCTTGATAATTGAAATGATAACATCGATATGACATTGTTTCACTGTAGAAGCCAGATGATTAAAATGATAATATAAATATGACATTATTTTCACTATAGAAGCCTGATTATTGTCATTAATTAACCTTGAATCCATTTGAGTGTTCACTGGGTCTGTAAAATTATTGTTGTAAGTTTCATGTGGAGTTAGTATATTGTGCAGAATAAGTTCCATAGAGTTTGATATTATAATATTAGTTGACTATAAGTTTCATATTGTCTGTAATTTAAGTGTTATAGACTATAAGTTCCATAGAGTCAATAACTATTGCACTCTATATGTATAAAAGAGTCAGGCCCCGAGTTCACAAAACTTTCTCAGGCTTAAGTTAAGAATTTACTCAAAATTTGTCCCCTTATTTCAACTCAAATATAACCCTTTATAAAACTTTTGTTGTTTTAATGTATCAAATACACCAATAAGAAACTACGTGCAAAGTTTTGTGTTTCTGGATAAAATATTTTTCTCATAAACAATGATTGAAAGTTGAGTACATGCTTTGTGAACTCAGGGCAAGTAATTGTTACAGACTATAAGTTCCATAGAGTTGGTAATTGTTAAAGATTATATGTACCATAGAGTCAGAAACTTAATCATTTTGAAAGTTTACACTAGTGGTATTTATTTCTTCTTCAGAAGCCTTTTAATTTAAAGTCAGTAAAAGTAGACGAGTATTTAAAAGAAACAAGTGAACAAGATGTACAAGAACCAATGAGAAAACATGCATTTAATATAGTTATAAGTAACAAACTCCCACCTGATAGAAGTCTTCCTGATGCAAGAAGTTCAAGGTAATATTAGTTTTATCAGTTTTATCAATCAAATTGTAACTGTGAGAATATCAATATCATAGTCAAGTTAACATTATCATCTTTTTACTATTACGATATGAAATATTTATCATTTCGATATGAAAATTTCATATCGGAATGATAAAGATTTCACATTGGAATGATAAAGATTTCATATCGTAATTATAAAGATTTCACATCGTAATGATAAAGCTTATAATATCTTAATGATAAATATTTCATATAGTAATGTAATAATAAAGATTTCATTTAACAATGATAAAGATTTAATATACTGGTAGTAATGGTGCAGATTTTATTTAATAATGATACAGATGATACAGATTTTATATAATAATGATAAAGATTTTATAATGATAAAGATTTTATAATGATAAAGATTTTATATTATAATGATAAAGATTTTATAATGATAAAGATTTCATATAATAATGATAAAGATTTCACATAATAATGATAAAGATTTTATATAATAATGATAAAGATTTCACATAATAATGATAAAGATTTTATATAATAACGATAAAGATTTATATAGTAATGATAAAGATTTTATATAGTAATGATAAAGATTTTGATAAAGAATTTATACAGTATAGATTTTAAAATCTGTGAATGTTTTAGTGAGGAAGATGATGACAATGAAGGCAGCCGTTTTGGTTGATTTCATAAAGATTTATGATCATACAAGGATAAATGTCTGAATTTTATATCCTGTCATCTAGTTGAACCTAGGATATTTTCTATATTGTCAAAGATATTGTAGGCTAATCAGAAACAAATTTAATGTTTTTATCAGCTTAAAGTGGATATATTCTGATCTGTTTTAATTTGGTATTATTTTCACATACAAAAAGTTCAGAGAGTTGCTTTTTAATGATGTGTTACATAATCATTAACTTTACTATATTTTTTTTGCAGATGTCTGTCTCACTTTTCCAGCATTCCACAGTCTTTGCCTACTACCAGCATTATTATAGCTTTCCATAATGAAGCTAGATCAGCATTACTCAGGACTATAGTTAGGTAATATACACCATTGGTTGACATAGTTTTTATATTTCTATAATAAATTTAAATTGGTTTATAATGTACAGGATACTGTATTTACACTAAGGGTGTGTTCACACTTGTTTCAATTAAATATACTAATACATCTACTATCCTATCTGAGAGCTTTGTGTGAATTTTGTCATGAAAGTGTTTTGGGCTTATGTCATGGCAAACGAATTGTCTCCTTAATTGATGAAGTTTAATTGATATAAACTATACCAAATATCATCTACACAAACGAAATTTGAGCATTGTATTGTTTGTAATTTAAAATAAATAAATCATGGCTCAAGATGACAAACAGTGGTTGGTTTTATATACTAAAGTCTGACTCTTTTTTAAAGGACAAAGGACCTGACAAAGTGGTATAGACACATGAATTCACAATACGCTACCATGAATAAGAGAGAGAGAGAGAAATGGCATTTAATGTCCACTCGACACAAACTAGGTCATTTCGGGACTAACATATGGTTTAATTTTATTTCAATAATTTGCCATAGGGGTCTTTAGCAGTGGGAGGAAACCGGAGGACCCGGAAAAACCCCACGAGGTTGGACAGGCGACCCTACTCCTTGTCACATACAACCGGGGATTCGAAACCACGCCAGTTGACTCAATGACAGGCTTTATGATACAGCGTGCAGGTGCTAACCATTCGGCCATCCACCCCCGTACCATGAATAAAAAACATGAAATATGAATTTACTTTGCAAAGTTTTCATGCTTTGTCAAAAAATAACCGGCAGCGAAAAATTTTGAAGTGGAAGCCCTGGTTTAAGTCATTGGAATTGGCGAGCACGTAAAAGAACCCTTTACAGTTAGAATTTGAAATAAGAGGAAGTTGTAGCTCCACTGTCAGGGCAAATTTCCTTCATAGCACACCGTCTAGCTGATGCCCATCTTTATTAGCCATGTTAATGCAGAAAAAAAGGATGTTAAACCCTATTTCATTTATTTTCTACTGAATGCAGGGCATGGTGAAAAGAAATGAAATGGGGTTTAATGTCCTACTGACCTGCTCCGACTGGGCTAATGAAGACGGGTTTGGTGAATAGAAACTGTTTATAATGAAATAAAATGGCGTTTAATGCCCTAGTTTTAATGTTTGTAATGGATTGTAAGAGAAAAAAGCAAAAAAAAAAAAACTTGTTTAAACTTGCCATCTGCGTATATATGTGGTAACCTAGTAACTTTAAAAAAGTGTGTAGAGTTGTTTTAGCATAAAGTCCAACACATCATGGTTTTAAATCATCTAATGTATTGGTAAGGCACCCTTGTATAAACTGGTAACTGCATAAAGTCCAACACATCATGGTTTTAAATCATGTAATGTATTAGTAAGGCACCTTTGTATATACTGGTAACTGCATTTTTCTCGCTCAATACTACACTGATTTAGATTAAATCAAATAAATTTTAATTTAAGATTCATCAAAAATTTAATACCACCAGAGTAATTCAAATTAAGGAAGGACATTGGCTGCATTGTATCTCCTTATTTATTATATAATTTTGTTTTCTGTTTGAAAGGAATCATTGTCATTATTTTTTTATAATACAGTCTTATAATTTCAGCATACTGAAAAGAACTCCATTGGAATTAATAGCAGAAATTCTACTCATTGATGATTTTAGTAATAATCGTGAGTATATATATGTATCTTTTTCTGAATCATTATTATATATATCACAATGTAAATTTTAAGTTCTAAGAAGAATTAAAATGATTTTGTTCTGTTGAAAAAAACAAAATAAATAACAGGGTAAGATGAAATTAATGTGAAAGTCATACAATAGATGTCTCATGTACCATATTAGCTAAAACTAGATGATGTCTGCTGATACAGTCTGACATTGGTGCTTGTCTGTCACTCACACTTAATAAATAACATGCATACACACAGCTGTTATACTTCTGTGTTTTAAAATATAATACATATTATATATATTCTAGACTTCTATATCAGTTATCTCAAATGATAAAATATTTCACTTATTACGAGGATGGATGGGGGTTTGGGTTATTAACTTTCTGTAGTGCCGATCAAGGACATTATGATGTACATTCAAAAAGGGTGAATTTCCTTGTCAGATGTGAACTGTTCTCCATGATCATCAAAATCTCACTAGGAATATGCCATTTGGCCTCTTTAAATATTTTGTTAGATTTTGCTGTATATACTTTTATTTTTAATATAAATGGATAAATAAATATATTTGTAAATAAATTGTAAACATTTTTTTTGTAGCACAAGATGGCCAGTTATTGGTGCACATTCCTAAAGTAAAACTAGTCAGAAATACTATCAGGGAAGGTAAGCAATAATGTTAATTTTTATTTAAAATGTTGAGACAACTTTGATTATGATTAAATATAAAGTTGTTGATTTTATTGGATTTTATATGCTGGTTTGATTTTGTGTAGTGGCAGGGGATCGTGGTGGCTAAGTGGGTAAGACACTGGCTCGCTAGCCTGGAGGCCGAGAAAGTTCATCCAGATTTTCCGTCGGGGTTCCCCCTTGTCAGTGATGCAGGAAAGATGGCCTGACAAGGACAGCTGTCTAGTTGTTCGGATGTGATGAAAAACCGAGGTCCCGTGTACACATTGGCGTGCACGTAAAAGATCCCTTGACAGTTGGAATTCGATATAAGAGTAGGCTGTAGTGTCGCTGTCTGGGCAAAATTTCCCTCATAGTACACTGTATGACGTATGCCCATCTTCATTAGCCTAGTTTAGGATCAGAACAGTAGGACATTAAACCTCATTTCATTTGTGTAGTGAAAATCTGTCTTCGTTGAAAATTTTATGTCATTAGATAAATCCTGTGTTCGGATATATTGTTTTCCATTGTCGACACAGTATCCCAGAAAATAAACTAAAATTAGTAAAACTATCTGACGTCTGCTTAATCTTTGAAACAGTAGTTTTAACTGGATTTGAGCTTAAATTGCCTCATCACAAATAGAGATAACCAATCAGATCACCCTGATTCAGTGCTTAATATGGGCCTAAATCAAAATGGAGTATATTGTTAAGTTTTTTTTAGATTTTTTCTTAAAATTGCAGTGATTGCCCTGTGAGTCATAAAAATTAACTGATTGAAATTCAGCATAATGCGCCAACTTTTTTATTGTTGCTCATCACTAGAACGTAAATGGTCTAATAGTCCACGGGGGGTTGGATGTCTGAATGGTTAGCACGTGCACGCTGTATCATATGGTCTGTCATTGAGTCAACTGGCGGAGTTTCGATTCCCCAGTTGTACGTGACAAGGAGTGGGGTTTCCTGTCCAACCTCATGGGTTTTCTCCGGGTCCTCCAGTTTCCTCCCACTGCTAAAGACCCCTACACTCATGCGAATTATTGAAATAAAATTGAGCCATGTGTTAGTCCCGAAATGACCTAGTTTGTGTCATGTGGACATTAAACCCCATTTCTCTCTCTCTCTCTAACAGTCCACCTTTTTGATAGATTTTAATTATTTTTTACTGAGATCTGTGCATCAAATTCTCATAGAATCATTGACCTGTCACAGAATCCATGAAAAATCTGAACAGATTTTGAGATTTTTAATTCAAACACACTGGGTTTGTTTGTTTCTAATGGAAACGATAATTAACACATTGTTTTTATTTGATGTGATTATATGGGACTTGGTCAGTTTTCTGGTACAAAATTAACTGGAACGTAGCGTTTAATGTGTTTGTACCTAGAAAATTTCATTTCATTTACATAATATTATTGGTCATTACTGCATAATGTATTTATTATAGGAATGACATTTTATTTCAGGTTTAATAAGATCACGTGTTAAAGGATCGAAGCTGGCTAAAGGTAAAATATTAACCTTTATGGACAGTCATTGTGAAGTTAATGTGGGCTGGTTACAACCATTATTACAGAGAATTATACAGGTAAAGTTATTATATATATTATGTCACCATATTTCTAAAATTAAAGTGGTGTCCTAGTGGCACTAGTAGTTTTGTATCCATAGAAAAAGCAGAATTTTATAGGATATCACCTCTTTGGTTTAAACGTGCAGTGGCATATTTTGAATGGCTAAGGCAGCATATTATAGACAGAAGTATATTATAGATAAAGCACCAACCTCCTACTCCCCCCCCCAATTACCCAAATATACGACGGAAGAGAATGATGCATCAAGGGAGAAAACTCGAGGTAGGGTCTTTCGTACGGGGTCATCTCCAACAGCATATCCCTGACTGGTGTCTTTTTAAAGAATCAAAGTAATAAATGAATATTGAATAATGTAATGTGATCAGGGTAATTGCGGACAAATGTATTAAAGTTTAAAGTGATTAAAAGTTTAGATAAATGAAATGGATAGTGGTTACATAAAGCTGTAGGTCAACTATTACTATGCTAATCATTTCCTCTTCTACTAATATATGAACCATCTATATAAACTAATACCCTACTTATATGTTTAATGTTCAGTTTAACAAATTCACATCAATTACTATGCCACATATATAGGTTAAAGTAGATATGTTTACGACTTACGGCAAAACCCCAAGCACATGTAATACTGATTTCCCCATTGTCACAAATGTTTCGTTATAGGTTTGTCAGCAATGGACTGTCAGCCAGCAGTACACATATACCAGTTTTATCAGGCAATATAATTTCCAAAAATCCTTGGTGCCTAAGCTGTAATATTCATAATAAAACTGCATTATCATTTTGAAAATTTTTGACCATAGTGCTTGATTATTAAATAAATATTTTTATGTACGTAGTTATTAGGCACATTGTTCACTGATTGTAATTTATATATCTTTACAGGAACCAAAATGTATAGTCACCCCAGTTATTGATGTTATTGATAAAGATTCGTTTGTTTATATACGAGCTACAGAAATATTACAAGGAGGTAAGAAGCAACAATTATTCTTATACTGGATAAATAGGCAATTTAAAAACATAAATTACAAACTGTCTTGCCAAGCAAAGGCGTACGAGCTGGGGGGGGCTGGGAAAATTTGGGCACACAATTGTACTTTGTAAAAGTTGTATAAAAAAAGATATTGTGTTCTTGAATGTGTCCAATTTAACACCAAATTTTATTATTATTATGTAACATACTAAGAACCTAACTACATTTTTGGGGCACCAACCAACACCGCCCCCCCAGTCAAAAATTTCCCCGTACGCCTATGTTGCCAAGTTCCTAGAATTTACAAATTGTAGGGTACTTTGTATTTTTTTTTTTTTTTATATGCTTACATTCATAAATTTTGTGGGAGCTCCCTGTATATGGTGTTTATGTTCATTTAAAACAAGTCTTTAGATTTTCATTGAGTTTCTATAATTTTTTTATCGGAGTTATTGTATTTGTTTATTTTTAAATTCTTGTGGTTAAAAAACTAAAAAAGAATCAGATTGCGACAACATTTTTGGTCTGCTCTGACAACTTAGCGACTGTTTCGTTGCCTGGCAATCTGTATTTATTACATTTATTGTTATACATTTAACAGGATTTGATTGGAGTTTAAATTTTCGATGGGAAGAACAGCCATATAAAAGAAAGGTGGATGAAATAAAACCAGTGAAGTAAGTAAATGTGCTCTTAAATAATACTTATTTAAAGTTTACAATATATTATATAAAAGCCTAAAATTTTCTGAAGCATGCTAAGAATGACCTAGAAAAATTGTATACTGGTACTGCTAAGGGCCAAAAATCTTAATTTGATAATCACATATAATTACTAGTTTATTAACATGCAATAATAGTACTCTCGTCTTTATCATGCAAATGTGTCAGTGTCTAATTATTAAATGCAACTCAAAGAATTTGATATTGATATGTTTGATATATTTTATACTACAGAACACCTGTAATATCTGGCAGTATCTTTAGTGTTAATAAAGATTGGTTTGATAATGTAGGAAGATTAGATACTAAAATGGATATTTGGGGTGGAGAAAACTTTGGTAAGATTTGTGTTGAGAAATCTATGTAAAAATAAGAAAGAATAATTAACAGTTGTTTCTTAAGATTTCTCATGAAACTCTACACAAAAAATCAGTTCAAATGCAAAACTATATTTTGTGCCATTTTCAGAAATTGATAAAAAAAAATGATCAGTAAATTTATATCTCTTGCTCAGTAAATTGCAATAAAAGCCATTGATCATCGTTTGCATTTTTCGGACATTATCTTAAATTTTCATGGCTTAATCCAGACTAAAATGTACCCAAATTGATTATGTAACATTTAATTTAGAAAACAAAACCTGAATATCAATGATAGATAATCTCCTGATGAGGATTTCAGATTAAAAGGAGGCCCATTAAAAGATTTTACCCATCACTTATAGGTGGCGCTGGTTTGTTTGTCTGCACAGGATCCAAATGTTGTCAGTTCATCATTTCCTTGTAAATACTAAACAGAAATGAACCATTTTGGGACGGATATTCCATTTAGATATTCAGCTTTCACAATATTGTAGTTTGCAAGGGATTTAAACTACAATCTTAATATATATATATTTACCATAATTCTCTGTAAGTTATATTCGGTTTATTTTTCAGAGTTATCATTTCGAACCTGGATGTGTGGAGGTATGATGGAGATTATACCATGTAGTAGGGTTGGACATGTTAACAGAAAACAACATCCGTATATCTTTCCTGATGGAAATGTTAATACTTATCTCAAGTAGGTATACTTGATAATATTAGTTATAACATGGTTGTTTCATTTTCTAGTGTTAAATAAGAGATATTTGAATTAAAGATGCATTATGTAATAATAAGATAAAGAGCTGGCCATTCTCGTTATACTACCGTAATTTTAGGGGTATAAGTCGATATTCAGTTTTCAGTTAAATTAACAAGTCATGCATATGTGCCATTTATTTTATTCCATTTTTATTATATGCCCACATTTTCATGTGGACGTATATTGTTGTTGCCCCTGCCTGTCCGGACGTTCATCCGTCTGTCTAGACGTCCGGATGTCCGTCCGTCCACAATTTGTTCATGGACAGTCTACAGGTCATAAATTTTATCCGATTTTGACAAAACTTGTAATATAGGTTTATCTCCAATAGATCTCTGTTCCTTTTATCATAAATTTTATCCTATTTTGACAAAACTTGTAATATAGGTTTATTTCCAATAGATCTCTGTTCCTTTCAATATTGGCATGTATCAGACCGTAACTTATGGATTATTGCCCCGGATTGTACGAAAAATCATGTTTTAGCTTGTGGACACTCTAGAGGTCACATTTTTTATCCGATTTGATGAAACTTAAAATATATGTTTATAACCCAAAGATCTTGGTTCCCTTTGATATTCGTGCATATTAGGCTGTAAATTCTTGGATTATGGCCCCTGATTGTACAGAAAATCAGGTTTTTGGCTTTTGGTCCCTCTATCAGATTTTAAAAAAAATGTTCGAATATACCACTGTTACACCCTAATGATGGTTGAGTTTGAATTTTGTGAAAATAGGACCGAAACTGCTGGACAAATAGTGTTATAGTAGGCCTATGTAATATCAAGGTCGTGGATCCTCTCAAGGTCACAATTTTGATATAATTTTTGAGACTTAAAAATATGTTTTTATCCCAAAGATCTGGGTTCCTTTCGATATTTGAGCATATCGGACTGTAACTTCTTGGATTATGGCTTCTGATTGTACAAAAAAATCGCGATTTTAGCTTGTGGACACTCTAGAGGTCACAGTTTTATCCAGTTTTAAAAAGTGTTTTAATACATTACCATTAGACCCTAATGATGGTTAAGTTCGAAATTCATGAAAATCGGAATGAAACTGCCCGACAACATGGCCGCTCCTTGTATGCAAAAGTGTAAAAGTATGTAATGCCAAGGTTGTGGACCCTCTAGTAATGAAATGAAACAGGGTTTAACATCCTAATGCTCTGCTTCGACTGGGCTAATGAAGACGGGCATACACCATACTGTGTGCTATGAGTGAAATTTTGCCTGGGCAGCAGCACTATGGCCTATTCTTATATCGAATTTCACCCTCCAAGGGATCTTTTACGTACAAGCCAATGTGTACATGGGACCTTGGTTTTCCGTCCCATCCGTATGACTAGACAGCTGTCCTTGTCAGGCCCTCCTTTAGGACCCTCTAGAGGTTAGAATTTTTATCCAATTTTGATGAAACTTAAAATAGAGATTTCGATTCCTTTCGATAATTGCGCATATTGGACCGTAACTTGCTGGATAATGGCCCTTGACTTTACGAAAAATCACTTTGTTTTCTAAGCTTGTTCTCTGTCCATCTCTTGCAAAATGCAGGCGTAACTTGCATGGCAACTACTTGATAGTAATGTCATCAGAATATTATTACCATGTGCGATCACAAACATTGTGTGTATTGTCTAGTATTTATCGGATGTCTTGAATTAAAAACAGGTTCAAATTTATAAACTGATTATTTTGCATTAATTGATATTATGGGATATTATTTTGATGTACATCTACACAACACATAACAATCCTGTATCTCGATAAAAGACTGCTACGTTGGAATTGAAAAATATTCGCCTTAATACCACTTCGACTTATATGTGGATGGAGGTCGGATAAACAGTAAAATATGATGATTCGACTTATACTCCACATTGACTTATTCTCCATATGATACAGTAGTTTACAAATGGATAATGAAATTTGGATGTATTGAAAATTACAGTCAAATTACTTTATACTGAGCAAAGTTATGAATGTAGCGTAGTCACAATTGTCATTGCTAATAAAGTTTTGATTAACCATGTTATCGTTAAATTATTAAATGATCAAGCTGTTTAAATCCATTTAATATCCAAGTTATCCACTGGCTTAGAGTATTGATTATGGGTCTGTCATGGGTCTGATTAATAATTTATATCACATTTGAAGCTAGAAAAAAAAGACCTTACATAATGCATCTTTAAGAGATTAAGAATATACTATAGATATACAATGATTTTGTTTTTGAGGTAAGCTCACCTGTATGTTTTTCAAGGTGTTTATAAATACTCGTGTAAAATTTTAAAACAAACCTTTTCTTACAGAAATACTCGTAGAACAGTGGAAATATGGATGGATGAATATAAAAGATTTTTCTATGCAGCAAGGCCATCTTCTAGAATGCAGGCATTTGGAGAGTGAGTAAAACTCTACTGAATTTCTTGCAATCTTCCTGGAAATAAGGCACTGGTCACAGCAATAATTCAAGCTTTGTCAGACACAATGCCCCTGATGTTTGTCATTTGGCAGGCACAGATTTGTGTATTTTCAGTTCTTGAAATGATATTATGAATATGTGTCCCACACAAAGTTCACAAAGTTAAAATGCCAGGTTCATTAGTGCCTAATATTTTGTCATGGGGTTTAATGTCAACTCGACACAAACTAGTTCATTGCTGGACTAAGATATGGTTCAATTTTATTTCAATGGCAGTGGCAGGAAACTGGAGGACCCGGAGAAAACCCACAAGATTTGAAAACCATGCCACCTGACTCATGACAGACATTATGATTTCACACGCACACGTTAAACCACTGGACCACCCACCCACCCACCTCATTGGGAAAGTAACCACAGATATAAGATTTACGTTAGTCCCAAATGAGTGGTGTGTTGACATGTTAAATCATATGTCTGTCCTTTCCTTTGTAAGAAGACTGACCATTACCCCATTAATAACAACTTTGAGCCTCTTGTTTATAAATTGAAATTATAGATATTTAACAATCCCTACTCAACAGCTGTACAAAAACAGACTTTAGGTAGAATAGACAAGTCATTTATTCATCTCCATAACTTCATAAAAGACCCATTGTCAAATGAGGGGGGGGGGGATGGTTAAATCATGCGCGTTGGATCATAATGTTTGTCATTGAGTCAAGTGCTGTGGTTTCGATTCCCCGCTTGTGTGTGACAAGGATTAGGTCACCTATCAAACCTCGTGGGTTTTCTCCGGGTCTTCCTGTTTCCTCCCAATGCTAAAGATCCCTATGTACAAGCGAATTATTGAAGTAATTTGAACCATGTGTTCATCCAGAAATCACCTGGTTTGTGCCGAGTGGACATTAAACCCCATTGCTCTCTCTCTCTCCCCATTATCAAATGATTGTTTTAAATAATCCAGTGATGCCAGTGCAGCCTCTGCTACCCTTTTAAGGGAGTGTTGCCAATCCCCCTTTTGTTACCAAATTGAAATTGTGCTATATGTTTGATACTTATCTGTTTCAAAATGAAAATATATTTTGATATTTGATATGACTTTCTATTATAGCATATCAGAAAGAAGAAACCTAAGAGTTAAGTTACATTGTGAGAACTTTCGATGGTATCTGGAACATATATATCCTAACCTCAAGTAAGTAAGATATACCTATAGATATAGGTATATTGAACAATGACTAGGTATGTGGTCAGATGATAATGGTAGTATCAGATTGCCCTGTCATATTTATAGATCATATCACTTAATCTATCAATAGAAAGATCTTTATCTTTTGATGTGAAACATACAACGTGAACCCACTTCAAAATGTGAAATAACCTTGGTGTCAGTTATCAATTCATTCATATCCTCATCTAGTGGTGTTATTCAGGATTTTGTCAAGAAGGTATCTTCGTCAGCATTTTTTGACCCACAAGCCCTATTTGGGGACGAATTAGAGTACTGGTACTCTCCAGTCCCCTGGTACCCATATTCCTGAAGCAATGGTTATGATCACTACTATAGCGCATTAACCATTGCTACACTTACTATGGTAAAGTGACATTGCTGATTAGTTATCTTCTAGTTCCCAATTCAACATAAATAAAATAACAGACATTTTCTCTACTGGGTATGTTACTATAACTTGTTATTTTCACTTTGAGGTTGCCACTAACAATTTCTATGCTAATGTATCATACATTGAAATAAATTAGGTATTTCCAAAAGGCTTAACTAAAGTTAGAGACAATTGTCTATAATTGATAACTGTTGTTACTGTGTTCACCTTGTATATGATTAATATATGGCAACGTATAGAATTAAAATATGTGTATTTTAAAAAATATCAGTTGCCTTATTAGCACGGTCAGAAGAGGTCCCAGTAGGTAATAATGTAATTATGAGCTTCCATTCCCTTTAATATAACCAGACTTTAACCAAAATAATTCTTGATAATTTGTTGTGTAAAATGTCGTACTCTGAAAAACCTAAAAAAAAAAACCCTGACAAATAGGTACACCTGCTGAAATTAAGACTCTTAATATAACAACATTAAAAAGTAACTGTCCAGTCTGTGAGATGAAAGGGGTTAATCTGTTTGAATATTACAGGTTACCAGTAAGTGATGAATTAGCATATGGTCATATAAAACAAGGTGATTATTGTATAGATCTTGACCCAGGTCAACTACCAGTTATAACTAAATTGAGATTCTGTAGTGAATCCAAAATGGCACAGGTAAGTGACTTTAATCCACAATACATAGAGGATATTTGTCGTTTTAGAGTGAATAACATATTTTATTTCATCGAGAAGCAAGAAAACTTATATTTTCACGAATGCGTAGCATGAGTGAAAATATAAACGTTTTCTTGCTTAGAGATGAAATAAAATATGTTATTCACGACAAAATGACAAATGTTCTATTTATTTTATGATTTTACAATCATTTTAGGTAAAAACAACTAGTCAGTGGAATAACACTTTTATTTCACTGATAAAACGCGGTATTCCACTACTGATCATAAGATAAATGTATATATTTAAAAGTGAAAGAAAATAAAATAAATGAAGCATATTGAAGAATGAACATAATATGTTAAAATTAAGAAATGCAATACTCTTTTTTTAAAGGACTGGTCATGGAGAAGAAAGGGTATTATTGTTAGTAATGGAATGTGTTTAACCTCTGACCCCTTGGTTACACATGATTATGTTGTTGTTCAGTTTTGTAACTATGGCGATAATCAGGTAAATATACATCAATATTGTTTTACATTCTATTTTTACAAACAATAATCACAACAAAAATGTTAGCTCCAGACTATTCTGGAGTCAGTAGCCAGAAAAATGCTAGTTTGTATGGAAGCAAGAAGATAATACTAAATATATTTTTTTAGCAGAATACAAACTGACTGTATTATAAAGTTGAATTATTTCTGGCAGCAGGCCCCTGGTTTATATACATTTCATGAAGGCTAAGATGAAAAACCAAATGTCTTTAATATCATAAATGCATGAATAGAATTTTTATTCTACAAAGTCTTATGAAATTTGGAGAAAAAAGTTGGTTTCTATGCTAAATATAAAGAAATTCATACTTCAACCTTACCCTTTGTTGGATGCCCGAACTGCATATTTCCAGGAATAAGTCTGGCAGTTCTACTGTTTAACATCTGCTCTGACAGTGTCAGGTTTCTAGATTGGTTCCGGTATCTTTACAGATTTCTTTTTTTTTAAACAACATGTGTCGTAATTATTTATAAATATAATATTTATTTGATAGAGATGGTATCGTCATTTGAAACAGATAGTTCACGAATCTACAGGATTGTGTATTGATAGTCGTGATTCAGGAAAAGGACTGATAGTTGCTGATTGTGATGATTCTTTAGATACTCAACAATGGGAACTTACTGTTGAAAATCCAGCCAGTTTAGAAAAAGAATATTTAGACAATACTTGAACAGCTTTTAAAAGGTTTTTTTTTTTTGCGCTTTGAACAAGGAAATAAAAAAAATGAAAAGTGGAGTGGTGGAGCCATGAAAGAAAAAGATTTTGAACAATGAAAAGTACTTAAGTGGGAAAAGAATAGTGCAATTTATTATTTAGTTTTGGTGCTATAGTTTTATTAGTGTTATATTTTGAGTATTTTTTTTTAATTTGTGCCAATTATTATTTTTTTATTTACTAGTCAAAGTTTATAGAATGTGACTGATGACATACTTATTTAATAGCTAACATTATTTTTGGGTTTAGTTAATAGACTGACTGAATTTACATGTATTTTAATTTAGTGGCTGACCTTTTTTATTAGGAATTATGGGGTAAAATAGTCAGATTTTTGTCAAGGTTTGCTAGATGAGAACTGTCTCTTTATGGTTAATCAAGACGATGTGAACATAAAAAAGTAAGCAATTGGTTGCTTCCATTTTTCAAGCGACCTTGGGCAAGAAGCTGAGTCTTCTATCAGTCATGTGATAGTCATAGTTACAACATGTGATATAAATAAACAATATGGCTGCTTCTTTAATGTCTCTTCTATCATGAGTCATGTGATACATCATGCAGTCTTTTTCAGGCCATTTTGTATTTGATCAGTCACAAGACCATGCAGTCTGAAGAGATGGAATGAAACAATCCTGAAAATAAAGAATATGAGTTAATTGTAAGAACACATAGACTGTTTCTAGCAAATAAGTGGCTTCCAGCTGCTCACAAATTATTTAAATCTAGGCTTAAGATTTTTGAATCATGTCAAATTTGTAGCATATATCATTGTTGAATTTTTAAAATGTGTGAATCACATTATAGTATGAATTTGAATGAAATCCATTGTATTGCATAATATTATAAGTTTCTGTAAAAAGTTATGTATACTGTAATTGATTTATCCGATGTCCATCATCAATGAGTGTGCATACCTGATAAAGAAACCAAAAATTGTGTTAATAATTGCTTCCTTTTTTAGAAATTCTTTTTAAGTGCCTGGGCGATTATTATGTTGAGTACATTATTTTTAAGAAATACTAGAAAATCTCTGTTCCATCCATTCAGCTATTTAAATATGTGGATTAATGACTTTCTGCATACTAATTGTATAACCATACATATTGTTTTATTTTTATGTCTTACTGTGACAAATTTTATCATTTTATTTTATATTTGAATTAATTAAACTTATATATTTATATATATCATGAATTATGTGCCAAATATTGCATTCTAGATATTAATCTTATCTTCCTCCAGTAAAGTATGTATGTAGGTAGTCTTATTGCAGTATTCAGTCTTCTTCTATAGCTAAAGTATATGGTGTAGAAATATACTGATGTCCAAAAGAAAGTATACACACTAAAAGTATGACTAAGTTTTGTTTAGATTAAAAACATTTGATAAAGCATTACTGAGTGTGTCTCTTGCGTCCAAACTGAACATTTCTAAGTAAAATAAAAATGTGAAACAAATTGAAATTCTAAACAAATACCGTATACCATATAAAAACGACTTTGGTTGATGCAGCACAAAATGCACAGTGTATACTTTCTTTTGGACATTAGTATAGATTTAATATAAAATACCCCATAGATAATTGTTGAATATTAAATATTTAATTCTAAAATATAAACAAGTAATTATGAATCGTAAAATTTGAGAAATTCAAATCACGACTTTAGTTAAAGTATCAATACAGCCTTTTGTATGTCTATTTGAGGGGTTTATATGCTGGTACTAACTGAAAACGTGATGGCATTTATTTGCAGGATTTTATGTTTTTAAAATTCAAAGGAGGTTTTCTGTGTTTAAGGAGGTAATATGACATAATTTGACTTTTTAAGCTTGTAGGGGTTGAGTGGCTAATTGGTTTACCATGTGTGCCTTAGATCATAAAATCTGTCATTGAGTCAGTTGACATGGTTTTGATTGTATGTGACAAGGAATAGGGTTGTTTGTCTGTCTACCCTCGTGGATTTCTTCCAACAGCTAAAGATCCTACGTGCAAACGAATTATTAAAATAAAATTGAACCATTTGTTAGTCCCAAAATGACCTAGTTTGTGTCATATAGATGTTAAACCTCATTTCTCACTCTCTCTTTTAAGCTTGTGAATGTGAATTTTAAAATCTTGATGGTAATGTTCATTTGGTCAGGTGACCTGACAAACTGCCATCTATGTTTTAATATGAGGGGTGAGTCTAACACAGAAAGAAACAAGAAATTCAAATCAAATGCATTTATTTTTCAACATAGTCCCTCTTCAATGTAATACACTTCTGCCATCGGTGTTGCAGAGCCTTTATTCCAGTTCTGTAGAAATCTTTGTCTTGGGTGTGTAGAAAATCATCCACAGCGGCAATGACGTCATCGTCAGACGGAAAAAGCCTACCGGAAAGACATTTCTTCAGAGCAGGAAACAGATAGAAGTCAGAGGGAGCTAAATCAGGAGAGTAGGGTGGATGCTGAAGAAGATGAAAACCACAGTCATGGATTGCTGACATGGCAACAGCTGATTTGTGCACTGGCGCATTGTCCTGGTGGAAAATCACACCTTTGGTCAGCTTTCCTCGTCTTTTGGTCTTAATTTCTTGCCTCAACTGCCTTATAAGTGCTGCATAGTATCTACCGTTAATTGTTTGACCCTTTTGGAGGTAATCCACCATGAGAACACCCTCAGAATACTGAGGCCATCACCTTTCTTGCCGAAGAAACAGTCTTTGCCTTCTTTGGGGTCGGCGACGTCACATGTTTCCACTGTTTTGACTGCTCTTTTGTTTCTGGCTGAAAGTGGTGGACCCAAGTTTCATCCATAGTAACAATTTGTTTTAGGAAGCGGTCAGGATCGTTTTCAAATAAGGTTAGATTCTCTTCTGACATGATGTGTCTTGAACGCTTTTGATCAGGCGTCAAAAGCTTTGCACCCATCGTTCTGAAACCTTTGTCATTTCCAACCATTTCAGGTGTTGACACAGTTTTTGGTCGACCAGGGCGTGGTTCGTCTTCAATGCTGTCTTGGCCACGCTTGAATTCAGCTGACCACCTTTTAATTGTGGCATATGAAGGAGCATCATCTCCTAATGTCTCAACCATATCATCATGTATGGCTTTCGGTGTTAGACCCTTTTTATGCAGATACTTAATCACAGCTCTCGCTGATAACAACAGACCCTACTTGATTGTTATGACCTGTCACAATCAAACAGTTTAACCGAATGTGATGAAAGTTTTTGACAGAGCCTGGGGAACATAATAGTGCATGTGCAAAACGTGGTATCATTGTGTTGCACGGTTTTCCAATTGAGGCTCACTACTTATCAATCACCCCTCGTAAACGTAATGTTGATTATGTCTCTTCTCAAACTCTGTATTTGCCTTTTCTATCTTATTTTCCTTTAAGATCTGTCTAATAAAAATATTTGATTTTCAGCAGCTAAATAAAAGATCTCATTAGTGTAAATTTGTAATAACTGTGTTCTAGTCTGTAGTCTATATATGTATGTATTACATCTACCTTACATAATGAAGTTATCCATAAATAGGCATATATGTAGGCCTGCTGTCCAACTGATATTTCGAAATAATTTACAAAGAACACTTTTTATTTGAATGCTTGGATCAAAGATTTCTAATGAATTATTGACGAAATATCTATATGTTATATTTATGTACTTAAAATTGTTTTATAAGATAAAAAATGTTGATTAATGGAATTTTTGTTACCCGCTGTTATCTGTAATAGGAATCTGAGATCATGGCTGTGTACTGAAATATTTATTACCAGCAGGTCTATTCATCAATTTGGGGGGGGGGGGGGTTGTTGAGCGGCTGAATGGTTAAGGCATGTGCATTGAATCAGACGTGGTTTTGATTCCCTGCTGGTATGTGACAAGGAGTTGGGTGGTCTGTCTAACCTTGTGAGTTTTCTCTGGGTCCTCCAGTTTCCTCCCACTGCTAAAGACCCCAATGCAAAAGAAATTATTGAAATAAAATTGAATCATTTAGTTAGTCCTAAAATGACCTAGTTTGTGTCGAGTGGAACACGCCATTTCTCTCTCTCTCATCAATTTAGGGATAATCTATGAAGAAAAGCACAGGTGTGCATTTTCTCCGTTTGAAAGGTGTGTAAATTTTTTGTTTGAATGTGCAAAAAATATATGTATTGTTTTGGTGAACCATCTGTATAAAAAAAAATTCAACCAAAATTTTACATTCAAAGCATGAAGGCAAAATAACTGGCTTGACAACTGAAAATTATCATCATTAAATAATGTGCTTTATAACCTTGCAACTTAATAAATGTTGAATATCGAGGAGGGCTTTCAATAAGATTTTATGAAAATCCAACAGATGGGCACTTATAACTCAAATATATTTTCAATAAATTTGCTCTGACTGAAAAGCTTGTCTTGAGATGATGTTTCTATAAGAATGGATGATCAAGGCAAGGAGTTACTTCCCTTCTATAACACATTATTTTAATTGTGAGTTTTGAGATTGACATTTATTTTACAAAAATGTTTACAGGCTGAACCAGTGGCATTAAGGGAGTAGCCACTGGGCCATGTCCCTACTCCCAGCCTTTAGTCCATCAAAAGAGTGTGTATTTACCAAGCATGTTCAAGACTAGTCTTAACCAAAATAATACCACAGTTATAGGCTCAATACTACTCTTGATGTAACTGAATAATATGTCCCAATCTTTATTCTGGTCAACAAATTGTACTATTTTAGAATATTTCAATTAATTGATGATACAAATTTCATCTTAACACACCTTATTTAAAATTTTTGAAAAATTCAACATAATGGTTTGAAACGTCTTTGTAAGCCTTTTCAAATGAAACTTCGATTTAAAAATATTTTCGAACCCTCTGGACAAGTAAAATAGGATGTAATGGATAATTTACACAACAGGAAGGACACTTAAACATCTAGTACTTAGATAGAGATATTATTTATTTTCTGGAGCTTTCAAGCCAGCAAGAGTGTTATTGTCCCTTTAAGCATATTTAACACACCCTTCAATATCTATTTACAAATGTACATACATGCAATCATAAATGTTTATATCTGTTGCCTGTTTCTACTGGAAACGCCTGCCTATATCCAAGCTGGTCGCCTATCGAGCTCAATTCTCGAAAAATATAACAGCAAATTATTCAAGTGAAATTGAAACATGTTAGTCCCAAATTGAACTGGTTTGTGTCAAGATGTTAAACCCCACTTCTTTCTCTCTCTCTGTTACATTTCTAATGTAGAGTAATTCACAGAACAAGAAAACATCTTACTATGTATTTCAAGTGATTATCGAAAAGTTTAACTCTTGACCAAGACAATATTCAAAGAAACAAGTTTAAAAAAAAGAAATATAATCGATTCAGATTTATTAATACATTTACTGCAATTGGGAAAGAGATGGGAGATAATTTGTTTTCCAGCTACCCAATCATTCTTATCAACCAGTAACCTCTCCTCAAAATAAAATTGTTGATGCAAATTGCATAATATGCGAACAATCAAATTTTTAAGTTGATTATTACACATGGTCAACCACTGTTTGCTAATTTAGTATATCAGTGTGTGTTGTTGCATGTTGCATAGTAACCACACTTATCCACTTAACTGTCTTACAATTGGAGACATCATTCATAACTGCACCCACCTTTGTATTGTCTTGGCTTGAAACATCTTGTAAGATATCTTTTTAGCAACAATTATATTTTGCTTGGTAGCTCCCACCATTGTTTCCTGTCAGTGGTTTTATATTTAGGAATTTTTTGACTATTGAGGAAACATATCTTAAGACACAGGACATACCTAAATTTTCTTGTCCTAATTGAAAGGTCACTTCTCTGCACATTACCTCATAGGTTTGCATCTAAACAAGGCTGAAGTAGAGTGCAAGATAATGAGTTTCGTTTTCAAGAAAATAGGAACACAAATATCAGGGGCAAATACAAAAACAATTCCATTTAATTTCTCCTAAAAGCAATAATTGCCATTTTTATTTCTTTAAGCATAATATGTTTGGATATTGTACAAAGGACATTTCTGACTGATCTTAATATTTACACAAACCAAAAAACATCTGAATGTAAATTTTTGATGTGTGTTAATTGTCAAAATCAATATCTTTTTTATATTTAACAGTGATAATGTAAATAATTTGTGAATATCAAAGAAAAATACATACTGGTATACATAATAAGCTATGTAACAATGAACTGTCCAAAAGTTTTATAATGAGTTTTCTAAATTGTAGCACATCTAAAATATAACATAAACTGTTAACTTACTTCACCATGCCCTTTTTCGTTAATGGAATACATAACATTTTATGTGACATAATTAGTGGTAAAAAACTGGTCTACATTACAGTATATTTGGGGAAAAATAGTGTCAAAACTTGCATCTTTTTCATTCACTTTGATTGCTATTCTCCCACAGGCTCTTGTCCAGATTGTGGTTACAAAAATATCAATTCTAGATGATCAAATTTTCATATTGCAACGTTGTATCCATTTCACAAATTATCAAATTCAAATATACAAAAAATATGTTTAAAATTCTTTGAACAGTAATTTATCATATTCAATAGCAATAATCGAAATTTGAATATTATAATAGAGAACAAATTATTAGTTCTGTTTTCAAAAAACTGGATTGTACTTAACTGCAATTAAGAAGTGGTACAAGTTGATTCATTAGCTCATAACATTTTTTAAAAATCAATTTATTCTCATTTCTTCTTTTTCTACAAGAGTATATGATTAAAATTTATACAGCCTACTCTCTCTCTCTCTCGATCCCACGATCCATTCTATCCCAATATACATATTATAACTAGGTGAATTGAAGGGAAATGTATATACACATAGATATATAGTGAAAGATAAACCATCTTAACACTACCAGCACTACTGAGCACTACACAATATATACAGTGTCTGTTACACAAACAGTTTATAGTATAATATTTTTAACCACCAAGAATTTTTTTTTTAATATTTGTTATTAATATCAAAACATAATTTTTGTTTAAATATTATTTTCTCCTCAATAATTTTTAAATTTAACTAAAATATAATTTATTTCATAAAATTTAAAAAACAACCATGATAATTTAAAGTTTCAAAGTTTTTTTATATTCATTATTAATATCAAAATATAATTTTTGTTTTTATTCTTTTTTCCTAAATAACTGTTAAATTAATTAAAAAAATAATTCATAAGATACAATTTATTATCTAAAATTTATTGACTATTAATTTTGTTGTGTATTTTAGATGATAACCAATTCGAAAACAATAATTTGCTTTTTTAAATGTTTCAATCAGAAAATATCAAACTCAACAATAAAATGTATAAAAGTGTTTGATATACATAAAAGAATAATTAAAACATAATATTAACTAATACCCAGCTATTTGTACAACAGACACTTGAGCTTATAACAAAATTAGAAAGATATCAATTTTATGCCATCAACATACTGTATGGTTTGCACTAACATAATTAGACAGTCATCTTCATGGCATCAAATTTATACATTCAATTATAACTATAAAAACTGGAATCTAAGAAGCGTTTTTCCTCCAAATTGTGTATAATACAAAATAATAGTTTGTCTATAGGTTTTGAATAACATAATTTTAACAAGCGTGATTCTCTTAAAAATAAAGCAAGGGAAGTAAGACAAACAGTTGTGTGAAATATCGTAAGAAACACAAATGATATTCATTTTTCTAAGACATATATAATAAGCTTGTCACTTGGTGACCAGAAGCCCAATTAACACAACACAATATACCAAACAAGCTAAATATATGTAAATAAGGGACTACTAGCCTTCAAAGTCTTGGGGCATATTTTGTAGTATTTAAATTTAAGGAATACTTCGAAAAGTTATTTGAAATTCTATCCCCTGATACTGATAGTGTTTATTCATGAAATAATTGATAAAGAGTCTTATTTGAAAAATAATTTAATTAATTTTCTTTTTGATCTTAAATTAACTAATGCACTTTATACTTATAACTTCAATTGGAGAAATCTATATAAGAATACCCAAAACATATTCAAAAATACATTCCAAAAACAAAATATATTCTCTAAGTAAGTTTAACTCAGTCACATTAGATTCTGAAGTCAAAACTTTTGTCAAAATTTCAAATATTAAACCTTTTTTTAAAAAACAAAAACAAATGTAGAATTGTTTAAATATATATAAACCTAAATTAACTCCCCATATCCTATATAAATGTACCATGCAGAATATTTGAAATAAACTTTAGATTATGATGAATTAATACAACTATGTGTATAAAAATCAAATTAAAGATGATGAATTGCAATCAATGTCCAATGTACCATCAACAGTCTATTCTAAAATTTATTTTAAAAATACTATATTATTATTTTAATAATAATATTTGTGTTTTCACATCGTCAGCCTGTGTACAATTTCATTTATTAAAAGACTACATATAAACATGTTTTTCTTGAGGTGTTTTAAAAACACTTAGTCTCCCAGATAGCTGTGCATCTGACATATTGTCTCAAGGGCCAAGCTCATAGAAATATCTTAAATCTTTCATCTGGGTTCATCTTTATCCCCTTCGGTGCCTGGTATGGAAACTGTTTGGTATGCAATTTGAAGTTCAGGTCAGTCACACAGCTTTATAGTTAAAAATTTATCTACTGGTTTGTCTTTCTTTTTATCGTCAAGTTGTACAGCAACTATACTTATTACCAAGAATGTGTAAAAGATTATTGCTAAAAATATTTTTTTTCTTTAAATAGTTCTCAATAACCCGATGTAGTGTAAAATTTGTCATTTGCATATAAATAAACTAATTTGCATAAATATATAAAAGGAGAATTTCATTTTGTAAGTCTATAAGTCATATGCAAAAAAAAAATAGTATTCTGGTAATAATACTAGAAACTGTGGAATTACATGACAACTTGACAGGCATATCAACATATGCTTGGCACCGACTGGGTTAAAGAACCTTTTAACTATCAGTTAATCTATTTTATGTGTCTATGTGTTCTTAGTCAGCAACTCATTTCTAAACTTTTCACTAAATTGGCTTTGATTTAGAATTTTCCAGGAACTGGGCTTTGGTGATGTTATGTTAAGACAATGTGGTTTTAAACCATCACTTTGCTAACTCGTCTTGTAATATTCTCATCTTTTTATTGTATTTATCTTGTCAATGGTGAGAGTATATTCTGAAGCCTATCAGGTGTTAGTTTTGCACTTGGTGCCAGAAAACCAACTGTATATTATTTACAATAGTTTCATATATAGAACAATTACTATCAATGTGTCCACAGGCAGAAGGATAAAATGCTTCACAAACATCATTGCCTTAGGCATGTAAACACGACATATATTTAAACTCATTAAATGCTTGTAAACTGTACATCAGGCCTAAAGTATAATAGTAATAATAATTGATTATAATAATTATAACATCAATTGTTTAGAAATTTTTCACCTGTATTTAGCCTGTTACAGTCCACCTATTGGTAGATTTTACAATAAAATAAACAAAAAAGTTTAAACAATCCAGATTAACATTTACAAAATTAATCTAGATATTATTACTCCGCAGATCAAAAAACAACTAGATCTATCAAGTTTGTTTTTCAATATCCGCCGGTCTAGTCGTCGTTATTCTGTGTCTGTATTTATTTTACGATCGCTCATGTTATTATGGGCTTCTAACATTTCAGTCAACAAATCACAGAATACCACACATCCTTCTCGCTTCAACTGTTGGAAATATGCAATGCCACGCTCCCCTGCTTGTCGTATATGGGTTAACAGCAAGAGGATGGACGGAACATGCCGAACATTATCTGCATGGAACCGTGCTGATGTTTCTACAAGGGCGTCCAGAATGACTTGTCGCATGTCTTGGATTCGACTATAGCTTGCCAATCTTCGTACCTCTGAAAAGAGAGAAAACAATGATTGAATTTAATTTATACTTTAAACTATAGAACGCAAATGGCATCATACTTTGCATAAGCTGCAGTTAAAGCTAAATTATGCTAGATTTCTTTATCACATCTACTATATCTTTATATTAAAAAATTTTTACAAAATAATCAAGGGGCATAACTCTGACAGTAATTATTGAAAATTGTTGACAATTTCAAGTCAATTGGATGGTAACTTTAAGCTCTAGTGCAACCACAAGGTTTTTAAAAATGGATCAAGGGTCATAACTCTGACAGTAATTATAGAAAATCATTAGGCTTCTTTGTCACTTCACCTGCTAAACCTAACCGAAAATATATGCCACATTTCAATGTGGGAATATAAAAATCTGTACATATTAATACATAGGGATTTAAAGGAATGGCATGGGTTTAATGTGACAATAACAGTAATCTATATGAAAATAATCTCACTGGTATACCTCTACTTTTTTTCCAAGAACAGAGGTTTCAATATATGCATGTACCAAGTGGTAATGGGTTATTACATTTTAAAATCTTAGTTATTTAGAGATGATATAATATATATTAATAGAACATACCTGCGTTGACTAATACTGTAGCTTGTAATAGTAGAAGTTCTTCTTTACTAATACAATATTGTACCATTAGTTCTGATACAGCTGCTACCTGATCCAATATTTCTGTCATTCCAGTCAAATTCCATAATTGTCTGGAATAAAGATGAAAAAAGATTTTACTACAAATGAATTTTTGGCCACTATTAAAGGCGAAAAGTTTGTGAATATGTTTAAAGACAGGTGAAATCAAATAAACCTCTTTCTAAAGTTTGGATCCAGGTGAAACAATATAAATTATCCCAAGAAAGTTGTCAGCAGAGCAAATAAATCTTTTAGGCATCACATGCTTTTGCAATCTCTACTACATATGGATCCCACCGGTTCTAGTGGGAGGTTGTGTCATGGGTAATATGGGCAAATTTTGACATTATAATGTCAGTCATTCGATTAACCAATCAGCATCAGTTTTCCAAGTAGCTATTACTTTGTTTTCTATCACTGGCACATGATAAGAATGACACAACAGACCACTGGATTGGCTAACCGCCCAGAATGCAGGTTATTTAACAACTCTTCCAGATCCTGGTGCAGTGAAGACAAGTAAAACAAAATTTTGAACCATAAAAAACAAAAAGAAATATGATTTGTGTTTTAATCAGATTAAAGGCTTTGTATCTTTTATAGACACAAAAGTTACTGTAATGTCGACAATGATTGATCAGTGAGATAAAGAGTTGAACAAAGCTAATAATATAATCAATTATTTCTTTTGTGGTATAATATATTGAATTTCAGACAAAATCATTAATATTATTATTACTATATAATAAGATAAAAATCATGTTGAAATACAAAACCATTAAACAGTTTTATTTGATAAGAAAATATAGTTAATATGTCTAGTCTATCTGTTTATTAATAAACATGTTATGCTTACATACACTAGTTAAATTCAAACATATTGTCACAATATTTGTTTTATTATTTAAGTAAAATTCAAAGAGCTAAGTTGGTTAGCATTTATCTTTCATTGAAATTTTAATGAATGCATCATTGGTTATTATATTATGACATAGTCATTTTTTGGAATATAGTTTATTTATAATTTACATGCAGGGTTTTAAACACTAGTTTAAGGTTTATTTTGGCATGTTGGGGTGATATAGATGGCAATATGGTATACAAAAAAATCTGCAGCTTAACCAAGGCAAAGGTTCCAACATTCCTATTTACTAAAGAGTCAAATTCAGTTATAAATCCACTGCTTCAGGGTAAGAAACATTTTACAATTATCTGCAGTGTCTTATCTTATTCTCTGATAAGCAGACAGCTATCTTTTTCCCCCCTTTGAATGTTGAAAGTCCAGACAGGTGATTGTAAAACTCACTCAGAGTTCGTTTAGATGTAAAATAAGATCGTATAATCATTCTTAGATCTAAACCATTTGATAGGATTCAATTTCTCAGGACTCACTCTTTAACATACTTCAACATCAAGTTTATCTTATTGCACACTTTTTAATCAACAGTCATGAAAAGAGCATTAATTCTTTCATTTGAATAAAACTCTGAAGTCATTTTCACATAAAAGACTAGAGCCCCATGCTATCTCCTATAGTGCGGAACATAATCCTACTAAAAGTAATGTTTCACAATAGCACCTGTTGGATTAGGTACAATGAATAGAACTTTGTAATTAGTTACGTCATGTGACATCACAGAATTTCATACTAAATGAGTAATATTACATTTAAATAAATCTCCTGGGGGTTCAAAAAGGACATTGACCTATTAAGGCCTACTCAAAGGTTATGTAAAGGGTAAAAAGCTCTCTGCAATTTTAATGAGCGATAAAATTACTAGAAATAATCATTATTCTTTATTCTTTATCGCAGTCTATCCTCTTTATTAGGTTTTCTGACACAAACTTAATATTGATTAAATTTTCCTTGCCATTTCACTCGAGTTAGCATAAAGCTCATATTTCTGACTTAAGCCGCTTAATTATATTTGTACTGGTCTATTTATAGGATATGACATGTAAGTTCATTTATCTTTTAATCAAGGAAGTACGGTATAGACATATGTAAATGATTGGCTATTTATGATGATGTGTTTCACTGTAAACTGATACAAAATTTTAATAAGTCTTAATTTAATATTTATTCAGTTACAGCAGGGTTTTTTAATATCTTAATCAAGTGGTTAATATATTTTCTAAAAATATTTTGTCTCCAGGGAAATAAACAATACTTGAAAAGTGTTCTAGTCTATTCAGCTAATAATTTAATTTATCACCCAATAATACATTCTACAGTAGATATCGCTTGTGTGATAAATTTCATAATCTACTGTGATATCTCCTTAGGAGATATCGCTTTACATGAATTTGATTGGTCAATCAAAAAGGAACTACTTTTTTTTTTTTCAAAGAACAGTTCATTTTTTATTAAATGTAAGTTCTTTCTTCTTTCTTATTAGAAATGAACTATTTTTATTTAATTGGCCTTGATGGAAACACTGGGTCAATATAAAGGACTTTGCAATGGTTGAATTGCTGTCAAAAAATGATGTATCACTACGCGGTAATGTAATCAGGTTCAGTAAAAGTGTAACCTATAGTAAATAATTATATTTATTTATAAATGTGCATGTAAGATTACTAAGAAGGGATTGGGTGATAAATAAAATCTCCTACTTGTCTTTTTTGATATCAAAAAATATCAACACTCGTCGATAAAGTAAAAAAAAACTCAGCATATAATATGAAATCAGATGCAGGAACAGGATATCATTTAAGTTCTAAAATTTAGCTGTCAGGAATACGATATCTTTTAAGTTTTAAAATTTTTGCATTGTAAAGTACTAATATGTAAATTTTAGAATTTATTATTATGAAGTTTAATTTGAAATTATTATTATGAAGTTAATTTGAAATTTTTGAATTTACTCTTATGAAGTTTAAATTGAAATTTTTGAATTTATTATTATGATGTTTAATTTGAAATTTGATGTAATGCTTACAATAATCAATTTATAGGAATTTATCATTACAAAGTTTAATTTGAAATTTTATGTAATGTCTATAAAATTTATTTTTAGAATTTATTATTATGAACTTCTTCTGAAATTTTATGGAATGTCTACAATCTTTATATTCAGAACAGATTACATGCATTATAAAGTTTAATATCCACAATATTTATTTCCAGGATAATACCAACCTATCGAGATGAAAATCTGGTGCAAAGACTAGACGTTTCCCTTCATGGTCCATGGAACGAAATGCACAATTTAATAACAATAATTCCATCCAACAACATTCTATCAAATGGACTTGATCACTTAGAGACAGATCTGTATAACCTTTAAAGCAAAATATACAATTTCATTACCATGATGATAATGATGGTGATGATACATGATACATGAGAAGAGAATGTACAATGTAGAGCTCTTCATCAAAATGCAATGTAGTGTGAGTATCAGGCAAATCTGAACTTGAAACAAAATATATTTTGTATCTATTTTACTAATGTCAAATACATTAAACATTTATTTGAAAAAGTAAAAACTTCTTCATTTTAATTAATTTTTCCCAGAGAGTCTGAAAAAGGATACATAGTGTTTTAGAATAGTACTCTTCATATATGCAGATTAGGGATTTGGAAAAAGAGTGTTCTGGAAAATTCACATTATGTTTTAAAATCTATATTTCAGACAATATCTAATTTTGCATGGCTTAATCAATGTTGTAATGTATTGAAATTGATTATTTAACATTTTAATCAAGAGATTAAAATCCAAATATAGATAACCTCCTGGCTTGGATTCAATCAGGATAAAAAGAGGCTCATCCAAATAATTTAACAAAGATTATATACTGGTACGAGGCAATGGCTTACTTTGACCATGTCCTGTTTATATTTTATGTCGAGGATGCTGAATGTTGACTGATATTTCTTGTAGAGATTCAACTTGCACAAGATGATTGCAGTTTGTAGGGCTTTAAAACAGCTCTCAAATGATGTTCAGAGAGAGAGAGAGAGATAGGTTTAATGTCCGCACGACATAAACTAGGTCATTTTCGGACAGACATGATTCAATTTTATTCAAATAATAAGCTTGCGCATGGGGGTCTTTAGCAGTGGGAGGAAACTGGAGGACTCAAGAAAACCCACGAGGTTGGACAGGCGACCCTACTTCTTGTCACGTACAAATAAAATGAAATGAAATGGGGTTTAACGTCCTACTGTTCTGCTCCTAATCTGGGCTAATGAAGACGGACATACACCATACAGTGTGCTATGAGGGAAATTTTGCCCGGGCAGCGGCGCTACGGCCTACTCTTATATCGAATTCCAACTGCCAAGAGATCTTTTACGTCCACGCCAATATGTACACAGGACCTCAGTTTTCCGTCCCATCCGAACAACTAGACAGCTGTCCTTGTCAGGCCCTCCATCCTACATCACTGACAAGGGGAAACCATGTACATGCGGTGAATTGAAACCACACCACTTGACTCAATGACACGTTAACCATTCAGCCACCCAACCCGCCTTGATGTTCAGAGACTTTAATAACATGTCATTATAATGACTGATTGACTTGTGTATACATAATTAAAATAAGATATATAATCTAATGGTGATTTGACAACCAGTTAATCAAGTACATACCTGGGACATGTTTGGCCCAGTTTATCAAGTATACTAGTTCTCTGTCGGCTAATTTGATCAGCGTATTTAATAAATGTATTCTAGATGGCGGCAAGTTATGATTATGGTAACTCTCTAGTACAGGAAGATCAGCTTTCTGCAGCGCTTCCAATATAGCATAAGCTCGACTCCGTTTGGCACACTAAAAAAAAAAAAAACCAGAAGTTTTTTCAAAGGTGTATGTGTTTAAAAATATAATTTATATAATTCATAATAAAGGTCACCCCAATGATAAACGAGTTACAAAACTATTATGTCAAATACCAACTGATATCATTATTTTGAAGAAAAGTTATACCGATTCGCCCAAATAATATAGAAGTTTTACTTCCATTCAGATGTCTCAAAACAAAACTGGAATAAACTTATGAAGTAACCTTTCCAGGCCATAAAACAAAGGACATAGTTTTAAAATTTTGTCGCCTTCATTTTTAAAATTAAAGCAAAATTCAACAGAAATTTAACCATGTTGTATACTTTCATAAAATCGTGATGTTACAACTTGTAATACAGTTAATGCCAAATTGGTCTCTATTTAGATCTGATTAATGATTGAACAAATCACATGTTCTATGGACAAGTAAATCATTATAATTAGTACTGGTGATTTGTAGTTCCACTATGCTATATTATTATATCTTCTATTTTTTATGTCTATAAAGTGACACTATTAAATGTTTTAACAAATGTAGAATAAAATGGGGTTTAACGTCCGAACAGGGTAAGGAAACATTTCTAGCATTATTTTGAAATATTTATACAAGTTTTTGAAGGTCTTATCTTTAAACTTCTTCCTTAACCCATTAGCAATGGGTTCCTTAGTTCACCCCAAATTTTTGTAGTACCCCTACAAACTAGTAAATGGTCCTATAATAAAAGCCAAAAGGAACAGCAGTTTTGGTCTTCCAGGGATATACTGGTATTAATATATCACTTTTCTCTCATTTTCTTTAAGGACCTGGGGTAGTCAATATTAAAATGCACCAAATACTAAAGGGTTATGGTTATACAATTGTAATCTTGTACAATATAACCTTTAATACATATTGCTTTCTTCAAATAAAATTAAAGATTCAGTCACTTAGCTAAGGCATTTTAAAATAAAAACTTACTTTAGAAGGAATGAGTGAACCCGATGTTGAATTAACAGCTGTCTCTGAAGAATCAACACGACATCGTTTTCCCTTTCCTCCTCCACCTCCACTACTCTTTCTTTCTTTTCTTTGACTTCCTGGAATTCATACAAAATGTCTGATTATGATAAAACAAAATAAGCACTAATTATCTACTTGTCACAAGCACTCATTATCAACCATTATCCAATCTGTGTATCATGACCAGCAAATTTTATAAGTCCCACTTAGTTTGTACAAATTCAAATTAAAACTCCTAATTGCATTAATAAATTCAAATTAAAACTTCTTGTTGCATTAATAAATATTAAACTCTATAAAAACACATAATTTGTAATTTTAATAGGATTCTGTGTCTTCAATGAATCACTCATTGAAGTCATAAAAAATAACAATGCGAGTTTTCATGTTCAAAAACATTTGCATATATGTATACAATGTATAGGGAGTGTTCTCAGAGAGGAAAAAAGCATTGATCAAACTAAAGTAGTCTGTTGAATACATGTACATGAAATGTAGATTTCATTTTCAGTGTTCGGAATGGGAAGAAAAGCTGTTATTTTGTGCCACCTTGAGAGTATAGCCATCTTTTAAAATTTGTTTTAGTTTGCTTACGGTTTTCATTGAGATTTCTTAAAAAGTTTGTACTTTTACTATTTTTCAAGGAAATTAATGGATCATGGAATATAATTAAATAATAGTCGCATGCCAAGTATATAAGTGTATGTGTAGTAGATTTTATCTATTTAGTACAAAAAGGTCAATTCATGAAGTCGGATAGATAACTAGTATTTCTAAAGCTGACAGAGCAAACTTTACTAGAAATAATGCGATAACTTTGTTCTGTTTATTTCAATCTTAGTAAGCATCATACATAAGGCTCTAGAGAAATCCAAATAATTTTCAAGTAGCCATATCAAGATGGAAGATACACCAAGTTCCAATACAATACATATAGATTTTGTCTCGAGTAGATATATATTACTAGGTCTATTTCTAACGGCAAGAAAGTGCTAGACTTATGAGTCTTATCGAGTTGTAGCCAGGCTTAGCTAACCATTGGTCACATATAAACTGTCTATACAGTAACCTTTTAATGACGGGTATTACTGCTAGTAAAGACAATTAGCTTATGTCCAGTGCGTTAGATAATTATAAGGTGTCTCATGTCTGGACAAAAAGGAAAGCCCTAGAGTTAGGAGAGCAGACGAATCATTAATCAAATCACCTAATCTAAAAGTCAGGTTGGATAAACTTATACTATAGATAGCCATAAATATATTACACTGAATCTGCTCCCTTCTTGGAGTTTGTTATAAAAAAAATATACATAAATTCATCTTTTTAATAAAAACTATCTGATTTCAAAGAAATATATTCAAAGAAAAATTTCTTTATTTATCTGTGGTGAAAATAGTAACAACTGGCATAGTATTTCAATTGCCAAATTTGAAAAGAAATAGTATTTGTAAATATAGTATATATAAATAGTATACATAAATCCCAGAAATTCCTAATTAGCAAAAGGCACAACTACTATATTAGGTTAATGTTTGTACAAAGTTTCATGAAGATATCTTGAATGGTTTATGAGATATGCTCCAGAAACAAAATTATACACCAAAAACTAAGTCAATTTTTTTTCCATGGAAACACAAAAATTATAAATCCCAGAAATTCCTAAATAGCAAAAGGCACAACTACTGTAATAGGTTGATGTGTGTACAAAGTTTCAGAAAGATACCTTGAACGGTACATGACATATTATATTATGCTCCGGAAACGAAATCGGGACGGACCCCATTTCAATATCCCTCCCTAACTTCGTTTGGCGGCGGATAATTATTTTTTAAAACCAAATAGACACAGGAGCATAAATGGAACAATAAATGCAAGACAATACATTACAGCTTCAAATGATGATGCACCACAGCAAATGCATCTTGTATTCACTGGTCTTTGAAGTTGTGCATATTTGTTATTATAATGAGCGGTGGGGAGTTTTTATCACATCTAATCAATTTGTTTAGTCTATAAAAATCAAATAATTTATGTTAGAAAACCCAAAGCATATGGAACTCAGAAAAGTAGAAAACATTAACATGTACTTGCATTAAGTTTTAAAGAAGCCTGCTGTGAACATTACCCTATGTAAATAATGCCGTATGTTTCAGAAATTATGTAACAGTAGGCCTATAAAACCCACTTTGAATGAGTATTAAGACCCGTAGGATATTATCTTTTCATGGAAAAATATCTTCCATCAAACAAGTAATCCAGAGGAAATATGATGTAGACTTTACAAAATGGTCTTATTATTAAAAGTATATCAACCATTTTGCTGCCAATGCGTCTGCTAACACCACTCTGAAATATCTCTGTGTAAATACATGTCTATTAGACAAAACAGTCTATGTTTATCCTAATTCTAAAACCAACTCATCCAAAAAGGCAGCCATTGCCAGTTAGACTGAAGTGCAAATTCAATCCATTATTTCCTCACCTCATTCCAATTCTGCTAATGTGTTTTGAGATGGCGGCGGGTCTATTGAAATTTCATCAAATTTAAAATCATTATTTTACCAATTTATGGCTAAGTAATCAGAGAATTTCATCTCTATGTACAGTTTCTAAATAATATTCAAATTAAATTGTTCCCCTATGTGACTCGAGTCAGACAGAAAAGCAAACTTTGTAATATTCGATTAAATTTTTCTTCCTTTTAAATCTATAATGCAATAGAGTTTTCTTTTCTTTTTTTCACAATGTTTTTATAAATTTGTATTCCATTTCAAATTCAATATTACACTAAATTTATTATGGCTAGACTTATAAAATTGTAAATGAGGGAATGTTCCAAATAATCATATTTCCTACAAATCAAATGTGTGAGTACACAAAGGCTATTGACATTCCTGTTTATCAAACTATTTGTAAAATATGATATCAAAATTAACAAGCTAAGAGTGAGGCTGATGTCCCCTGCCACAATCCCCAAATAAATAGATGACACATATTAATTAATTGCACATCTATACCCTAAGTTTCATCACTATCACCCAATTAGAACCAAAGTTATCATGTTCGAAAGTCTCAACCAATCAAATTACTTATCTTTGCTTATCCTTGGTGGGAAATGTGCATGATCAAACTCTATCAAGGCATTCACCTAATAAACACCTACACCAAATTTGAACATTCTAATTCAATTAGAAGGAGAGTTATTGTGTCCCAACAAGTGTGACCGATGTACAATACTGGCCTGGGGGGTGGGGTGGGAGGGGGAGGGGTATTTAAAGGGACATTTTCATCAATAAGAGAGAGAGAGAGATATGGGGTTTAACTTCAACTTGACAAAAAACAGGTCATTTTAGAACTAACAAATGGTTCACTTTTATTTCAATAATTTGCTTGCGTTCATCAATAAAAATAATTTTGGTCTAATAGTGTTTTCAAAGTTATGTTTATGTTGCTAAAAAACAGGCAGGCAGTACATTATATTTAACTTGAGAAAAAGATCAGTAACCCTAATCTGACCTAATTGCAATACTGAGCACTGGCCTACATAGAGCAAATCAATTGGCAAGTACTTTAAACTTCATAACACGTGGAACACTCATGAATGAGATTAATCATAAAACATTTGTATATCAGAAAAGGACAGAAAGATTTTGTCTTAAATTGTGCACACAATCCACTTTAAAACTTCAAATTGAATTGTAAGTTCACATTATGTTTAACACAAATTTTAAGCGTGAGTGCCTCTTGAAACACCAATCAGCAGCCCTTAATAAATCAGTACACCACCCATAATGTCTAAACCAACAGGGCTACTAAAATACGGCAAATAAAAGAAAGAAAGACGCACCTTGAGTTATGTCAATGACATGCACCGGGATTGCATGTCTTTCAAAATCTTATGTAAACTAAGTACAAACACAATGAATAGGCCTACCGTATATAGTTCTCAACTAAGTTAAATTTAGTACTCACATAAATTAAAATTGCAAAACTGGGACATTAAGGGGTGGTTCTATTCACTTCAGCCATACAAGGAAATTAAAATAAACTTTTTATCCTTTCAATCAGAAATACCAGTCAATATTGACATATAAAAAGATTATATTAATAAATCATTTATTAAATGACACAAACCTTTATTCATTCCAACTTCATAACACTTGCGCAGACGGCAAGCTTGGCAACTTTTACGTCTATGTTTGTCTATTGTGCAGTTATTTGTAGCTGGACATACATAATCAACAGGACCTGAAAAATTTAAACGAAAACATTTTATTTTTACAAATCTATATATTTTTTTTTTTTTTATAAATTAGAGAAATCAATTTTTATTTCCAATAATAAATAAATTATTGATGTTTTGATATGTTACAAACTTGTATCTAAATATTGTTGGTTAATGGGCCAAAATATTTTTCACTCCAATATCCAACCCAAATTTTCTGGAAACACTACTAGTAAGTGCAGGAGGATCACTACACACATAAATCACTAAATGTTCTATAATTTTCAAAATGTACTTAATTAACACTATATACCCAGGGGATATTTTAGTCCTAATGTGTCTTGAGGCATGTGCGACCTATATACTTGTCTAAATGTAACATGTACTTCCATCTTTACCAATAAAATCCTCTCAACCATGACTGTACACAAGGTGATTACTTTAACCGCATTAAATGTCTATTAAACATACAATACAGAGCAAATAAAAACTGTTATTAGTTAATAAATGTTTTATAAAGCCAATATGCTTTTTAATGAAATGTACCTAGAGTGAGATATAATTTGACAAGTATACTCAACTTAAACTAGAATCACATTTTTTATATTTCCTTAATAGAGACTGACAGTACACTGGAACGAAATGCTTTACTTCTGTCATTTTGAGACAAACTGACTTAAAATATCCAAATTATTGTACCAGTTTGTGAATATATAGAATCAAGCAAAACATGTAAAAATATTCAGAATATAATTTATAATGGTAACAACATATTTATCTGTCAGGTAGAGTACCAGAATATGTACCAGTAACCTTTTCTGTATGGACTAAAAATATATAATAAAACAACTAAAGTCCGACAAACAGAAAATCTTACGACCGATCACATCATTGCAAAATATTCCATCAATTTATATAAAACTAACTAAATAAATAAAACAGAACCAAAACTACTCAAACCATTAAATATTTCCAATTTATAAAATTAATAATTACAAATAGGAGACCCATTAAATATAAATGCAACATGTTTCAACAAAATGGTCTTTTCGAAAAATTGTATGTAAATGAAAAAGCTCAGATCAAAGAACTTATTTCAGTGATTTTATAATTTCACAGCTCAGCGATGCCAGGAATATTTTCCTATAAACAATCAAATTACTTACATTGTATCTGATCAAGAATAGAATCTATCTACAATATAAACAAAACATCTGCATTTTTACTAATAAATATTACTACTAACCTAGATGTTCAAGAAGTAGGGACTTTCTTCTGATACCCAAATGATAAGACAAATTTGGGAGGGAACTGAAGAAGGCAGGTTTTTTATCTCTGACCTCTACTACATTAGTAATAGCTTACTTACAATTGTATAGTGGGGTATACAGCCCAGGTTTTGAGGTCATGTGATGTTTTTCCAACAGTCTTATATCAATAAATAGGTCGTGTTGGCCTAATTCCACCTACTATCAATTAGTGTAGTATATTTGTGAGGGCAAGCTAATATTATTTGTCCAGGGTTTCTATGGGAAGTATTGACCAACAATAAGTGGTTATTTACAGCTGACCTCAGCAGATGTTTTCATCTAGATAGATTCAAATATTATCCATATATTATCATTACTATAAAAAATTATCTATTATTTTCAAAACAAGTTTGACTGAAAATTATTTTATAAATGGGTGTTACATTTTAATACATCAAAATGCTTTGCTAATTTGACTTTTTGGTCATTAACAACATTGTTTTAATTCAGTCAACTTCCTAAATGACTAAGCCTTCTATTGTAGGCCAAGTTTCACCAATTTTAATTTCATATCAGCAACAGAAAGCATGGTAAAATCATTCAAATGACATTCAGTCACTATTTGTGACAAGTGAAAGAGAGAGAGAGAGAGAGAGAGAGAGAGAGAGAGATGGGTTTAACTGTCCAGTAGACAAAAACTAGGTCATTTCGGGATCAACACATGGTTCAATTTTGATTCAACAATTCGCTTGTGTGTAGGAAACCAAGTCGGAAAATCCAGATGAAATTTCTCGGCCAATGCAGTGATCGAACACCCGAACTCCAGGCTAGCGAGCCAGCGTCTTAACCATGTAGCCACCGTACCTACCGACAAGTGATAGAAGAATGAGTCATTGTTTACGATAATAACATATTATAAACAAAAATGTGAAAATAGGCTAAAATGACTTGCGACTATCGGCTCATTTTGCTTCACTGGTCACATTTGTAATCTAAAGCATTACTCTTCTGGGGAAGCTATGCAAATGTCTTGTGGTAGCTAGATTGTGTGCCTAGATAGACTAAAGCCTAGCTTATGTCGCAATAGGACGCGACAAAACTGACAGAGACTCGAAATCAATGACTGGCTTACGATCAAGTGGAACTGATCAGTCGTGACTACCTGGGCAAACTGAGCACTAATATGACTGGTGTAAGTTGGACGGCAACCAGTTGCCTCCAGTTTCTCGGAGTCGCACATGTTCTACTCCTACGACTGGAGACAACTAGTTGTCCCTAGTCGCAAGTGACATGAGCGCATCTTGAGTCAGCACCTCGCTGAGGTAGCCAATACGTTTCGGTTATTTAGTCATGTGGTACCGGGGGCGGTAACAAACATGGCGGACAAGTGGAATGAGGCCATTTTGAAGGTTATCAAGTGGCAGTCATGTGATCTGTTTTATTGCGTCGCGACATAAGCTAGGCCGAAAACTAAAAGATTTATTTTCAGCGAACTGATGCACAGTATGTCTAAAAAGAAATGTGTCAGATTGTCCTTGTTTTCGTCTCCATATCCATCCCGCTCCCAAATATTTCCGGAGAATAACAAATTTCCATTCCTGGCACACATTCAATACATATTCGATCTTATAATTACTAAATGTAGTTTAAAAATATTATATAAAACATTTGGTGTCTCTGTCTATAGAAGATAGCAGCTTCGAGATGCTTTTTTTCTCAATATGCCACAACAATGACGCTAAAACAATCTCTTTATGCTTTACTTGCAAGATTTTTATCGTCATAATGAGATTCCATTTTAAGATTATTCATAGTTCACTTTAAATCAACATGAGGATTTCAAACCAGTTCTAAATTCTCAGTGATTAAAAAATGCATTATTTTTAGAATTTATTGATTTTGTTTTTCTCAAGACTTGCAATCAATGATGGTCTATACTTTCTTCCTTTAAATATATGTGCTACAAAAAAAATTATCAGACACAATTATTAAGATCAATGTGAAGAAGTTGGCTTTTGTTAATAGAAAAAAAACTACAATCAAAATAAATAAAAGAAAATGTTAAAAACCTGTCTAGACATTTTTACATTATAAAACATTATTCTTTCTACTGGTATTAGCAGGCACAATGTGGGTAGATCAAGTTAAAAGCTCAATGTCTGTTTGCTTCCTAAAACTGAATTTAAATGTCAGTAAAATGACAATCTGGTCAACCGGCAAATCATTCAGAATCTGTTTTTAAGATGATTCATTGCAGTTATTGGTGATAATAAATTAAATGAAGCGTCTATTGAAATATTCTATTAAATCATTATCAAAATCTTTCCTTCAGTTTTAAAAATTCACAATTGAATAAAACAGAACTATCATAAGCAAAATGTAAGAAACATTTTTAGAATCTTTCTCTAAGTGTCAAATAAAATCTGTTAGAATTCAGTCAGCATTTACACAGTAAAAAAATGAGATGCAAGAATATCATTTAGTATATCAATTCTGTAATCTCAATCACTTGTATGAAAAACAGAGGCATGCAGAGAGGGGGACAGATGGGCTGATGGCCTTGGGCATCAAATTCAGGTGAAACCCAATCAAAGAGTTGAATAAAAAATTTTTTTTTTTTTTTTCAATTTAAAATCATTGCTGTTAACTTTGTGAGAAATAAGGATCTTTGCAAAAATATCACTGAAATGTTAGATTTGCATCGTTCATATCGTCAACATTCAAATCAAATATAGATTTGAAGTTAAATAATTTCTTTTTTCTTTCTATGAATATTTACTTGTCATTACTCATCTCTTGGGGACTAAGAAAAACTATTAAAACACAAATAAAAACCTGGTTCGCTCAACAACCTATGATATATATTTAAACTAGACTGTTCAGTAGTATATCTCTTACAACAAATTATTTTCATTTTCAAAATTTAATGCTATTTTTAACACTTGATCTGAATTGAACTGTAATCTCAACAACTGTACATTATCCAACAGAAATTTGAATGGCAAATATGAGGCATGCATAACAAACCACTAGCATCAAACTATATAAACACATAATCTTCTACCTCACTGGAATACAAATCAATAATTTTCAAAGAACAAAGGCTTTCATTTGTTTTAAAGAAATATTTGAATGATGTGAAATATGACAGATGATGACACGTTTCAGGAATTAGCCAATCTGAATCAGAACAACATTTGGACAGCTATTCATATTGTATAATAATCACAAGGCCAGACTCTTTCCATACTTATTGCTCTGATATGTTTAGGCCTATATTCACTAACACAATCCATTCCCAGTACCAGTCTAATTAAAATTAGATCATACTTTTGTTCTCTGATATTTTTAGTATACTCACTCACAAAACCATTGCCAACCCCAGTCTAATTAAAATTAAATCATTCTTTCTTTCGTTCCTTATTTAGGTTGTTTATATTAATATGAATATTACAGTTTCAATCTAGCAAAATCTTTAAGAAGTTTATGTTTAACTGGCCTGATTGGTTCAAGAAGTACTGGTAGTTAGACTTTATATTACAGTTTCAGTCTAACAAAATCTTTAAGAAGTTTTTGTTTAACAGGCCTGATTGGTTCAAGAAGTACTGGTAGTTAGGTCTTATAAAGACCAACCATGTATCCACGTCAGAACGAAATAAAAGACCTATTCTTAATTAGATCATCCCCAACCCCAAAAATAATTGTAAATTTCTACCTTGGATCCTACCTTGTATACTTCTTTTAAAGAATGCTTTACATCCTTCACATGACCAAACGCCATAATGAAAGCCAGATGCATTATCATTACAGACTTGACAAACTTTAGACGGTGTGCTACTTCCTGTAAATATAAAATTTACTCATTAATTTTAATGTTATCTAAAATATCAATAATATATGCAGTAAAGCTTGATCAAATTGTAAGCCAGTTGAGAGCAGCCCAGGGATTAATAGTTTTGTGCATATGCTACAGCAGGATGCAATTGTATATTATATTAAACCAGGCTGTTAAACTGTTCAAATCTGTTATTTATTATATTCAACTTAATTCAAGTATTGAATGTGTGTTTATTTATACCTTAGTAAGGACAAATCGGTCAAGTATGCTGTATTCAGCACTAACCATTTATACTGCAATAAGGATTTAAAATAGCCACGCGCAGAAAGCATGACTTCATTCTCTTTTTAACTGACAACAGAATCATAAACATACAATAGTGCCAGAAGAAAATGTATGGGTACTGAAATGGAAGTTTTTCTGCTAAAAGGATTGACTAGATTCCTGATTGTTACCGAATGCATTTACACATACTGCATAAAATACATGACTTTAAAAGTTGAGAATATATACAAGGCTAGTTAAATGTGGAATCACTTGCAACGATGAACTAACTGTGTATTTGTCAAATCCAGGTTTATTTAGTGCCATATTTCTTGTTTTAGTCATGTATTTTATTGCATATAAACGTTTAATGCCATACCAGTTCTTGGTGTAAACGCAGCATGTCTAAATATTTTAAACTATTACTGAAGTTCCTAGTAATAAACTTCAATTAATTTTTAAAAACATACAAACCAAATTCAAGATTTATCATCATGGCATGTTTTTTTTTACCAGGATTTGTATAGTTATAATGATGTTTAATTTTGTTCATGCTGACAAATTAATAATTTTAATTACTATATATAGTGTTTAATTGTATATTAATGTATTTTCCAGAACAGTCCCTATGGTCCTGTCTACACTTGGCCGTGATAACTGTGCCAGGAACTGTGCCAGGCACGCCAAATGTGGAACTCTTCACAGAAAAGTTAATTTCAGTACCTATGCAAATTACTTAGATAAAAACAATTATGGCGGTCGATTGAGTTTGGGCAACCATTTTAACAGAACTGATGACAAAACCGTAAAATTTTGCCGGGGAAAAAGGTCATGGTTCATTTGGCGTATGCGCACCAATCCGTATTGAGAACTGTTCTCAGACCGGATACCATTTTAAAAATTTAACCGAGCCAAAACCGCCTGACTTCATTGGGTCAAATTGGCACGGTACTCAGTACGACATGCTTCTGTTTGACCTGTTAACACCACCAACAAAAAAAGAAAATTATTGTGCCGTGCCTGGTACGCTTAAAATTTGTAAGGTAAACAGGGTTTATGCTAGTGGGACATTTTATTCTCTATGACTATGATACTTAAACATACATTATGCAAGAGCTAAATCTGCCAAATGCAGGTCTTTCTTTAGGCCTGAAATGTTATCTAAATTATTAATTAGACATTAATTAACTTATCCAGATCATAATCAACTCTCGATGGCATCACTAGCCTGCGATATTTACTGGATTAGAACCCGGTCTGCTGCTTCTCATTAAATTAAAAAATGGATAATCAAGACTATGTTTTTTATCGTACCGACTTTAGTAATGATGATCGAGGCTAGGCCCAAAATTCAATCGCTAAATACTTGGTTCAGGGTGGATCAATTTGACTGAGATTTTTAGCATAATCTCCCATAATGTATCTTTAATGTTTTCCAGAATTAAATAGTTTCAAGGATAATTCTGGTGTGTATTTATTACTGAAGAATCTCACTTCTACATAATTTCATTATAAAGGTTTTTTTTATATCTTCTGTTTTCATTAGCTCTAGACGGGAAAACATCAAGTAAACCTACAATTTGAGATTGAAATATTTACAATCTCAATAGTCAATGTAGATGGGTGTGGTACAGTATTAATAGAATCTAAGATGTGACATTAACAATGTGCTTGGTAGCTCCTGCAATTTTTTTCATTAAGTCAGGAGTTTGAATGAAAAAGTTTTTCAGACATTACTTCATTAACATATGAACATCTTACATTGTGGTCATGTTTAGATGAAATAATTAACGCGAATTGTGAAGACTTTGTTGATATACAGGCAGAATTGTCTTCATCTTGTCATTCCTTTTAAGGTGTGCTTTCGCTCCTGTTGATTTTGACTTATCTTCGGGGCTGTCATTAAAGATTCCCGCAAATTAGCTAATCGCTCTCCTATATACTGAGATCAATAAACTACTTTCAGTTTTTGTTTATTTTTAAACTGCATTTGTTCGAGCTATCAGCATTTCCATGATAATTCTGATGCTACCATATTCACCAAAAATATCGACCCTCGTTTTCGTTCTGACATTGAATGCTAATGTAAGGCTTGTTTTAATAGGATGGAAGGCTTTAATCAGCCAATAGAATATGATGTTACTTGACAGCCTTGTATGTCCCAAAAGGTGGCGCTATGGCCTACTCTTATATTGGCTTCCAACTGCCAAGGGATCTTTTATGTGCACACAGGACCTCATTTTTTAGTCCAATCCGAATGACTCAACAGCTGTCCTTGTCAGGCCCTCCATCCTGAACCACTGCCAAGAGGCAATCAACAGACAGAAACACTTAGTTTCCTTAGGTTAGTTTACGTTGGTACCATGAAAGTTCAAAGGTAGGTTGCCAGACAATGGAACATACGCCCACAGCAGCTAAATCGTTCGAGCGGTCAACAAGGTTTGTTGCATATTTATTCTTTTGTAGGTAATTGTGGGTATTTACAAGACAATTTCATACTGATCAGATTATTATTTTTTTCGTTTGAGGGTTCACAAGGTTCTACAAACTGAAACAAATTTTCAAATCTGACACGCTTTTTCATTTTATTAATTTAGATAATGCATACAGATTGGATGATAACATTTTGTCAGTCGAATGTTACACTAGAAGTAATTGACGGAAATTGTTGAAATTCAATCGACCTCTGTAAATTTCATACATACCGGATGATAACTTTCATCAATCGAGGATTAACAAGGTTGAACAAATTGAAACAAGGGCCATAACTCTAGAAGTAATTGTTGTAAATGGCTGAAATTCAATAGCCTCCACTTTTCACTAATCTAAATGACCCATATAAATTTCATACAGATCGGATGATAACTGTTGGCATTGGAGCGTTCACAAGGTTTAACAAAGTGAAATAAGGGCCATAACTTTAGACATAATAAACGGAAATTGCTGAAATTCAATAGGATTCTTCTTATCACTAATTCAAACGGCACATCTAAAGTGAAACAAGGCCCATAACTCTAGAGGTAATTAACGGAAATTGTTGAAATTCAACATGATTCTTCTTCTTAATAATTTAAATGACGCATATAAATTTCATACAGTGCGGCAGATAACTTTTGATATTAGAGTTTTTTCAAGGTGCAAAAAAGTGAAACAATGGCCATAACTCTAGAAGAAATTAACGCAAATTATTGAAATTAAATAGGCTTCTTCATCTCACTAATCTAAACATATATATATATATCAATTTTAAATCAATCGGATGATAACTTTTGGTGTAAGAGCATTCACAAGTAATTGCTAAAATTAATGTGTTATGCGATTAAATTTAAAAAAAAATAGCCCAACCACCTACATTATTTAAAACATATGAACTGGTGTATAAAAAATAAAAATTATATTACCTGGTGGTGTATTTTGTCTCTTTAATTGTGGTTCTAGTAACATAGCACTTTGTGGTTCAATGGGGGGGATAAACTTAGTTTCTCGACCACGCCCATCATGTGTAGTAGATGTGGGGGCTTGTATGTGGATGTTATTAACCATCATAGAATGATGTGTGGTCATACAAATGCCTGGGGATACCATCCGTGCATCTTCTACAGGGGATTTATTCTCCACCGTTTCCCTGCAATATAAAATATATTCACAATATTACATATTGCACAATCAAATATCTATATATACATAATATATCTCATATAGATTACACAATATCAATATCTGAAAATAAATGAGAAAATTTCAATCCTGACAAAATAAAATAAATGAATGTTAACGCTATCTCTATAATGTACTGTGTATTACGTTATTTTTTTAAAATTAAAATTGCATTGTCATGGATCCAAATCTGTAAAAGTGTAAACGAATATGACGAGATATCTACCTTAAAAAAAAAACAAACAGTGATACTGATGGATATTATCTTTTGTTAATGTAAACTTGTTCAAAATAAATAATGAACATTATATTTGTGAAGGTATGATGTAATTTGAAAATAGCTTTATTTATGCAGTAGTATAATTATTTTTTGAGTATGTTTATATCTTTTTGAAAACACTAATACGGATATATTCTGTCTGAATTTATCAATATATATATATTCAGAAGTAGTATATCCACATAAGTGTTTTAATTTGTGAAATCTATTTCTATATGTCTTATAAGGATTATATGTTTATTGTAGAGAAAAGTGAATGTGATTTTTGTATAGAAGATCTGTGAATGTAACTATGAATGTAACATTTCTTTGAATGCGATAGTTGCTTTTCTTTAAAAGTATGACATCAAGGGTCTCAGTACGTGTTGAACTTGTTCTTCCTCTCTTAAAGAAGGATACACTTAATGAATCTCTAATTAAACCTTAAAATGTTGAAATACTTATCAAAGTTACCCAGTGCATCTGTTACAAAAGTTGAAATTCAATATACCTACACATTAAAAAATCATTTTCAAAAAACCAGTTGCAAATATACAGAAGAGTATGGGGAATACTGCTGACCAATCTTTGAGGGATATTATACATGTAGGTGCAATTGAAATATTTGAAACAATCAATCTCTGTGTACATTTTTCATCCTGCTATGATTCTATGAATTTGTGACAAATGAAATGAAATGGGGTTTAATGTCCTACTGTTCTCCTCCGAACTGGGCTAATGAAGATGGGCGCATACGCCATACAGTGTGCTATGAGGGAAATTTTGCCCGAACAGCAGCACTACGGCCTACTTTTATATTGAATTTCAACTGTCAAGGGATATTTTACGTGCTCGCCAATGAGTACATGGGAACTTGTTTTTTTTGTCCCATTCGAATGATTAGACAGCTGTCCTTGTCAGGCCCTCTGTCCTGCATCACTGACAAGGGGGAACCACGCCAGAAAATCTGGATGGACTTTCTCGGCCAGTGCAGGGATCGAACACCCGACTTCCAGGCTAGCGAGCCAGCATCTTACCCACTTAGCCACCATGATCCCTGAATTTGTGACAATTTAAGCACAAAATAAACAAAACATACAATAATATTTACTTTAGACATCTTGGTTAAAGGAGCTAAATCGCTAACATTTGGGACCTAGAAATTCACAAAAGTGGGTCGCAACGCATATAATACTGTAATGTGAATGTATATAAACTGATTTACATTTAATGGTTTCCGTTTTTACTCCAATTTCAAATCAGTTATGTTCGGCGAAATAAGTCAGCAATCTCAATCGAGTGCAAATTTCTAGCGTCTAGTTATTCTAGTCTACATAACTCCATTTGATTTGGTGCAATGTGTCTAGCCTCGTCCCTCAGGTCTCTCATTACAACAGGGGCTGAAGCGCATTATGGTACACGATTTGTGTACCAATGTTAAAAAAATTATTTCATCTTAAATATCAGATATCAGAAGCTCATCTTTTCCCGGTAAGTTTACATCATCAATGTTGATTTAAATTGACCAATAATTCGTGTTTTCGATGTCGAAGATTTTGGAGGATTTTGAGTTACGGACTTAGGTCCTTTAACTAACTCCATTAAATAATAATTACTCTCAAGTAAAAAAAAAAGACCTGACTACCATATCAAACTAAAAACAAAAAGAATATGGAATACAATGCTATGAGCACTGAGTAGTACCCAATTATATCCTAAGAATATGAAGCACTATGAAGTATTGACCACCCTATAAAACTACAATTAAATGGAAACAATACGAAGCACTATGAAGTACTGACAACACCATCAAACAGAAAGAATATGCAGCACTATGAAGTACTGACAACCGTATTAAACTGCAATTATACAGAAAGAATATGAAGCACTATGAAACACTGACAACCCTATCAAAATGCAATTATATAGAAACAATATGAAGCACTATGAAGTATTCACAATCCTATCAAACGGCAATTATATAGAAAGAATATGAAGCACTATGAAGTATTCACAATCCAATCAAACGGCAATTATATAGAAAGAATATGAAGCACTATGAAGCACTGACAACATTATCAAACTACAATCACTGTACATGTAAGTACTGACATCAAACTACAATCAAACAGAAAGAATATGAAGTACTGACAACACTATCAAACTACAATTAAATGGAAATAAAATGAAGCACTATGAAGTACCATATCAAATTTAAGTTATATAGAGCAAACATGAAGCACTATAAAGTACTGACAACCCTATCAAACTACAATTAAATGGAAAGAATATGAAGCACTATGAAGTACTGACAACCCTATCAAAATACAATTAAATGGAAAGAATATGAAGCACTATGAAGTACTGACAACCCTATCAAAACACAATTAAATGGAAAGAATATTGAAGTACTGACAACCCTATCAAAACACAATTAAATGGAAAGAATATGAAGCACTGACAACACTATCAAACTACAATGAAATGGAAAGAATAGAAAGCACTATGAAGTCCGAACTACAATTAATTAATTAGAAATGAAATGAAATATGCCAATGTCCTATTTTTCTGCACCCACCGGTCTAATGACATGGATAATTATTAAATAAAATATGAAATGCTTTGAGTACCGAGTACCCTATTAGACTACTATTAAACAGAATATTAAATGAAAATGGTTGAGCACTAAGTACCCTATTAGACTACAATTAAATAGAAAGAATACACTGTGAGTACTGATTACCCTATTAGACTTCAATTAAAAGAATTTAAAATATTTTACCTTGACTGAGCAATGGATTAGATAGCAGCAAGATGTGTATTAACTAATTGAAAACTACACACAGCCCATTCTTACATGTGGTAATCATTACTTCATTCTACAGCATGTATCTATCAATCACCATCTTTCTTCCAAGCTTATTACAAATAATAACTTATATTTTGATGGTAACAGAGCTAACTAAATTATTCTAGTTACAACTAATGTGTCTGACAAACTGATCCAATAGATGTACTATCAATAGTATGCCAGACAGAATATCAATGTCAAGGTTATTTCAATTCTAGGCTGATATTATATAACTACTGCAACCAAGAAAAGAAAATGGCGGGAGTCTAGAGCTACAATGCACTAAAATCAAAATACGCAATTTCTTATACGACTAAAACTCGCTGAATGAAAAAATATCAAAAATGTTCTATTAAATAGAGCAATTGATACATATAGCTACGATTACATCATAGAAAGATTGAAAATGAACATATCTATTTTGTAATCTGTTCTGCTATGGCCGACATGCATTGTGTTAACCTAGAAGCAGTGTGAACTATATGCTGTTTAATATAGACTCCATGTTGTAACATGGCTACCAACTGCTATAACACACTTACCCGCTCTCAATCAATTCACTCATTCAGCTAGCCTACATACACATGTCTACAGGTTAGCTAACAAAATTTATATCTTTATGAACACAAGGTGTCCCCGTTTTAACATCCCATTGCTGTTTTACATCCTAATCTATGTAAAGAGTGCAGCCATTGCTTATAACTTAAGTGCAGTCACGTGGTTGCTACATTATACTACTTAAGTGACTGACTATTATCTTTAAAATAAGGTCATGCGATTATATGCACACCCGTCTCAATGGCTGGCTGTCCTTTCAAATACTTTTCATAAAACAACAAAAAATATATTGTATGAAATAAAAAATATAATATACCATATTAAAAGGCTAGAAGAATAAACAATGATGATGGAACTTAAGCGCATGCACAATTAAATATATATAAGCGCGGTTACATTATTAGATCACGTGATTCAAATATAAATGGCTGCAAATTGTGTATAATAAAGGTTTATGCACATATAATCTGGAATATGTTATAAAGACTATATTATGCTGATTAAAAAGGAAAAAGGATTTGAATCTGCAAAAATGTTCTATTCATAATTACATTTCACAATAGTTTGAAAAGTGAACTTTTACATTAAAATTTTCAATGAAATATACGGACATCCCAAAGAGAATATACCAAGATAGAATTTCTTAAAAATCACATTATATAATATGTTACAAAAAAAGTGGTTAAAGGAAAAGTTTTAGATATACAAGAGCTGGCTGAAAAGTTCTAAGCTTGAAAAGGATAGATCAATTGGGTTCAAACAAACTGGTTGCCATTTTACTAGTAATGATGACGTCACGTCACCTGTGAACAACTGTTTAGGGGGGGCGGAAGAAAATTTCTTCCTGACCGGCATCCAGGCCTTTGGCAAAAGTTTTTACAGTACGAAGTGGCCTATGTAGAAAAATAAAGGAAACCATTGACTTTGTACAGGTCTTTCACAGACAGGCTTAGAATTTTTCAGCCAGCCCTCATATGTTACTGGTAAAATTTGTATGAAAGTCTCTTAGAAATATTTATCCTAATTCTCTTCAACTATCTCAGACTTTGATTTTTTTTGCAAAAATCAAAACTTTCAGTTCCCATGTGATGTTGGTCAAAATTCTCAAATAGTCACATTTATCAGGTTACTTATACAAATGAAAGAAATTCCATAAATAAGTAATGTAACCCTGTTAACCAAATCCAATGATCGTACCTGATTGGTTCAATATTTTAGTTTGAAACATTCAGACAGCGTAAATAGGCCATTTCTTCAAATTATGGAGTTTGATTTGCAATTTTAAACTTTTATTTATGGC